AAGGCATATTTTTACTTGGTTATTCAATATTTAAGAATTAGGGGTTCAAATGGAAGGTATTGACAATGTAAGTACATTTTAGTTACATATTACACGATATAGATATATATAGGTATATATCTTTGCCTTGTTAAATCTATTTTAATTGTATTTCAACCACCATGAATGAGAATATTAAGTTAGTTATATACTCGTACCTACGAGTATATAACTAACCAAAAATAATGTGTTTTAAATATTCGGAATTGAAGTCCCATATGAGACTTAACAATGAGATAACATTAACATAAATATTTACAAATAAGTTGTTACTATTACTATCTTCAAGTGTATTATGCGCTTCTAATTAATTTATTCCTAATATCTATTAAGTGCGTACTAGTGGATAGCAAATTAAAATACATCGCGTTTTATTCAGTATGCCAAGGTTTGAATAAACTATAATCTTTAAACATACCTATAATATTTATATTCATTATGTAATCAATTAGTAATTTGACATCCGCACAGGACTAAGTTATAGGTAGATTGTACTTAACAACAAATAAAGAAGACCAGTGTCTCGATTAAATCTTGATCTATTAACACGAGAGTTTTTGTATGTATGTATTATATATAGGTACATATACGCCAGTGAACAAACATTGTTAGTCAATAATACGTCATTATTTATTTTTATAAGTATTAGTGTATATAACTGAATAAGTCCATAGAAAACAAAACGTTAGTAGTTTTGTTGATGCAAGTATAGGCAACTCCAAGCCGACGGCAACTGCATTTAAAATGTCTGTATTAAAGTGTAATGTAAGCTAAGTACAGTCTAATAGCAAGGATCTAAAATTATATACAATTTTCGTGTCACGGTGTTTGTTACCAAACACTTCCGAAACGGCCTTACCGATTTTTATGAAATTTTGTGTGCATATCGAGTAGGTCTGAAAATCTGCCATCATCTATTTTTCATACCCCTGAATGATTAGGATCACCCGCCACTAATTATACTTTATTCGGACGAAAAAAAATTGTTTTTTAGTGTAGTATGATTTTGCATTAAAAAACATACAACCCTAAATATTAATCCATCTACCACCAACCCCTATTTTATAATAGCGATATTAGTACTAAAATTTATATGCCAAACCAACGTTTACCGGGATAGCTGGTATATATACATATAACAACTGTTCAATTCGTAGTGATCTCCGCCAATTTATCGAACACCATAATCGCCATGTATGTGGTTGTCAAACTAACTGGCAGACGTCACAATAATTATAGGGCGGCTCCCACAAAGATCATGATCCAGTTCTTGCCAGTTTTCGTTGCGCATGCATACATTGCTTTGTAGTGGAATTCGGAACAAGATGGCATAGTCTAAATTTAGAACTATAATTGTAATGATCATAGTTAACTCTTATTAACCCATCCTCAACAGATCGACCGTATTGGTACAGCAGGACATTCGTGTCCTAGCTAACTTAGATTTATTCATTAAACATAGGTACTAGGAATATGGATATTCAGTATGGATATATTGGAATATATCCAATTTATCCATACTGAATATCCATATTCTGTTATATCCATATTGAAATAATTTGCACATAACTTTTAAAATTATAGATATATAGAAATAACCTACATACCTACCTCGTTAAAAAATAAATAGAAACTAAGTATATCAACATACACTTAACATATCTGTTATTATCTGTCTCATATACCTATTTTTATTGTAATTATAAATTCCTTAAACATACTTCAACGATTTTCTTCTTTTTTAACAAGATCACCATTCTTTCATTAGTGTCATTGATATTCCTAAGTTTTGATTTACTGAAAATTATAGGGTACTGTGTTCTTTAAATGGATTTTTTAAATATATGGATAAATAAATGTTTATAGAAATGTCTGCAGAGTGAACTGAAATGATTTGTACTAAAGTCAGACTTCGTGATACAAAGTATTACATGCATTTTATTATTTAATCAATATAGAAATCATAAGAATAATTTAAATTTATTTTGAACAGTGTATACATAAGTATATGCAAGGATTGTTTTTATATAATCTTCTTCCAGGAGATTGATTCGATGTTCAGAATGACAATAAGTAGCCTATATTGTACTTTGTTATAAACACCTTCTAAAAGGTGGTAATGTAATAAAGTGTATTTTTAATCAAAACACTTTTATATTGCTAGTGTTGACCCTATACAAATATTTACGTAAGTCAATATTATTGAATAAATATTAATAGTAAATATACATATATTCAACATCACATCGATTAGATATTTTGAGTTAATTATACTAAAATCTGCGGAATTAAAAATGAACTGTGTTAGTATCCTATTAATCATCTAAAATGTCTTAACTCAAACCCTTCTGGGCGCATTTCGAGGTGTATGCGCGTTTTTATTGATTTTAAGCGCGCAAGACAAAAATCTGCTATACCTCTCTATGTATGTATCTATATGAACACTTATTAACACAGTCTTTAACATGCACCTTATGTGAATAACCAGAAGGTTGATTCTCTAAAGCGACTAACAGACCTCATTAGGCATAACAATTGTCCTTTGATATTGATTTAAATTGATACTTTCGCTAATATAGTATGAACCATTTGCCAATTGCACTATCAAGTCGAGATGTAGGGTTCGCAGATGTAACAAGTACTACTTGCTATTACAGTAGATAATAATTATTCAGCCCTTGAACTAACGATCCATGGAACGATCGCGATTTAGTAGGTAATTAAATCAATTATAAAAACTAGTAGTATATTGGTGACAATGTGCTCTTACACGTTTTGTTTAACAGTCCATGAGAAAATACACGAATTTAGGAAGTAACTGACTTCATACAGCTGCCGGTAGTTTAGAACTCAGAACTATGCAAAATATAAATCTGGTTTACATAATAAGTCTAAGTGGACTGCATGTGTTATGGACTTCATGTGTTCAATAAAAAAAATAATTAATAAATGGCTCTTGTGGTATGTGAAAGGTCTGGATGACGTCTGTTTGCTGCACTGTCGTTACATCATAAATCGGCGAAAGTTAATTTATTGAATGAATCATTTTTATTTGTTTATTGGACATTACGGTGAAATACAGGTTGCTACATATAAATGCAATAATAATGAATAGTGACAGTTTATACTCTACGGTTGTACAACATTGATTTAAGTGTCTTGCCGTTATGTTATATTAAGAATTTAATACTAAAATATTCATTTATAACATTAATATACTCAATATAATGTAAAAACATTTTTCAATAAATCCCAGTTTTAGTGTTTCGTCTAATAGCTTGCATTCCAAGTCCTTTACATGTCAACAAGTTAGGTATCGTTCCCCCAACTGTGCGTCGCGACACCCCGGGGAGTCAAAGCCCTGTCAGAAGGGCGTCTAAAAATTACTAAAATTCTATATTCTTTGGAGTTTTCTTAGCAGAAAATAACGCTACAGGCGGATATCTTCCTTTACAAGGGAGTTGCAAAAAATACTATATAATGTATGAAAACAGAGCGAGGAAACAGTAAGAGAGATTGTAAATCCCTCATCATAGGGGACCCCCTCTGGGTTAGACACTTGGCAATTGTATTAATTGCAATAACGTATGATGATATGAAATGATATTGCACATCTGAAAGTTTGATAAGATGTTCAGATGTTTGCTTCTTTAGAATATTTTATTGTGATAACTTTGCATTTATCCACCTTTTTTGGTATGTCTTCTGGATAGGGGATCAAGTATCTATATACTTAACTACACATCGATCCTGCGCTTATATAAACTCAAATCCTGTTGTTTATTTTATTTATTTGCTTAAAACATAGTTACAGTACAGTATGCACAAATGTTTTGCCAGTTTTATCGGGCATGCAAATTATAATAAAATAATATTAAATTTAATTATTATTGAATATTATTGTTTACTGTCTGTATCTAGTTTATGTTACAAACATCTATCAGTAATAGGGACTAGCAAGCAATCATTACGAGCAATGCTAGGTTGATCTCTACATGTAAACTAACATGCTCAGCATATCATACTCCAGTAGTACCCCGTCACCATCTAAAATAGCACAGTAAAACTACCGTTAGCACAGGCGGGTGCACAATCCAACGTATTAGTCCATCCATCATTTAAAATATTGCATTCATGTATTAGTATAGATATGTTTTAACGCAGGGTCGGCGACACGCTTCGTAAGTTAGTTGAACTTTTCAATTGCCTAATATTTTTACCTATGCATAAATAATAAGGCAAGTTTTAAAGGCACTATAATAATGTACAACGCCTACTTGCTCCTACTATAAGAACCAGGTACTCTATAACTTCACATAATGTCAATGACAATGGATTGCAAGTACCGTTACATATTTTAGTAGATCTATACCAATGAAAGCTTGCTATGCTACTAATAACATTTTTTATTAGCCCTACTTTAAATACATGAATTGTCATATCGTACTCGATGATTCTTACTTTATAATATTAAAAATAAAACAAATTTTTTAGTCGATCGTCCATTGATTTATGTGGTTATAACTGTTAAAAAACGAAGTTGTTGGAATTAAGTGGTATTATTTTATATTATAAGTAAAACACAATTTGTGGTGCCAAATAATGTATGTTTAGTACATACGAACCTCATTCACGCAATTTCCAGTTTAAGGTTTCTGAGAATTTTATGCCTTCTTACATACTTTTACTGCTTTTACTAAAAAATGTACTTATATGAAAAGTGTAAGAGATAATTCATTTATTCTCAGTACTAAAAAAATACTTTTGAGCAAATATTTAAATTAAAGTAAAATATATGTTTGATGTAGGTAATTTGCCGACTCTAATGATAAATCCAATAGGAATATAGTATGAGCTAAGAAGACCTTTTTTATGATGTCCTTTTATTTATAGACCTGTTAATTGTTCCCAACATGTTTATAATTACTATAATTATTAGTATCACAAATTTTTCTTTTCAGAAACTTCCATATCCCAAGGCAGTTGGATTTATAGTTGTAAATGAGTTCTGCGAGAGATTTTCTTACTATGGATTGCGAAGTAAGATATTATGGCTTTATTATTGACATCAATTTTGTTGAGCTTATACTGTCCTGTTAGAGGAGTCAAAAATACCGTTTTTACTTCTTTTAAACATACTAATATACTCATAGCCTAATTAATATATATATATATATATAACAGTTTAAATAAGTTCATTCAAAGGAGATTTCAGTTTCAGTCAATTTCGATGTGTAATATTTGAGTTTCATTTCAGTATATGCCTGGGCATTTACTTTTTAAAATCACCGGCATCCTCTGCCTCAATTTTATTGATGTTATGATATTTATTGGTATTATACATTTATTTAAAATACTAATAGTAATACTTTATGTTTGGAATTTATGACGCAAGTATATTATATTATTTCTTAAAGTAAGCGTAAAGCGCAAGCGTGCTCTTACATTTTTCGATCAATGCAAGGTTTTCTCTGGAATTCAAGTAGATATCATAATTGGCTGTTAGTTTTCAATGGTACAAGCCTTAAGTTTACTTACTATATGATGGAATAATGTAAATATGGTATTTAAAATTATAATCTATTTATAACATGATTATAGCAGGCTACTGATAATTTGTGTTCAATTAATTGCCCAAGCTTTGTCTATTGTTGAATTCGTTTTATTCGTATTCTTTACTTATTATGTAATACTTGTATTACTAATAAACTTGGATTATTATTATTATTACTAAGTAAATTTACTAAAAACCGGTATTGACCTGTTTTTAGTGAAACATATAAACATCATAATAGGTCTAGATTTTGTTTTCAAACAAGCTCCTCATTAGATTCTTTAAATTCAATAGACTTTTAAATATTCGTAAATTGCACATATTATGTACTACGTACCTGATAATGTCTAGTTTTTTCGTAAAGCTTTGTTGCTAAATTGAACTTCAATTCGTCGTCGTATCTAAATGTAATTAATTTATGTAACTTAAAATCTATGTAACAATAAATGCGTTACACATACATACAATACGTAAATAAAGTTACTCGTATATTGTAATGAAATATGAAACTTGTTTTTAAATCATATTGACGGTAAATAGCCTATTGTTTGCTGAGGACGTAACAAGTAATGTTGCATGTTAATTAGCAGTTTTTCCATAGATTCGCGTGTACAAGCGTTTTTACTGCTTACGATTTTGCACCAAAATATTATCATATTTTTAATCTGTATGAAATGGAAACAGTATTAAACTAAGTCGATTAAAAATATATATACTAATAACTAATAACTATCATAAAAATTAACATAAGAATTATATTATAGAAGTAAGATATTCTATAATCTTTTTTTATCCTAAGAATTTGAAAAGCGATAAATAAGCCTGCACTAACGGTATGACTATGAACTCAAGTCAGTTAGCCCATTGTCACATTTTCAATAAGATAACCATGAGAATTTAAAGGTACCAAGGGCTCCCTGCCGGTAAATTTGACTTGGTAAATTATTATCAATTAGGCCACTGTTTACCAGTAATAATTTCCTCTCCCTCTGAGTTGTTATTTTTTTTGTTAACATTAGAAACCAATTGTCGGCCAGAATATTAGTTACGTATGTGTAGTAGGTATCGATGGTCAAAATTTATATATTTTTTAATATTTATTTATTTTATAAATGTAAATGGCTCTTTTGATATAACCGAGAACTAAAATACCATTTGCGTTTAAATATAGTATTATTAGTATTAGAAATTTATAAATTATATATACTAGTTCTACACATTTCACTGAATATGAAAGGGGGACTTATAAACAGTACAGTATTACTTTCTGAATTTATATATTTGATAGAAGAAAGTTTGATGCACTTTAGCACAGGCTTACATACTAATAATAGAACTGCTTTGTAATTATTACTGATATATATTTTTTATGTTCTGATTTTATCGAGAACATAGTGTTTAGTATTTAATTACTTATATGTTCTAATTGTATTCTATATGTATATATATATATTCTATTTATAATTGATGTATAATAATTTTCAGCCATTCTTTCATTATATCTGCGATACAAACTACATTACAGTGACAATGGCGCTACTGTTATATACCATGTGTTCACAATGTTCGCGTATTTCTTCCCTGTCATCGGTGCGATGATCGCAGATGGATGGCTAGGCAGATTCAGGTAATACTTTTGATTTTCACTGACACTAATTGAAGATGTAGCATCTCAGATATTTTTGTCTGATTTAAGTAAAAAACAATATCATGTTTTTTACTTAGACATCAGACAGAATTTTAGGTACTGTAATTTAACATTTTATTAACATGGGTATTTACATTAAATACGTCAATATTTTGCCTCCATATTCTATTATAAGCAATTTGTAAAGTATGTTTAATTAAAAACTTACATATTCAAATTAAAAAATAAACAGAAATAAGTAAAAGTACAAATATATAATTTGAAATAAGTAAAATATACAATTTAACAATTCACTTTTTTGCAAGCATACGGTGGGCAAGAAAATACAGCCAGTATTCTGGCAGTATTTTCTCATTGAGTCGCTAAATCGATTCGTTGTGCGAGGAAAATGCTAACCCCTTGCCATAAGTTAATTTAAATCTTTTCATTACTCTTTATACTTTCTGTATGTATTTGAAAAGTTATGCTATAGTTTTATATAAATATAGTATTTTATTTACTCGGTGGTTACCGATATATTAATGCAATAACGAATTGTCAGTATAGTCAACAATGGTACTGTAGTAGGTACAAATAGGATAGATTCCACGAATATTTTTTGATGTCATATCTAATTGGAAAACAAGTTTTTGCAAGTAACTACTTACTACTTAAAATCAAATTAATAATATAATAATACTCAACTGATCAAGTAGCTCTTTGTAAAATACAATTGACATTGCAGGAATAAACTGATATTCGATTTGAATGTCGTTTTCATACATATTTGCAGTGAACAATAGCTCCACTCATGTTGAAGAGATCATTAAATAAATGTTTATGTGAACTTATGATTAAAATGTCTCTGTTGATATGAATCACTTGATATGATTTTAATGTTATGTTACTGATAGTACCTAGTCAATCTCAAAAGTCATTACGTATTAGAAAATTCATAATTCAAAAATAGAACGTCTACTGTCCAATTCTGGTTTTCCTCCCGCCGATCGTAAAATTCAGACTCACGTCTGTAAAAAGAAATATTTTGAATGAAACTGTGATACCAATATTATTTTAGCACTACATATTTGCAAACAATTGTTGCATACAGTTTTAATTTAAATTAAAGATATCTTTTGCAAGTCCAACCCATGTTTATTAGAACTTTAGTTATATCATTTATTTTATCGAAAAAAATAATGCCTGCTCTTACAAACCGAAGTGTTAATCGCTCTATGGTAAAAATATTAATTAACGCATCCACCGGGCAAATAATCACTGCATCGAAACTAATTTAATTACGAGCACAAATGCAATTTTATTTTGAAATATTCGCCTCAAATTTATATTTGACTTTATTTAACATTTATTAACTCCGTTCGTGTACATGACGGTTTGTAAAATTTATTTCGTTGGTGAAATTGAAATCGAATCGTGCTTAACAGTTTACCTATTCGTATAATTAAGTTAAGAGTCCATAATTATGTCTCTATTATTTTAGGATAAATGTGAACAATCTGGAATTCATCTTTTTAATATTTTGTGATACTAGTGTCTAGATCTTGAGTGTTTGATCAAATCACGTACGTTGTAAAATATTATTTTAATACAGAAAGAGCATAAATTTTCTACACTTTTCTCTACTCTAATTATTTACTCGTATTTTTTATTATAATTGACAACAGATTTCACTGATCCAAAATATCTGTAATAGACCTGTATGAAAAAAGATATTTTCATTTGATTTGATACTCTTAATATTACAATACGGTCTAACAATAAGTAGCTGATGGAAAAAAATTAAATACACTAGATATTATCAATAAATACAAAACTATAAATGTAATGTAAATACGTGAATAGAACCACGACCATTGAAAAGCCATATGTAGAGCTATTTACGACACTGTCTGTCATATTATTATATTAATGTATATATTTTTCAGGACTATAGTCTACCTCTCATTGGTGTATGCATCAGGGAGTGTGTTAATATCGGTGACAGCCATGCCGCCGGTAAATTTGCCTCCATTGTAAGTATTTAATCAGGTGCAATCACTTTATATTGAGAACATAACATACACCAATATACCTATTGAATAAACAAAATACAATGAAAAATAATTAGTAAATGTTATAAAACAATAAAGTTCTTTCAATATAAGGGTCTATCGACGTAAGACTTCGTATAAGCCATAAGTCATCAGCTTGGGATCCTCTGTGCCGTTTATCAAATCGCTAAATAAACATCCTACATACTCGTACGCATATGGATAATAGTATGACGTTAATTTCATTATGTACATATAAAGCATATTAAGAAGTAAAAGCGTAAGAAACATCGAAATCGCTCGCATAAAAACTAATAATATACTATATGTTTAGAAACATATATTTTTTGTTTGCAGAGAATTTACAATAATTGCACTACTCCTGATTGCATTTGGGACTGGTGGAATAAAGCCGTGTGTATCCGCTTTCGGAGGTGATCAGTTCAAACTGCCCGAACAGGAAAAATATTTGGGCTACTTCTTCTCACTGTTCTACTTCTCTATCAATGCCGGTAGTCTCATATCGACATTCATTACACCAATATTAAGAGCGGACGTTCACTGCTTCGGCGAGAATGATTGTTACTCGTTAGCGTTTGGAGTGCCCGGCATACTCATGATTGTTTCTATTTGTAAGTATATATTTTATTTCATGTCCGAGTTGCACTTTATACAGATACAGATTTAGGGACTATATATGCCAGATGATGAAATTAACAGCATACGGCTTGATTTATTACCATTACTATGATAGACTTAATTTACTGTTGTAAAAAGAGTTTTTATTATATCTCTTTGCCATATTTTTACTTACTTGTATATATTTTTGGTTATAGTAATCTTCTTAGCTGGAAAAAGATTGTATGTAATCAGGAATCCAGCTGGAAATGTCATTGGACGAGTAGCCACCTGTATAAGTGTAAGTAGATCAATATAAACTACATAGTACCTATATCTTGTATCTTAAATTAATACAGGTATTTTGTTTTTATTTGTGGGTTTAAATATTATTTCATTTTTAATAATATATTTTAAATTAAGTCTAATACATATATAATTTGGGCCCAAATATTTTATAAATTTTAGGATATCAGAATTTTAATATTATACTTAAGAAATAATATTATATAAAATATGATATTTTAAATTAAATCTATTTTATGTTACTTCTACTCATACATATGTAATTTAATATTACATTACTTCAATAATTATTTAATATTATTCTTATTTATCATATTATATATATATACATCGTATAAAACTTAGTCGCTGTCGCTGTTTGTCCCTATGTATGCTTAAATCTTTAAAGCTACGCAAGGGATTTTGAGGCGATTTTTTTTTAATAAATAGAGTGATTTGAGAAGAAAGTTTATATATATAATATATGTACACCGAGGCCGAGTAACTAGTATTGAATAATTATAACTAATAATAATTAAAATTTATAGTGAATATTTGGTAATACTTGTATTTTTAAATTGCGTGTTTATCTATTCTAAAGCTAGGTTTACCTATAAAAAACATTTCTTAATTCTAGCATGCTGTCTGCAGATCCTTTAAAAGTAAAGAGAGCCGCGAACACTGGTTGGACCATGCGGATGATAAGTACGACTCGGCTCTAATCGAGGATGTTAAGGCTCTTCTTAGAGTTCTTGTACTGTTTATACCACTACCAGTCTTCTGGGCGTTGTTTGATCAACAAGTAAGATGTACTAGTTTCTACGAATTACCTAATAACGTAATAGAGAATAGGAGATATCAAAAAACTTGAGTCGTCTTTAACACTATGAAATTAGTATAAAAGTAATGTTGTTCATAATTAAACAATTAATTATAATCACATGTTTGTTGTTATTATTAATATACGCAATTATTTAATAAATCTTCTTGTTGTTACAATTATTGTATTATAATTTATATTACTTCAGATACATCGTTAATTGCCTATTAAATCGTAATATAGTGTGATAGTGAAATGTCTACGAGTACGTATAATATCCTGGCATTAGCGGCAATTGCTTTAAAGAAAGACTATAACTTACAGGGTTCAAGATGGACTTTCCAAGCCGATCGCATGGAACAAGAGATCGGCAGTTGGACATTGAAAGCTGATCAGATGCAAGTGCTCAATCCATTGCTTATTTTAATTTTTATTCCTCTATTTGAAGTGGTAAGTTACTAAGGATTTATATTATTCTATACTAATAATTTCTACACTTACAAACTTATTAGTACAACATTTTAATAATAATCTCAGGACAAGCTACAGAGCGCCATCTAGTCCCAAGTTAATCTTCCTAAAGGGTTATGGGTACTGTATGACTGATAAATACATAGATATTTTTTTCGTAAATACATACATATTATATATAGAAAAGATCCAGACCGACACAAATAAACATACTCATGAATACAAATGTTTGCATCGTGCGAGGAATCAAACCCGCGACCATCGGAAGTAAGGTAGTGTGAGACCTTAAAAACTACGATTGATCACAAAATACATCTTGGACAAAATTCAGTTTTTTTAAAAGGTGCAACAATTACGATTTTCTCTTATTCTTCTGTGCTATTCTTCCTTCCAGAATAAAGACGGTAGAATAAGTACATTCCTTATGTTTATTCGAAGAAAAGCTTAATAAAGTCATGTTTGTAAAGTTTTCTAAGAAGAAACATTTCTGAATTTAACGACGGCAGTAAAGGTTATTTTAAGCCGAATCCGGTATAAATTTAAAATCGTATTGAAAAGATCAAATTTATCCGTTGTGACGTCTTATCCCCTACATTATTACTTAAATGTTTTTTATTATAAAATATTGAATGAAAATACTGTTATTTCCAGGCAATTTATCCTTTCTTGACTTGGTGCAAATTAATAAGGAAACCTCTTCACAAAATGATTTGGGGTGGAATTTTGGCGGCATGTGCATTTCTCATATCTGGAATAGTTGAATTGAGTCTACTTGTAAGTACTTAACATAATTCCCATTTTTCTAAATGATGCCTAAGTATATTCTTCTGTATTAAAACTATTTCTACTTATGATTTGTAGCCCACTTACGGAACGCCAGTATCAGCAGGTTTGGCACAACTTAGAGTTTATAATGGATTCAATTGTAATGTTACATTAATCATAAATGGTACTGATAAAAACACAACTGCATATACAAGTACAATTGAAAGTTTGTCTGCTTACGAGAAGTTAGATATAAAGGCAGCAGGACTAGTAGAACTTCCATACTCAATACAAGGAACAGAAAATAGCGAGTGCGCTCATATTATACACAATGGCATTTTCCACCTTCGAGAGGAAACTGCGAACTCGTTTTTTATCAACAATGCAGGAGTGTATAACTTCACTGATAAAAATGATAAAGCAATAGACGGTGTTAGTGTTAGGTAAGAATTAACTATTATAATTTTACAACTCATCATGAATATTCTGTTTACAATGTTCATTTCTATAATACTTATTATATATTTCGCCCCAAAATGAAAACATGCGATTTTCTAATATCATATTAATTACTTTACTCTGTTTACTAATAAGGAACAACTTGTCTTCTTCCATCGTCATATGTGACCATGTTATATTTTCTGATTGACCAAGTAGTGTAGGTTTACCAGTCTTTACGAAATTCGCCCACATACTCGCCATGTCCTTTATAAATAATCTATCACGATCGAAAAGGTCGAGATTTAGTTTCACATAATTTTCCCAATATGGTTCACATTTTAATATATAACATATTTCATCACCGTTCGAAGCACCTTTTACTCTGATATTTGATTGAGATAATGAGGTTGCCTTCATTGAATTGAATTTACCTATATAATTAAATTTGTATACATATAATTTACTTTCTTTAATATTTAATAGAGTTTTTATGAATTTTATTACTGGGTAAACCTGAAGATTAGAGGCATATCGTAAAAAATCGTGAATGGAATTCTCCGAAATTCCATTCATGAAGTACTTGTTTTTTATTTTCATAGCTATTTGTGTATACATCTCTGAAGCATAGTCATGATTGCATCCATCCGAAAACGGAACCATAAATTTGAAATTTGTAGCAAAGGCTTTTAAATATCTAGGGTTGTGTAAAAATGGAATTATTTCTGGTATACTTTCCTGGCTATTGAAACCAATTAGAATAGTAATATTCAAATTATTTACAATTTTATCAAACTGTTCAGGTCTTTTAGTTAACAAACACTTATTTGATTCTATTTCAATTATTGGAGTAAATGGTACTACTGGTCTCTGAAAACCAATAACTTCTTTACTGCTGTAAATGTTCTGTGCCGCATTTATAATATCTTTAGTTGACGCTGTGAATAAATCTTTTGAAGTAATCTTTTTCAATTCCTTCACAAATCTTTCTCTTTCCAAAGTATAGTTTCCTTGAAATATAGATGGCGAAAATATTGTACTACTTTGCAATATCATTTTCGAAAATAACTTTTTGTATTTAGTCATAAGAAGTAACGAAAGATAAGTTCCAGCTGATCCGTTGCCCATAACTGTTATTTGATTTTTATCACCTCCAAAGTGATGAATATTCTTAGAAATCCATTTCAAGGCAATTACTATATCTTTGACACCCATATTAGCATTTGTGTCAGTGTCGTTTACTTTCAGAAAACCAAAAACACCAATTCTGTGTGTAACACTCACAAGCAAAACATCATTGTCTACAAGGAAATCAGCTCCATATACATGACTAAAACTAGATGCAAATGCATATCCATGTATCCAAACAATCACTGGCATCAATAACTTTTCATTATTTATAGTAAGCTTCGGTGTATAAATATTCATGTTCAAGCAATTTTCAAATCCATACAAGGCATGTTTGTGAACAATGTGTGCTTGAGCACAAGCTCCATGGTATTCAACTGTTGCATCGTAAGGTTTTTTCCATTTTTTAAGATATCTGGGGTCTTTAAAACGAAGTCTTCCAATAGGAGCTTGCGCGTAAGGTACTCCATAAAATGCATAGTAAAGTTTTCCTTCAAAAACGGTTGCCTGTGTTGTGCCTATTACTGTACCTTGGCTTACTTCAACCTTTACTTTGTAAGAATCAATACACTTTAATTGTAAGAATAACCAAAATAAACTAACGGTTATAAAAACAATTCTCAAATACATGTCGCGTGTAGTATTCGGCTAACTAGTGACGGACTGTAGTGGAATATGTTTTTTCAATAACAACCTAGCTAACCTAATTAAATTTCAGTCGAGTGTCAAATGTTTTGGTTACGTTTTTATTAATAACATCATCTCAAAATACAGGTGTAGCGTTTGTTACTTTAGTTAATAATTCGCATTTATTTTAGATTTTTATCAAATATTAATGAACCAGTGGAGATTAAAATTGTAGATACAAAGAATAGAACAATATTATCTCAAAACAGCAATGACAGGAATCAAAAATCTATACAAAAAGGAAAAAGTAATGTTTTAATGGGTGGCGACGTAGTTTTAAAAGATTTCAATTTCCAATCTGGTGCAGTGTACACTATTAATGTACATCAAGAAAGCAATGGAAATTATGTAAGTAAGACATAATTTTAATTAATAATATGTGTTATATATATAAAATGAGAGTATGATAATGTTATGATACAAGAAAATACTAACGTCTATAAGCAACTTTTAAAAATACATAACAAGTCTATGCCTCCTGTAGAACTTGATCGAAATGTTTGATTGTAATTTTTTCATTGTATTTTTCATTGTATTTCTACCAATGCTTGAAATAATTTATTAGTAATGATTATGTTAGCAATGAAGTATTGGATATACTTACGATTTATCATTTATTTTCATTGTACAACTATAATTGGCAAATATAACAGGACACCAGTTTTATTTAAAGACTTATTTTATGGTCGATTCGATTCAATACTATAATGTTATTATTATGAAGCTGTATTTTTACCCTCCAGTCGATCAAAAAGTTGTACTGAATAACAAATATAATTTGTGTTTATTCTAATAACAAGCATATTATGTTATATTATATTTCGATTAATTTATAAAATATATTTTTAATGGATGAAAATGCTAACCATTTATAAGACGGGTGATGAGATGAGTATGACGTCATGTCAGTTAGCCCATTGTCACGAATTTGCCAGGAATTTTCTCGTTGATTTCCAGGGGGAACCGCGTTGAAGTAAAACTGACATGGTACATTGCTAGAGCTATGAGGTCATCAAAATCCATATAATTATATTATTTCCATGTATAGTCAGTGTGAATTTTTTCAGAAATACAAATTTGCCAAAGCCAAATCCTTAAGACAAATATCTAATTGCCTGACTTTGGGTATATGGGTATACCACATTGGGTATACCATAAGATTAATTTTACCACGAATATTTCTAAAAATGCATAATTCTTTTAGACGGCGAATCCAGTAATGATAACTCCAGCAAACACGGTTCACATATTATGGTTGGTGCCTCAATACGTGGTCATGACAATGGGGGAGGTCATGTTTTCAGTCACCGGTTTAGAATTCTCGTTTACTCAGGCACCAGCGAGCATGAAGTCAGTGTTGCAATCCGTCTGGCTATTGACTGTAGCATTCGGAAATCTTATCGTCGTTCTCATTGTGGAAGGAAACTTTTTAGATGCTCAGGTGAGTGTAATATTGTCGATGTACATTGTTGGCCTTCAATGTTTACTTTACGTTGTTACATGTCAGATACGATGCCATACATGCCTTTATTACTAAAAAGATATTTGGAATACATATAATTTTATCATTAATAAAAATAACTGAAAAATGAGGTTACACTAATATTGATTCTGATCTCTTGCAGTGGAAAGAGTTCTTCCTATTTGCGGGGCTAATGATGATCGACATGCTTATCTTCTCTGTGATGGCATTCCGGTATAAGTACGTGGAGCTCAAGTCCAGTGTTCAGGAATTAACTATAATAGATGAAAAGAAAATACCCGAGATTCCAGCTAGAAAAAGAGACGACTAGGTGTTTTAATAAAGTTTTCATTAAAACAAATTGATTTTTATTATTTATATTATTTTTCCCCAGGAACAAATTTCGAAGAAAACAAAAATCTTGTTTTTAGAAGATAAGGCAGGAAACTTTTTAGTAAACATAAGAAAAACTGTAGGTAATATATGATGTTACTTTATAAATAGTAGATAATAGTCCGACTTCTCTAAGTGTTACAAATTTAAAATACATACCAAAAAAGATACCAAAAGAGAGAAGCACTATACGAACTCAAAAAATCCGACTGACACGTTCAATCTGTTTAGTTAAATGGTGTGAACACATTAGACAATTAGTTTTGGGTAATTTGTGTGTTGTTCCCATAGGAGTTCACGAGTGGCGGCGGGCCGCGTTCTATGGAACAGTCGCGTGACATCGGTTAACCCTCCTTGTTACGTCCGTGTCGAATGGGGTGCATTTGTAAGGGTGCTCAAACTTTAACTTGTTATTTTCCTAAAACAAAACATTTACTTCCTTCCTTCTGAATTATTTGCGTCCTTCTCTAAGAATTGCTTTGTATTAGAAATACAAAGCAATATACTAAACTAATATACTACATATTCTCTTCTCAATTCACAATCACATTCTTCAAATAATAAAACTATTTATAAAGGGATAAATATTTTATTGGTAGACACAGTGACATATTATATATAATTTGTTTTATAGTTTTTGATTAAAGAAAACAAAAATAAACTTTGAATATAACAGTATCAAAAGAGTTTCTCTACACGTTTCATACTTTCGAAACATTGTAATTGCTATTGATGGGATTGGACGAGACGGTCGGACGAGAGGACTTATGAAGCGACTGTAGTCCATTCACAACTTAGCGGATTTGAATAATGTACAATGCATATAGTTACCTAGTAATGTACCATATAAAAAAATAAATAATTTACTAATAACAGACTTCTTTGTATATACAATGTATACACAGAAGTATGTATACATTGTATATACACAGAATACATATGATAAAAGAATTTAATGAATTCGTTTCTAATCAATAAAAGTTGTATTGACTAGGTATGTACAAGTGACAGACCAGTATCAAGTAGGTACTATTTATATATTATTTTATTAAAAAAGTAGTATATATTTGCGTTCTATAATAATTTTGTACTTCTTTTGCGCAAACTAATCGGACTAAACCTATTATTATTAAGATGTACAGTAGTTAAATAAATAAAGTATAAATGTATATTCGGTATAATGAATAAACACTTATTCAATATACTCAATATATTTTGTATACTTATAGTACTTATTATCTGAAGTTGGATTGCTGACTTTACTCAGTAATCCAATACAGTTTGAGAACCACAACGTGCAATTGAAGTGCTCAGAGCTGCAGACGACTTGTTAATAATTGCGTATAATAAATGCTTAAATACAACAAACAGACAGACAAATACGGGTAGGGGAATCCATAAGGGCCGATTTAGTTTCCAGTCTATTGACAAATGAGTATAATACCTATCTACCAAACAACATATGTATATAAACTTTTTAAACATATTTTATATTTGTTAAAAATTACTCTATGAAGAAAGTAAACAGTGAATTAATACGCAATACAAAGTACAAAATAGAGTGATTTATTGTTCAAATTCAACAGAACCTACAGATTTATGTCGAAATTAATTAGCTATAATTTGTTATATCGTACTGGTTTATTTGCCAATCAATACTGCAATTATATACAGCAATTACACAATTTTGATTTGTTGCATTTTGCTTTATTGGTAAAATAATTCTTCTGAATGCTTATATGTATAATATATTTCCACACTCTCACTAAAATTCAAATTAATATTGTTGGCAATTGCGTTACATTATCAAGCTGCTGTTATGAATGGCACATTTCACTTTTCAAAAAGTTTTAGATTCCCTGAAAAGTACTCTTTTAACTTATTTCTCCTGATAAGCAGAATTCTTTGTAAGCCGTATTCTATTATAATTAATGGAAGGAATGGAATGAGAAATTAATGTGTAGGGAAGTTGACAATTAGGCGTCAGTAAGGTGTGGTAGATTGTTGCACAAGTATACTGCATTCCATTTCCATTAAAAATGTGCATCTACACAAACTGCAGAATTCAATAATAGTCCGGATTAATTAAGTGCATACTGTAAAACAGTTTTTGGATAGGCGTCAGTACATGTTCGGGACACTTGGTTGGACGCGCGGCGTGCCACGCGCACCCAGCACGTGACCGCCGCCACGCGACCGCACTACAAAGCACACCCGGAGGACCGTTTACGCACTCGCCGGATAATCTTATCCGGAGCATACGCACACAAATAAATAAATTAAAGCCAATCATTCTTTATGTTAAAAAACCACAGAACTAATGTTGATTTTAAATTTAAGTAAATCTGCGAAATAAGTTTCTCTCATGAGAATGTTTTGAAACTTATTTCGCAAAACATAATAATTCTCGTAGGTAAGTCCAGGTCCAGGTTGTCTGTATGAGTTTGCTTTAAACGATAAGCCGTTTTTACTTAGCATGTTTATATTAAGTTAGTGTTTGTATTTTATTCTGTGCTCAATAAAGAGTTATTATTATTATTAAATCCAGATGGGATAATAATTAATTGGATCCTTCTCAAAATGTAAATATGTCATACGATGTCTTTATTTTAAAATATAGTAGCTATGTATGGACTATTGATGTGTTTGGTAGTTAATTAACCTAAATTCGCTTTATAGAGAGAAAAAGACTTAGTACGTAGGTAATAATATATAAATAACTTTTTTATATAAAATATTAGACAAATAATATAATGATATGAAGAGATACGTGTAGCTAACACTATACTCATAGTACATTTGGTGAATGTCTGGTATTTATGGAATGCAGTTAATAAAATAAGCTAAATAAGTATATAACTTTCGATATTGTTCACGCCTGCATTGTCACTGCAATATTAAATTCAAATTCAAATTCAAAAATCATTTATTCATGTAGGACATTTTAGCCGCTTATGAACGTCAAATTTTTACATTATAATTTTATTTTTTTCCCTACCGTCCAGTTCGGTATATATAGTAGATCCAATTGAGAAGAACTGGCAAGAAACTCAATTGAATTACTTTTTTTTTAGAGCCAGTTTATTTACAATGTATATTTATATAGGTGTCTATGTCTAACATTAAATGAAAATTCAGTGTATGAACAACTATTGCCATGCACACTCGTCATTCAAGTAATCGTTTAGTGAGTAATAGGCTTTGCTCAGTAAATATGATTTAACAGATGTTTTGAATTTGTTTAAGGGTAATTCCAACATATCCTTTGGTATCTTATTGTAAATTTTTATACCTATTCCCATAAAAGACCTATTAACTTTTTCTAAACGATACTTGGGGACAGCAAGTTTGTCTTTAAATTTCAAATTATCTTATGAAGTAAAACTTCTTGTATACAATTTCACAAAAAAATGAACGACAATTTAAAAAGCTTGGCTTATCGCCTTTGCAAATTTTTATACGAGAGAAAATTTCACGAGTATGATCGTAAAACTATCAAACACATGGTAAAGGGCGGGGTGTGGTCACGTGTCACGAGGTCGTTTCCACGCCGCGCCGCTGCAAATCAATTACAGGGGCAACTTGGGCACGACTTCCGAATGCGAATTAGCGCAAAATTATAGTCGTCCGCCAAATTATTTGTTTATAAAAGAGGGTGAAACGCTAATTTATAGATGGACAAATGTAGGACGGCTATTTTAGATGAATATAGTTCACACGCGTGCTTGTACGGAGCGTGTATGTAACGATAGGCATGACGATAATTTATAGTGTTTAATTTAAATAATTATATGTCTTCAAAGAGCACTACGAGCCGTAGGCGCTGCTTATTAGTTCTTAAAAAACCTACGACTTCAGCAACAGCACGAATAAATAGAAGTATCTGTAGGATGTAAAAATCTACTAATAAACTAAAGTTTTCATCACATTTAGATAATACAAAAATAACAGTAAACAATTTTTTAAAAACACCTCTAATCTCTAGCCACGATATGAAATCTTACTGAGAAGTTTTTTCTTTATTGAACTGATTATCAGTTTAGGCATTTCTATATTTTATTTAATACGATTTTTATAGAATTTAGGCCAATTGTTTACAATTAACTCTTAACTAAAGACTGAAGCTATATCTATAGGTACATGTAAATAAATTTGGAGTGTCTGTTTGTAATATTGAAATAACCGTTTTTACTACATGGATATGAATATAAATACGGCACATACACCAAAATAACATTTTTTACCATTTTTGTCTGTTTGTCTGTTTGTTCCGGCTAATCTCTGAATCGGTCCGATTTTGACGGAACTTATATTGGCAGGTAGCTGATGTAATAAGGAGTAACTTAGGCTACCTTTATTTTAGAAAAATGAAGTAAAATTCCACGCTGACGAAGTCGCGTCACCAAAAATCTAGATATACAGATTTTTGGTGATGTAACAACAGTCACGAGTAAATAGTTAAAAAAATTGGCAGTCTTACAAAACAGCAGTCTAATTTGATACAGACTTGCAATACAATTTTACAATAATATTTCAAACCTATTATTAAATAAAATTATATTCAACATATTTATTGTAATAAACACGACTGCATGTTAGTATAATAGCAATATAGCAATGAAACAACAAAAGTATGTATTAATAATAAATACCTACAGGTATATCTACGTTTATATACATAATGGAAATTGTAATAACGACAGAATTATACCTAAAATCTCCAAACTTATATGTACTACTATGCCACTCATGGTACCACAAACCATTTATGCATTTCTGTAAAATACATCTGACCGTATCAATGAATGGAGCTCCAATACAGACCTCCTCTGATTCCGTTATCTCAAAGCTATCGCGAATTAAATCCAACCATACAGCACTTAACGTAGGAAATATGAAACGGTAGCAAGTTAGGTATATAGACGACGTGTGACTTATGTGTTCCTATTAAACCTAAGAGAAAAAATTACAATATTGCGACGGGAATGGGAAGTTAAATAGTCAAAAACGATATTTTTTTTTTATGGTTGCTAATGTAATGGTGCACCCGCCTGCGCTAACAGTTTGCGCTCCCGGGCACCAGTGGAGGATGATAGATGAACATGAGGTCAGGTCAGTTAGCCTACCGTGATTAAAGAACCAAGAATTAATCACAATGGTTTCCAAGGGGAACCGCATGGAGGTCGATCCAACGGTGCATTGCTAGCAAAGGGTTACTAAACCCCATTACTAACAATCCCCTTCCCTTTCCCCCTCAGAGATAATATTGCAAGAAAGGGACTGATAAACGAGATGACTGAAGAACAAAACGTATTACCTACGCAAATCACAGATAAATGGTATAAGGTAGAAGCAGTTAATGTTGATTACTCTTGGGTAATTTGCAAACAGTTATTCGTATTAATCGCCTACGGCTGTGTTCATCGATGTGTTCGTCGGTTCATCGATGGGCCACGCATAGTTATGAGTGACGTGACTTCCGACTTCCAAACTGATACCACTGATTAAACAAATAGTGACCCATTCGTCTATTGCTATGAGCTCTTGTGTAAATTAAATACATAGCATAGGAATAAAGTAGGTACTTACGTACGTATTGAGTTGATAAAGTTTCAAAGAGGCGATCCTACTAATCTTACTTTAGCGTTTAATATAAATAGTACAGTAATAATTTTAAATAATAGGTAAATCGTATTTTGCCTTACGGTATTGAGTTAGTCTAGCTGTAATTGATGTATCGTGACATAAGCAAACCGTTGCGTTGGGTAAGTACCTGAAAAATCTCTCATAGTGAGATAAATTTATGGTATTGTATAATATATACTCCCCAAGAGTATTTTCTCTTAGAAGCGTGCGTTTTACGGCTGCTGTCAGAACCAGATCTCCATTCACCAATGGCAGAGAGAGAACAACATCGATTGGCCACCGGCACTCCTATATTATTCGGACAGACGCGTAGATAAGCCTACCAAAAAATAGACATCGTGAAATTTTACTTGGTTTTGAAGGCTAAAAGATGAAAAAATACAATAAAAATATAAGATATATTTCTTCACAATTAATTATGCAAACGGACAAAGGACTCCATATCTATTAAAGACCTTGTAAGAAAAAATGAAATATTAACTATATCTACTAATATTACATTGATGAAGTAGTTGACTGTACATACAATGAAATATTTCATCTTGTTTGAAATTAATAAACTAAAAGATACCTATATCTAATAGTATATTAAAATAAATTGTCAATATCTATTTAGGCGATTTTATGAACATATCATACTTCGCCTGCAACAGCAACACACTTTCTCTATCTAACATTGTGTTTACAAAAAAACCTATAATATGATATCATAAGTGTGTAAGTATAATATTATCTACTAATAATAATTTATAAATATAATTGCATATTCTGGTGTTTAAATATATAGTTATTAGTTGATTTCTTACTTCGTACCCGTTACTTGATTTCTCACTTTAAAGTAACTACCTGTTTGAATTTCATAGTACAGACACTAAGTATAGTTACCTATGTGTAACACACTGGTTGCAAGTGCGATAAACTACCTGTTACTTTACTGAAACTTAGTAGATATAATCTGGTTTTCAGGAAGAATGTGAAATAGGAGTCCGAAACGACATCATCCATAGAAACAAACTAAACAAAGCCATTTGTGACTAAATATAAATATTTTTTTTATTAAGTAAATTTTCATGTAGACAATTTATAATTTTACTGTTTGAGATAGATATAGATCGTGTAAAACTATCTTGGAATGAGTCAACTCGAGGTAATTTTCTTCGATGTTATTAAATGACAGCATTAAGTAAGTACCTACATGACCATGTAACATTTTCCAGGTGTAGATATGTACTACCTGCTTGGAATAACAAATACGAGTTGTTATACTTCTGCTTAAATGTTATAATATTTTATATTATATATTTATATAGCATAAAAATTTAAATTAAATTATGAAGTTGATTGTTATAGTATGAGTACCTACTTACAAATAATAGAAAGATGATAAAAAAGACCATTCTTCAAAGAAAACTGTAACTGGAAAATATTTCTGACTAACCGTAAGCGTAATTTTCTTAAAAATGTGCAGATATAATTTTGTTACTTCTCTGGACATTGGATTGTACGACCTAAAAACATTTTCAAAATTATTAATAAATAAATTATTTAATGAAATTCCTACGAAAAGAATTCACCATTGTTTGCGAAACTCGATTAAGCCCCGCCTCTTTGGTTCCTTATTTCTATGGCGCCTCCCACTGTGCAGGGGTTGAAGCGCTCACAGCCACATGAATTGGGGTTTGGTCGCTCTAAATTTGGTCTTTAATCGATGCGGGTACGGTCTAGTCTGGCACAAACTGTGCACAATTTCTGTTTAAGAACCCTGCCGCAGAGTATAAACGAAATTACCACCCCTCGCGGTATAAAATTATTTACGCGTTTAGTAGACGTTCAGTATAATTCAAATATTAAGAGAATTAGTGCGCTCAATGAACGAGCCATGTCAGGAGCAAGAACGCAGCTAGCAGATTCATCTACTTCTCCGCCGTTGAGGTTAGTTTAAATTAAATTATTTTTATTTTCTATTAATAGACTAATAAGATTTCCATAAGATCTAAAATACTTATATATTTAACCATTAATACTAAATCAGTAGTTAAATGTATCCAAACAGTTTTCTGTATTTACTGAATCATGCAAAAAACTAGCTACCTCCTACTACTGTTTACCTACTGTAAACTATTGGTATCTATATAATATTTCTAATAGCATATGACAGAACTATAATATATAAAATCCATTCTATAACATTTACAATAAAATAAAAAATAAGTCACTGTTTGAAATTTATTTTAACAAACTAAATTCATATTAAGGTATATATAGTACTTATATTAACTGTTAAAATTTTATTTATTTTAATTAAAAATAAGTCTAATTGCACGCGGACGAAGGCGCGGGTAACAGCTCGTTTATAAATAAAAAGAATTCAAAAGGAGTTTGCGGAGCGGTAGTTCACTAACTGCTACTGACTAACGCTCGTTTTATCAGTCTTAACCATTTGGTTAGGAAACGTAGAAAAAAATATTCCTACGATAATCAAAACAATTATTATAAGTGTAAATATTTTTTTAAGGACATAGTAATAATTTCAAAGGATCTAGTTAAATCTAAAAACGTCTCAATCCTTTTGTTGCTTCGCTATTTCAAAATAGCAATCACGTAGGAATGAATAGGTACAAGATCCTCTAAAATAATACTTATTTATTATCAAACAAAATAGACAGAATTATAAAAATAAATATCTCGGATTATTTTTACAACAAATCCAATAGCAGTAAATTGCAAGCTTCAATAACAGACGATATTGTGAGAGATATGCTTATATTTGAACAGTAAATACAGAACAGTTAGAAATATAGGTAAATTAAATATTTACAGGTGTAACTACATTTAAGAATTTTGCATGTTATTGAATCCGAAATAAATAAAAATAATTAAATAAATAAAAGAAAGATGTCTCAAACAACTGACTTAGATTTCGATATCAAGGTTGGTATACCCTTAAACATAAAATTTAGTAGTTTTACAAGTCAAATGTATGAATATAAAAGTTTAAAAACACAATTTTTAATTAATTATCGTAATTAGTTCCTGTACTGGGCATGGGCTTACTCTTCCAAACCTGCCTATCCTGAGCACACATTTTATCAAACGATAAGAGTAATTAATGCCAAATAATATCTACCTGGAAACAATTTTATTACTTCAATATATTGACGCTGCATGTATAAATCTGTCTCAAACAGATTATTCTCAATAACATGATCAAATAATGAATAAAATTTGCCACAAACTAGCGACTAAATACTAACTAATTACAACCACAAATAACATAATATTACCCATTACAACTAAATCAATAGTAGGTACTTATATACTAGACATTTCAATAGATCGAACATAAATCTAATAGACAAACTTTCAAAAATGACGTATGTCCTATAACGTACAATTGTACAATAATAATAACACACAGCGAATTACGGTATTCGCATCCAGCGGGCATATTAAACCAAATGATTTAAACATAAATTTAATTTTATAATAAAATACTACAGACATTCCTATTAACTACGATTTTAACTAAATAAGGTGTGACACAGCTCGATGTCAGAACTAGTAAAGCAAACCACAGTTGCCACAAAAACATTGTCGGCGTTTTACAGATTTAATATAAAATTAACAATATGACAATTAAAATCATACCAACCAACCAACCAACCATATTAAAATTGTGACATTGAGGCTTCGTTCATCATAAGGCGCATGCAAGTTCTGCTCTTCAACATTTTCAATAGAGTTGTGCACGGCATATTATTATGTAACAAGCGTAATATGTTACTACTACATTAAAAGAAAGTCTTGGTCGGGTAATGCAAACCTCATTCTTAAAGTGAATTAACTTCGAACTCATAGAAATTTGAATTATTACTTAAGCGCTTGTTTTTTTACAGCGAAAGTCGTCGCCTTGATTTTAACTCCGGCTTGAAGTACTCGTATGGTGATGGTTCTGATGATGAAGGCCCGACGCTAGCAGCCGAACTGCCCTCGTGCGTGTATGCAGCCGCCAGGAGTCGACTCCAATTACCTCTCGCTGCGTATGTACACCAACACACCAGGCAATTACACACAGGTAACTGGTTTTATGCATAACACAATCATAATTTAAATTAGATTTAGAATTTATTGGGGATTGATAAATTATCAACCCCCTTAAATTCTATATAAAACAATAGGACTACTGCAGATCATTTTATAAGTATAGAATTTAATATAGCTATAGATTGACCATTAATGGTAATTCTTTCTATATATTTATGACTAACGTGTAAAATTGCCGAAGTTTTTTTAAATAGAAATAACGAAACGTAAAATAAAATCCTGTTTTTTAAGTTAAACGCCTTGGGTATTATGACTTTATCATTTATATACATTTTAGAAAGAATAAAGTGTCTGAAGTACCAAGCCCCAATTTATCATTTTTAAAACAATTTATTTACCGCGTCATCATCTAGTTTTTACCAAACCGATAGGCAGGCACACTTTAGTATTTATTTAAATGTAAATATAAAAGAAAATATAGTTAAAAATTTAAGTATAATTCGATTATTTCACAATGGAATCAATTTAATGGACTTAAAACAGGTAATCTAAGTTGGTATGTTATATATATGACATTTTATTTCACCGGAATAGCGACGCATGAGGATTATCCACACATTCGTTTATGTATACTCACAACGTATATAATCTATTGTACTTTTTACTTTATAATTTGTGTCCATAGGGTTTGTTCTGTTTGTTTGCTCTAATTATGAATATAACATGTATAGCCCATACCACTCTAAAATCAGAATCAATCCGATATTGCTTCTGATATTCGTGACCACTTAGTCTAAAACATCGTCGTCACATTTATAAGTTATGGGTATTTATTATCAATATTCTCTGAATTTATTGTCTTCCAAAAACGACCTTAAGGTGACCATCCTGAAAGCAATATTATGCATATTGGACACATCACAGTTCTTTAACAGATGTTTTATTGGAGACATCCGCCGAGCCCGAGTATCAATGCGGTGGATCACCGTACCGCGTGCAGCGGGCGGCTGCGAACGTACGCGAGCGACGACGGATGCTGAGGTCCGGACCCAATGGGTATCCACTTATTGTTGCGGTCTTTTCTATAGATCTGAATTTATTCATGGGTGTACCCATCTAGTATGTTTCATATAACTTTTAACAATGAAATAGTTGTGAATTTTTGCTGTTGTTTAGTTTGTTGCATGATAAATGTAGATAGTATACAATTTTACGAGTATATTACTGATTCTTTATTGATCGCTTATTTGTATTGATTTGTATCTACTGCCTAATTTTGAAATAATATACAAATATATTTTAGAGCAGAGCGAACTAAGTAGTTACTCTTACTCTTTTGCCTGTGCGAAGTAAATATATAACAATTACTTTGTTATATTTTTATTCTAGATACCCAATTTAGCCAATTCCCAAGACGTACCTACATAAGTATTTTGTAATTTTAATAAAATATTTATATAATTGGATATTCGTCTTTTTCCATCGATGAACTTAAAATAATAACATATCTACTGATGTTATGTTTACATACGTAGATATTATACAAATATTACACACATTTTAAAACTAAATATGTAAAAAATGGCTAGTCTCCTCTCTTGAGAACTAAACTTTTAAGTGGTTTAGTGGTTCACCACATCGCCTCACTTCCTCTTAACACTGGGTGTTTTTCTGTACTCATATGATATGCATGTATTTACCAAAAACAATGTATTTAGGTATATTAGTTGTCTAGTAATCATAATGCAACCTCTGCTTACCTTGGGACTAGATGCTTAAATAGTCCTGAAATATTTGTAACATTGATTAGATTCGATTATTAGTACTATTATATTATTACAAAACTGTATACCTCGTAAATACCTACAATGTTTTGTTCGTGAAGAGTATATCAAACCAGCTAAAACTTGCGTGTAATGTTCTGATTTTAGCAGTATAAACTCGGCGTTCGACGAACTGCGTGTGCACGTGCCAACCTTTCCTTATGAGAAAAGACTCAGCAAAATTGACACGCTTCGGCTAGCCATTGCTTACATCGCTCTGCTCAGGGAGGTAAGTGAAAGGTTGCATACTTTGTATGAATATTAAAATGACAAGTATACATTATGCTTAACCAAGATTTAGACACAAATTGAAATAAGCATATGGCATACCTAGGCCTGTGCACAATAAAAATCTGCAGATTTTGCCAAGCTGAATAGCGTGAGTCTAAACGAAACATCTCCTTTAAAAAGTTTATACTCTATCCTGAGGGGATAAAAACCATCACGTCTAAGAATATCTTTCAATTCTTGTCCTTGTCGGGTTTATGTAACGATCTATGAAAAAGGGCGAGGTCAATAGACCTTTGTTAGTCGCAGTGCTACAGCTCCAAAGTGCCCAAAACCCCCAATAAAAAAAAACAAGATTTATGACCGAATTCGAGTTGAAAGGGTTCGGAATAAATAATGTAAATAGTACCTATTTTATTTTCTATAATATATATTGTAATACTCAAGATGGATATAAAATCCGTTACACAACTATCTGTACTTGGTTATAGATAAAATTAACTGATAGGTAACTGACAGATCCCACTTTAATAGATGGACAATAAAAATATGTCTGATAAAGTTGCACCATAAGTTTAAACTTTTGGAACTATCGGTACTTAACATTTTGTATATTGTTATTATAGTAGATAAAGATTATTATTATATTCTGATGTCTATATTTATATATTCCTAACACAGTAAAGGCTTTACCTTTACTGTGTTGCTTTTAATTGTTCTTATCTAATTCTTAAATATCTTAAATAAATATTTATCAGGTATTAGATGCAGATTACGATCCTCTGACTTACGTAGAAAAATGCTTGCGTGGAGAAATCAAAGCTGACCGAGCACATTGGAATACAAGTGGTAAATATATGATTTTATGAATAATTATTAAAGTAAAACATAACCGTGATGACTCGAATATATAAGAGCAAAACATTCTTAATCAAACGCGATAATCGTTTGATGACGTCTGACGCCGCAAATTCTTAGCAATTGTCTGTCACTAAGTTGCCAACCGACTCAGAATATCATTAAATATATTACACTATCAGCCAGGTCATTGTTCACCAGGGCTACTAGTCTCCTAATTGTCTTGGGGCCCTACTCTGTCTAAAAGTGCTGACTAACCTCACGTTATATACACCATGGCACCCTTTTTGCATATACCATCGGCACAAAGTGCACCATATAAACATTTAAAAATCAGTAATATGTATAAGTAATTTAATGACAGATTATAATAGTACAAATATTTTTTATAGACCTGACAGCAAGACTCTCGTGGATCAATTGGGAGAATCTCGGGGTGAACCCGCAAAGAAGGAGCGTCCTTACCTCGCTCGCACTCAGTTCTGACAATTTGCAATATTCACATAACTAAGACATCAATAATACCAGATATATTTATTTATATTTACAATATGACATAAAAACAGTATTTTTATAACAGAAGATACCTATAGGTATAGTGCAAACGGAATATAGTACCTGGGAAGCTAGAGCCTTTGTTGTGTGTGTGTGTGTGGGGAAGACCTAAATTTAACAGTAGAGATAGATACAGCATGAAATTGTAATCAAATATGCTGTACGTAGAAACTGTAAAATAAAAGAAATATGCAGGAATATTATTTATAGATACTTTGTTCTTATTTACGGAACAACTTTTTTTCTGTAAATTATACAATATACTAAAACAGAGGGATAGTTATGTTTATACATTTTTTAAAAGTATTTACATGTTGTACGTTGCCGTGGTAAAAACCAAAACAAGATTTACAGAACAACTTTGTTTTCTATACATTATACAATATAATAAAGTTGTAGGTTAGCCATGCTTGTAGATTTTTTCTAAACCGATTTACATATTGTATGTTAGACAAAAAGAAATATTATTAGATGTTTTGTCTGTTTGCCAGTGCGTTTGTATTTGTGAACGTTAATCTGGCCTGGCAAACGTTGTTTTGCCATATATAATCAGTTATCGACCACTGAAAGTAGAAAATCGTTAAAGTAGATAATAATATAAGCTGTTAAATAATAGAGGTAGATGACAAAAGGGTGAAAATTTGGGCTGTTACGTGTCAAAAAAAATGTCCAAAAAAGAATATATATGGGATTGGACAACCCTCATCGCTCAGAGATATGCAAAATACGTTATACCTCTTATTCTCAGACCTACTGAACATACAAAATTTATTAATTAACACAAATTTTCATAAGAATCAATCAAGCCGTTTAGGAGGAGTTTAGATACCATCATTGTGACAGAGAGAGAGAGTATTTTATACATTATAAAGATTACAATCTTCTCGTAACAATAAGTAGGTACTTATTTGTTTCATTTAAGGGATCACAAATAACAAAGTTGTTATCTATTGTTATTGCTAATATGTAGTTAATATGTAGGTACCACGCGTACGAAGTTGCGCGCACAGCTAGTATGTAATGGTAAAATCGCCGACATTTTGTACAATACTAAAGATCGACTGGTTTCTTCATATATGTCTTCCTTTCAACATGAACGATAATAATAGAGTGAGACATAGACATAATTTTATTAATTACATATATTAACTTACAAATGGACAGAAAATAACCGATATTGTTATATTTTTTATTATGAAATACATAGATATGCTGTATAACTAGTCAAAAGGGTGCAATATAGACCTAAGTTACTTTATGAAATGTAGACATGTAATATGATATAGGAATATAATCCTGTTTGTATAATTAATAACGATCGACGAAATTCAAGTATAAAATAAAGAGTTGAAACAAATGTTTGTTTTATTTGAGTACTTTAGAGTAAGTTTATATGGTAGCAATCAGATGGTAAACGGTTCCCTTCTGACTTAAAGTGTCTTGTACGTCTGAATAGCTATTACACAAAAAAATAAAATATACCTTTTGTTTGGTAGGTTCTGGAACTCCACGCGGCCTCCCAGTTATAGATTTTGGACCATCACATTTCAGGAAACCCTATTAATCTATTGAACCATGACACAACATGCAAACTTGGTAATGGAAGCTTTCTATACCTACCAGTAAATCTTTGGAAATTGTAGTATTTTATAATAGCATTTAAATTCTGATCTGATAGTCAAAAAACACACAATAAAAATTATAAAGGTATTCAAAATCTAACACATACTAAATTTTTTAAATAATTTCTCTTTCTTTTCATTAAATAAGATAGTAAAACCAAGACGAAGCAAAATTTACTTTTTTCTGTTTGGGTATTCAGATTTCACTTAAATATGGCAAGAAGTATTAGGATGAAATTTTCAAAAAGTAATCATCTTGGTAATATTCTCAAATATTAAAGCTGAGAAAATGCGCTACCTGCAATAGTGCTAATTTATTAATAAATAATTGGCGTTATATAGACGCTTTCTTTATTGTAATCGTTTGATAGCCCTTGGACATGCGTACTATACTAAATGGCGGGCATCACTAATAATAAAGAAAATAAGCTATTTTTGTTAACGGTAAGTATACCTACGTGGTGGGGGGAAGGTGGTTCATGGTGAATTTACCACTATGGAATATCTGTCCTGACCTCATGTTCATCTGACCATCCTTCACTGGTGTCCTGCCAGCGTAATCCTTTAGCGCAGGCGGGTGCACAATTCCATTATCATCCATAAGACACGTAAGCGGTCCGGAATAGCAACGTTACCACCGGCGTAACATGAGGGCGTGATATCCGTAGTTAATTCTTTTTAATATATCCAGTGGACGGTTATCATTTACAATAGGGTGAACCGTTTGGGTACATAAAAAAACAGCAGTAACTTCAGTCTTAATATTTTTATCAATTTATAAATACATCATACATTGGGAATAAAACTCTAGGAATGTCTTTGTAAAAATAGTTATAAATTAATAATAAAAAGACAAGCACTGAAATAGTCCCGGACAAATTTATGTTCTTCATTAAAATACATGCAAGAAACCGTAGTCACAAGCATAAACTACTTAAATTTATTATCAACAGATATAAAAATAATTAGATTAATTATTATATACATTATAATATAAATTAATATGCAGTATTTAATATAAAACAACACAATTCTTATTTTATACACATTCATTTCTATATCAATGGTATCGGATATTTACAGCTAAGTTAGACTTATAAAAGATATTATAGAAGAGAGTTACTTCAAAAAAGTTCTGATTTTAGCCGAGTGCTAATGGTATACAACAATAAATAAAAGGGTCATCTTCATCTCTACCTCTATATAATATATAATACCACAACTGAACTAATAACTTACTAAAATATACGGCGGGTAGTTGTACACTTAAAATATCTCTCTTCAAATTTTATATTAATTTGTTTTTATTAACTAAAATAATATTATCTCACCTTAAGTGCATTGTTTATTGGCCAAAGATTAATATAAAGTGTTAGCATATCTTTACATGTATTAAATAACCAAATATCTGCATAATCCTGCCGGCCAGTCTCATTTTTGTCACAACACTTAACACTTTGGAGATGGCGAACTTTGCTGACTTGGCCTCTACACAGAAGACATTGGAGAACACACTTCTTAAGATGATGGCGAGTTTTGAAGGTAAACTCCAGGCTATTACTCCTCAAACAACGGATACACTCACAATCGCTCAATTGTCCAATGAATTTAATGAATTTAAGATCTATACTCATGAAGTCTTGGGTCTTCTTCGTCAGCAAATAGCATACTTGATCCAAACAACTGATGAAATAGAGATGAGACACAGACGGAAGTATCTTCTACTTGGCGGAGTTCCAGAGAGTGGCGATGACTTGGCCTCTGTGATTGCCACTATCTGCAAGGATCACCTCAAGCTACCCGATGTCCAAGCCTCTGACATTTCTAGTTGTCATCGCCTAGGTACGGCGATTGAGGGCCGTTGTAGACCCATTATATTCCGTACCATTAATCCTGCTCTCAGTTCATTAATTTGGAAAAGCAAGACTAAATTGAAGGGGACCATGCTTGTTGTTTCCGAATTCTTGACTCGACGGAGGCAGGAATTGTTCCTCGAGGCCCGGAAGCGGTTAGGTATGAGAAACGTTTGGACGCTAAGCGGTAATATATACACTAAAGATCCGTCTGGCGGTCACCGCCGCATTAACAACATTGATGATTTGGACGCTATAATTCCCAAATCCAGCGAGCCCACATCGTCTAAATTGCCGGATCCAGCTTCCCAGTCAGCTCAGCGAGTCCATAAGGTTTCTGGATACTCAAGAACTCGTCGTGGTATGCGGGTCAAGCATTAGTGTTAAGTAGTTGGAATTTAGTATTATCCGGTCAATTTCAATGTTATATAGCAATCACTACTGCGTAATTTTATTTTAGTTTCACCCTCATATTTGTGATTTTACTCGTTTACTTTAATTATTAGTGTACTAATAATTTGACTTCTATGTTTACATCTGCATATAATCTGTGTAATGTGTCAAGTGACAGCTGTCAGATGACACTTTCTCCGATTACTTTATTCTGATTGTCAAATATTAATTTTCTTTTTCTATACGCGATTTCACTCAACATTATTCACGTAGTGATTGTTGATTTTTTTATTTTTTGTACAATATTAGTAATTCTATCTAATTGTTGTACATGTTGATTGGATATATGTATTTTGTTTTTTTTTTTATTGTTAACAGACGGCCGGCGGGCTCTAGCAGAGACTAAATAATATTATTAGTTGTATTTTTATATATTATTTTTTTTATTTCTATTTTTATATTACTTTAGTATTATTAATATTTATTTATTGATTTATACAATCAACAAATAGTTTTTTTTTTTTTTTATAAAAGAAAGAACTTCGTATGTCTGATGACGATTCTTTTTTTTCTGCATTAGATGACTCAAATCCCTCAATCCAGTCGCCGAATATTTCTTTAAATGAATCTCTTTCTTCCCTTCTCTATGACGAATTTCAGCGTTTCCCTTTTAGCCTCAATATTTGTCACCTGAATGCCCAAAGCACTCCTCAACATCACGGTGAACTTTTTAACATGCTTTACAACATTAATGTTGATGTTATTTTAATTTCTGAAAGTTGGCTCAAACCATCTATGCCGTCCTCCAATTACAGTCTCCCAGGGTTCGTTATGATTCGTAATGACCGCTTGGAGAAACGAGGCGGTGGTGTTGCAATTTACTTGCGGACTTCTTTTAAATACGAAGTACTGGCTTCTTCCCCCATCTCCGCTAACGCTGAATTTTTATTTATTTGTACTTATGTCAAGGGGACCACAATCGTTCTAGGTGATATTTATTGTCCCCCATCTCTAGATTACTTTCAGGAATTGGAAACAATTCTTGAATCCATTATGTCCGAGCACACTCACCATATAATCATGGGTGATTTTAATACTGACCTCATCCGTGATACAGCAAATTCCCGTAAACTAGGTCATATTGTTAACTCAGTAGGGTTAACTTTGTTACCGACTGGGCCCACTCATACCAACATAGACTATCCTGATAGTTGGATTGACCACATTTATATTTCCTCTCCCGATTCCGTTCTCAATCATGGTCAAGTTCCGGCACCAGGTATATCTCGCCATGACATAATATATGTTACTTATAACGTGAATAAAGTTAAACGTAAACCCGTAATTAAAGAAATACGCAATTTAGCTAGGATTGATATGGAGGCACTAGGAAAAGATATTCAATCGGTTAATTGGGACTGTGTTACTGAAGCTCCTACTGTCAATGCGAAGCTCTCCAACTTCAACACTTGCATCCACCAGCTTTACATCAAACATGCTCCATCGCATGGTATAAAACTAAGAAAACCGCCTGCCTCTTGGATCACGAGAGGCGTTCGCATGGCGATGAAGAGACGCAATCAGGCGTTTTGTAAGTTTAAGAGGAATCGCACTGACGAGAACTGGTCGTCATTCAAAACGGCTCGTAATCGGTGTAATTACATGGTAAGAGCAGCCAAACGCCAATATATTCATTCGAATTTGCTTAATGCTTCGCCGGCTAATTCTTGGAAGTTCCTCAAGTCGCTCGGTTTGTGCAAACAAACCAGCGATACTGTCCCACTCTTTTCACTAGATGATCTTAATAGACATTTCTCTTCTCCCTTACCGCTAAGTGCTTCTATCAAAAAAGCCACTTTGGAGGAAATTGCTTCCTGGCCTAGCTTATGCTCGGATATGTTCTCTTTTACTGCTGTGACCGTCGAGGAGATCCGTAAGATTATATCATCCATCAAATCCAACTGTGTTGGTGTTGATGATGTGAGTAGAATCATGATTATTCTCATACTTGAACATGTACTTCCTTTGATCACTCACATTGTTAACTGCTCTTTACTTTCTAGTACCTTCCCTTCTATCTGGTTAAATGCTTTCGTCCTTCCACTTCCTAAGGTATCATCTCCCACTCTTCTCAAGGACTTTCGGCCCATTTCTATTCTGCCCTACCTCTCTAAAATTCTGGAAGCGGCAGCTCACAAACAGCTTTCTAATTTCATTTTTGGAAACAAACTTGTGAGCCCCTTTCAATCTGGATTCCGTCTTGGGCATAGCACCGCTACAGCACTTCTCAAAGTGACTGAAGATGTGAGAGAGGGCATGGAAAGTTCCAAAGTTACCATCCTTATATTAATTGATTTCTCAAACGCTTTCAATACAGTCGACCATGACGTCCTTCTTGCATTACTCTCTCATCTTGGGGTCTCCTCCGCGGCCGTTAGTTGGTTCCGTTCTTATATTCAGGGTCGCCGGCAGGCTGTTCGCTATGACCAAGCTCTATCTGACTGGTGCGAATTGGTCGCTGGTGTCCCTCAAGGCGGTATATTGTCTCCGTTATTATTTTCTATTTTTATTAACTTCCTCACTAATGATCTCAAGTGCTCTTACCATCTTTACGCAGACGATTTACAGCTGTACTATCAAATTGCAGTAGAAAGAATATCTGAAGCTGTAAGTCGGTTAAACGATGCTCTTGCCTACATTGAGGACTGGGCGGTTAGGTTCGGGGTGACTGTCAATCCTAGCAAATGCCAAGCAATCATTTTGGGAAGCTCGAGACAACTCGGCAAAACGAACCTGACGTCTGTTCCTCCGATAATTTTTAATAAAATGTCTATTCCTTACTGCACGCATGTCAAAGACCTTGGCCTCACGATTGATACCACCCTTAGCTGGAATAATCACGTCAATGAGGTCAGTCGTAAAGTTACGTACACCTTGCGCAATTTATACCGGTTTAAAAATTTCCTTCCTACCAGTACTAAGATCTTACTTATTCAGTCCCTGGTACTACCCATTATTGATTATGCAGATGTGTGCTGCTCGGACATGAATGAGGACCTTTTAAACAAATTGGATCGTCTTCTCAATAATTGCATACGTTTTATTTTCGGTCTCCGTAAATACGACCACATCTCTTTTTACCGCTCTCAGCTTAATTGGCTTCCAATCCGCCAACGAAGAATTGTTCGTCTCTTGTGTACTCTTTATTCATTACTATACGATCCTAACTCTCCCGAGTATCTTAATACCAAATTTCATTTTCATGGGGACATCTCTTATCGTAACCTTCGTCCGTCTAGGAATTTACTTCTCCACGTTCCTGCTCATCGTACGAGCTTCATTTCTAAATCTTTCACTTTACAGGCCATTAAACAATGGAACGAGTTACCCCTTGACATTAGGTCCAGCTCTTCAAAATTCACATTCAAATCCAAATTACGCAATCACCTTTCCCAGAACTAGTGTAGGCTCCTGTTATCCTTGTAGTATTATTCCTCCACCCAACCACCTCTATGTATCTGAATTTCCCTGTTGATTTGTATAAATTTATAATTGTATGTGTATTTGTATGTATGTGTGTAGGTACGTACGTGTATGTAGTTATATTTATATATGTATAATTATTTATTCATATTATGTATTATAGTTTATAAGTATATTCGCATATGTATTTATATTTAATCATATTAAAGTGATCTTCTTATTATTTTATTTTTTTTAGATTAGAATTTCAATTTGTTAATGCACCGCCAACATGAATCTCTGTTTGCCCAATGGTTGACTGGGAGAAAATGCCTCGAGGTGTTAAGTCCGCCATGTGTACCTTTATTTATGTATTTGTGCATTAAAGTTTTAATAAATAAATAAATAAATAAAATGTTGGTGTATTTCTAAATTTTATTATACTTACGACTAGTTTCATTTACTAGAAGTATGGGAATACCATAAGTATATATCAATAACTTGTTCTCCTAAGAAGAGCTTGGGTTGTACAACGTACCTGTCATCAGAATGATGATACAGCGAGGGTCCGCAAATTAATTTGTATATTTAAAATACTCTGCCATGTGGCAAGCCCCTCTATTTATACACTCCCTATGGCACTCTATTGTAACCTACGGTGTTACCTGTTAGAATGGCATATTAAAAACCATTTTAAAGCTTCTCGAGCTCGCACCGCGCTGTATTGAAAGTGGCTACTTTACGCTCTATACTGTAGCCTACTACACTTCTATACACGAACTGCAATGTTTTGAATGTAAGGCAATTATTTAGTTTAAACATCGTAATCCTACAACATTATAAGACACCTTTCATCACTATCACTAAACGCCATAAGGACAAAATATGCTGCCTATCAAAAATGAATTTCTCTCTCACAAAGAGATTTCTATACTATATAGGACCCTCGATGTATAATAAAATTAATTCACAAATTCCAGTACAGGATTTGTCACACTTTGGTAACAAAAATAAGATTCGTCAATTCCTTCAAAATATGAACTATGTTGATACTAAAAATATACTATATGTTACACCATAACTTTAAATATGTAATGGATGTGACGTTATTTATTTTATAATATTACGAACTGAAATCTATGATCTATAAATAGTTAATTTTATAAGTACATAATTGAGTGCTCACCTAAACTTTTGTAGATATTATTTTAATATATATTGCATTTTTCCATGGAACTCCTAAACACAGGTTATCGATTAATTTGTCCAGGAGGCCACTTTACTTAGCCTCTAAACTGTAACTTTAATTTAAAACCATTTGTAACTACAGTAAGCTTTCTTGGATTAATAAATCTCATTTCATTTATATTTTATTAGGGCCAGTCTTCTAAAACGTTGTGGATTGTATGCCACGTCAAGCCATTGCCAGTTGGTTTATGAGCGGAAGGGAATAAAACGTTTCTTAAAAATGTTCTCCCTTGAGTGAGGCCAAGGAATAATTTCCAATTTTTCCTTCTCCCAAAATTGTATGGATTTCTAAAAGACTTATGGGTTTTACGCATAGACGCGTTTATATGAGATTCTACACTTGTTTCGCCCCTATTAATATTCTTGCCATGCATTATACATAATACACCAAGTGCGAAAAATACAGACAAACATGTAGTAGCCATAAAAATTACACCCTTCCGTTTCCAAGGGTGAGCACATATACGCTGTGCTTCGGTAATGGGAGGCACTGGTAAGATGTGTTCACGTGGAAAGTTTATAGAATCATACTCAACAATCACTTTCACTGGCACTAGAGCGCCAGTTTGGTTCAAGCGTACGGGATGACCAATTAAATCCGGGTCGTTGTTTGGGATTATTCCACCTGAAATTATACATAAGGATTAAATTAATAAAGTAACAATATCAGTACTGTTCACAGATATGAGATACTCATGAGTTTGAGTCAAGAGGACATTGTGCTGACTGCAATATGTGACAGATAGATAGACAGATAAAATCTGCTGGTCATTTTAATTTCTAGGATATCTAAAAAGATATAAACACATTACAGATATGGTTTCTAAGTGTAGTCAAATTAATCAAGCGCCCATAATATCATTTTTATTAAGCATTGTTCTGTATTCTTCACCTAACCCTTATCACCGTATCACCTAACCCTTCACTGTAAAGAATTACGGTTAGAAGTAATTATTTTATTATTATTATTATTTATTATTATTATTTATTATTAATATCACAAAAATTTGCATCACATACACAATTATAACCATTTCAAACATTTCATTAAGGTATCCAGTAGATCTTTTAGACTTTAATCAAAACTTAATTTCGAAATAATATTCTTTCCTAATATACTAAATACATACATAGTAATGCGATGCAGATAGCATCGCATTACTATGTATGAAGTTTTAGTATGAAATAGAAACACAATTGTAGATTTACCTGTATCATTTATCCAGAGCACTTGATATCCTATATCCATACCGGCAAAAATTACGAATGTCACTCCTGCCACCATGTACACCATGTATAGGAAGAAGTGTCGAGCATTATAATAGCCCACGCAGTTATTAAGCCAAGGGCAATGGTGATCCATAGCCAAGATGCAGCGGTCGCACACGGAGCAGTGGTGGGTACGAGGTGGTTTTGGGGATATACATTTCTTGCATATACTGGCAGCCTCAGATATCATAGTGCCCTGGTGGAGTGATATGTTTAGATAAAATGCTTGTTCATTGAAAGAATTCACGAGTGGCACATTGCTATATTGACATATAGTTTAGGCCAATTATTAGACCTAAACTATATGTCAATATAGCCTAATATATCCTATTACATACTCCTCATAGTAATAATACATACTTTATTACTAATTACAATTTATATTAAAAAATCTATATACTTATATATAATTATACTATATAATTGATTCCTATTTCCTTTGGTCACAATGTAACTTGAGAATGTTTCGTTGTTTTTGAATACTAAATCATAGGTTCTTGAGAAAATTAAAGGCAAAATGCTGCTCTGAAAAATAGAAAAGAATTAATTGGAAATGTCAGAAAATGATTACTTTAAATTCAGGCATTTGATATATCATATTAATATTACTAGACAACAGTCAGATCAGCATGTACAATATTTCTTAATATTTTTAAATATTATAAGCTACTCAATAAAGACTAATACATAACCACTTTTATGTTAAATCAAACTGAACTTCTATATAGAACAATATTAATAATAATACTTACATGAGGTGGGTATCCTGGCTGAGTGATAACACCCATAAAATAATGAAATACTATATTCAACAGCAACCAATTCCCAAAAATAATTAAGAATACTGTAGTGTATGGACAACGTTGCCACCAGTATGGGACACCTACCCAATAAGCTATCAGCACCACAGCGGCAGTCAACACACTCACGCAAAATACAAACACCTGCAATAAATACATTTACATATTATTTTATTTTTCATAAATGTTTAAACATCAATCAAGTCAAACTTATTTAAGATTGTTTTATATTTTAATAACTCATACTCAAAATCATTTAGGCCTCATATGCATGTTATATGTATTTTTTTATCATTATCTCTAACTAGTACTTATAAATGCAATACTAAGTGCTTTTAACTTAAAAAATAACAGAAGTATCATGGGCACTATTCTATTACTTTTCTGTAAAATGCAAAATCGAATATATTGAAAATAAACTCAATTTGTTGTTATTCTTTAAAAATATACATAATAAATATTTAATTTACATACCTTTCCTAAATATTTAGCGAAGTTGTCAACAAACCAAAATACAGGCTCCAAAAAGAAGTCAATTGCATAGCTCTGACTCATATGCTCATTGTATGTGAGAGATCTAACTGTCAATATTGCTTCCGATATTTTCCATAAGATGTAGGTCCTTAAAATTTTATACAAATTGATGTAAATTTATTATTACTTACATCCACATCAATATTATTATCATGAAAGTGTCTGATTGTCATATTTCTTTACTATGAATGAATGAACTTAATGAAATGAACTTATTTTTATTTATTTATCATAACAATAAATTAAATTTGAAACTTACGCTCCGATCATGAAAACACAGATCAAATTAAGACAGAGATACAAATTAAGGATTACAGATAGGCTGCTGTGGCTCCATGCATTGCATTCACAAAGAGAGAGAGAGAAAAGCCATAAGGCATGAGGCAAGACAACATGGTCCTGTCCATAATAATCTACCCAATCTAGATTTTCTATTGATATGTCTATTTCATAAGTTTAATTATTTATTATTAACGATAAGTAATCATTACTTACTTAATTTGTTGATAGATTCCTCTGCACCGAAATTTCCATCGTATCACCACCATATTCTTTAATAATTAAGACCAGAATTAGAAAAGACCAATTTCAAGTGTTCTTAGTATTCATTATAAATATTAATAACATACAAGAGGCTGCTTGCAATGCCTTTAAAATTATATCTATAAGAAAATATATGTTAAATTAAACGACACATTTCGATACATCAGTTCTATATCATGTTAAGTAATCAGATGCTTATAGGTATGTACATGACAATTAATAGTGACATGTTTATTATTTTCTACATGCATTTCTAGCTACTACAAACAACTAACTTTTCCTATATTGATGCCCAACATAGGAAATCAACACTACATAGGTTTGCGGATCAAACATGCATCCATTTTTTCTTTTATTCACAGGATAGTTGAACAAAAGAAAAATAAATTTATATATGCAGGTCTACTCTTAACTCTCTCTGGAGTCTTATCTCAATATTAATTTTAATCCAATCCAATAAAAACATCATACTTTTGTTTTGAAATGTTAGCTTAGACTGAGTAAATCAATGAAATAAACTCAACTCTTTTATTGAACAATAAATTAAATGAAAATGAAATTGATATGGAATCTAAAATATATATTTTTTAATTTACTGTAACTGCAGATATAAGAATGAATACTATATAGTTTATAATTTGTACTGGATAACTCCATTACACAAGTATTTAAAAATTTGCCAGCCAAATGACATAGACTATATTTTTATAGGGCAGAGATGTAAATTGTGTATGCAGTCATAGAATATAATTAATTGTTGAGAGCCATAGTCATTTACAATATTCATATTAGAACTTACCCTGGACTGCTCACAAAGATTCTTTTGTTATATAGGCCACTTTTATTACTGACTCGTAAACTTATTTACATTACATCATTAATGGTTCATACTTTATATTTTATACACTCATATTATTTCATAAATAAATACATTTATTATTTTGGTTATTATTAACATTCATTAAATATTCTTTTTTAGGTTACGTTATTTTTCTAATTATTGTTAACTATGTAATGTAAAAGAATATTATACAGATCACACACGATAGGCCAATTATTTTATAAAACAATATAGAAAATTATCTATTTTTAAGTAAATTGTAGACGCACTGAAGAAAGTTGACTTGATTGACTTCTTGGACGAATATGTAACTCGATTTGACACATCTCTCAAATGTCACGTACGCTTAGAGATGTGTCAAATCGAGATACATATTATTGTACGTACTTGAAGTCTCGAGTTTGGGCTGGCGGTAAATGAACGAATGCAGTGGAAAGGCGAGAGCGCAATTATTAATTTAACAATAGGTATAATAAGAAACAACGAGTATAAGCATGTAACTGCCGCCGCGCCGGGCTATCGTCACTAGTACTTAACATACTCGTATTCAGACATTTACTCATGAAAATAAATGTTTGTAGGTATTATTGAGGTATCGAAACCGAGACCATCGGAAGCAAGACGGTGTCCTAAAATAAAGTAACATGTCAATTATATCATTATAATTTATTTAGTTTTTTAATAATTTATTAATTTATTAAGCTTTACGCGTGAAATAAAAGTCACAAATGAGGGAAATTACTTTATTAAAAATTTACATTGCATTTATTATTAATACAAATACTGTAGATAATTAACTAGATTTTACTTACAACTCTAATTACAACACAAAGTAGGTAATTATTATGTATGAAAGATTAATTTTACTATTCTCTCCCATATTCATAAAACATCAAACTTCTAATAAACCATTGCACTGTTTTGAACATTTGGATAATTAAATTAGGTTTATCGGAGGTGTCAGTTTTTACAAATAGGGGCAAGATTTATAATTTACTTTATTTTAACTGCATATAACCATTAAATATATAGACAATAACTAGCTAATTAAGATTAACTTAATAAACATTAGGTAACTTGCAAAGACAAATTTTGAGATCAGTACATGAAAACAGACTAACAAGCTGTTGAACAATTTTTATTCTTCCCACATAGCTCAATTGGGAAAACTATTACGCGAATCTTGCGAATCTTTTATTACGTGCCTCTGTATGATGAAACAAGTGTCTTAAATATTTTTTTTTATATTGGAGATTAATTATTTTTAGATTATGATTTTTTTCTTTAAATATAGGCTAATTTAGTGAAAAAGAGATAATAAATAATTATATTAATCAATTAACGTCTTTAGACACGGACACTTAAAGTATTGGACGTTATAGAGTATTCAGTGTCAGTACACGATTCTACCCCTTTTCGTAAGTTCAATCAAATTGTTTTCCATTGCTGCAGTCCATAAAAAATTATTATATCAAATGATCTTAAACCTATACAAAATATGAGTATCATCACATATCAATTTTCGATCACAGCGAACTTACAGCTTTGTTGAACCTGTTACCTATAATATATTTAAAAATTTCGGTATAGAACGTGAACAAATTATCATAACTTAATAACTATATTATTCGAGATTAACGAGATCATATTTATTAAATGGAATGATTTTTATGTATAGGCGTGTACATTATATAAAATATACTGGTATCTTATACGATGTTATTTGTTTTTATATAAAAAAAAACTATCTTAGTGAGATCGTCTACTACAAACTCTTGACCACCGTCCACCATCTATATAAATACGCACCGAAAAATAAGAATTTACAAAATCGTTGAACTGAGCTAACGGCTAACGACTGAGCTCTCAAATTTATATAAAATCATCCTGTAAAGAAGAGTTTCGCATCTATACCAAGCGTTTTGAACATGGAATATAACAGGTTTTCTTTTATATATTTATATATAAAGGTATGAGTAGATGCAAGGGTATTAAATCTAATTATAAGTAAATAGACGCTACATATGTGATGTGATTAGGATTTTAGTAATTTAAACCCAATGATTATAAATTAGGACCTCATAATCAAGACTGTTTGTGACGATCTCTCAAAATTTGTAGTTATGTTTTAACAAAATTCGCTTTCGTCACTTTCATTATTCTGTCTTAGGTACTTCTCAAGTTGTTGCAGAATTAAAGAAATAGCGCTGTAATTGAGGAACAAATGAAAGATTCTATAATTTTTCATTGTTTCTGAACCTTCTATGAATTTTCTCTTTGTGCGTAGGTATTATAGAAAAAGTGTACGTTGACCCTATGAATAATTATCTACTGTATAAATATTAATTATATAAATTTCAAAATTCTTAGAACTATACCTACTTACTTAGTTAGCTTATAACTTAAATCATATGTTCAATAGTGAGAGGTGAATGATGAAAATCGCTATGAACTTAAATATTAAATGCAATCATAAATTTAATAAAAACAGTGATTCATTTATTTACAACAGGTACGCCCGTTGTTATGATATTAAAAAAAATAAGAAAAATAAAAACATATATAAGTAACAAAATTTTAGAAAATCCCATTACTATAATAACTATTGACCAAAAAAGAGAGAAAAAAATAGTAATATACTATGGCTGCACTATGGGTCCCATCCTTATATTAATAATAGTTTATTACCCTTATAGCATGATATATCATTAATCGTTGGGTGTAATTCATAGTAATAATAGTTTTTGTAACATATGTTAATTGAGTACATACTCAATTCCAAGAACTTGCTCCACTTTCATTACATGAGCAATGTTCAAATTCAATTCTTATACTGATTCTACGATGGCTCGCGAGACAGTAACAAATCAATGAGACCGAGTGGAAGTTTATTTATTACGCAGACTTTGGCACAAATACTTATTGTTAATGTATATTAAATAGTTTTATTATTATATTTCCAGATTGTTTGTCCTCTAATATTATTACTACCACAGAAAAGTCTATTCTAACAAATATACTTATTAATCACAAAGGACCCTGCCAAGAATTAGATTGATACAGTCGAACTTACATGAAAGATGTGTATAGAAAATGTATAAAAGGGAAAGTTGTATATTATACATTATATTATATATTAATTATATTATTCTCTTCTCTTTTACATTTCTCTGAACGAGGCATCATGCATCAGTCAATACTAATACAATGTCCCAACTATTTTCAATGACGATACCTCGTTCTGAGGCGAAAGACGTATAGCAAAATAACCACTAAATAAAATATATAAGGATATTGATAAGAGAGAAGGATAAGACCATACCCGCTGGGTCCTTCCAAATTAAAATATATAATATTGGCCGACCACTAGAAATACCTATATATACATACATAATATTTGTTTAAAGATATTTAATTCAAACTTGAGAGTACTAGGTACGGCTTTTTATCTTATAATAACATGTATAAGATTTTACTATCACTATGGCCATGAATAATATTTAAACCAAGACACGTATGTAAGACGGTCTGCCTAATAATAATTTATTATAATTAATAAAATGTGATTGAAGTAAATAATGGATTGCCACAAGGCTCCCCTGTATATTTTACTGCTGTCGTTACGTACCTGTAAATATTTAGTAACAGCGACAGCAGTTAACATGTTGAACTGTGAGCTAGAGATGACAATTTTATACAGGCTTTTTCAAATATCGTCTTCGTCTCGAGTGATTTAAGCAATAAATTAATAGACAGCATTTTGAGATAATTGGAATATTCGTTACGCCTTTTAGCCGACATTTTAGGCAATTTGCGAACCAGATGACCTTCCTTATATCGGGTTTTGTTTCACAATAGTCTATCAAACCACATACGTAAGAATATCTCCTTCCGTTCTATATCTTCTAGTGTAGAGGCGTTGTTAGAACTCAGCAACATGGATAAAACACGTGAGATTGCTGTGAGCCTCTTATGTAATGAATTTGTAGTCAGTATCAGGAACTGTAACAATAATTTATTGATATATTTGTAGATATACACCCGTATAGTTTACATACCATATTTGGCTTAGTTATTAATAAAGAAGTGACGTGCTATTTTTTGTAAATACTAATTGTTACTGTTATATCACTTATGTGTGTAGTAAGGAAAGTAATTTATAATAAGAATTAGTTTTCAAACAAAATAGCACAAGAGATTAGTCACAGTACAAAAAAAATTAAGAAATTTATATAAGTCCTTAATCGTCTAATATATTGTTTGAGACGCAGTATTTTCTAATAAATGAATATGGCTTCCCGCCTGCGATAACGGTATACTCTGATATCGAGTAGAGGTAGAGTTGATTTAGCCCATACTGACGAACCCATTCCCCTCTACATGTGGTATTTAAGAAAAACAGAATAGAGTAATTTTTCAGGCGGACAAGGTGACAGGAAATTATATATATCTCACCTTAAGATCCTGGCAGAGTGGCAGTATGGAGATGATCCACCAATGCCAAATTGGTCCATGAGCGGCATCCCACATCTCAAAATCCGTATCAACTTCAGGAATATTACCATATGCCAAAAGTTCAAACTGAAGGGACTCATCCAAGGAATTGAGCCACACGGATGACTTGTACGAGATTACTGTGCTCTGAATACACTGCTGTGCCAGAGTCGGTATATCATTATCGGACACATCATCGAATCTTTCGATTAAAGCTACGTCCATCCTGGAAGAAAACATATTTTATTATTAGTAAAGTGTTCATAATATGGTTCTATATCATTTGCGCTGTATCATGGTGCGGGTGACAGTTTCATTAACGTTTCGTTTCACTCTTAATAGTTACCGCGATTTTCAAATTATGACTTAGTATTTTAGCTGAACCACATTCGTAAGATATTAAATAACTGTATTAACTTAAATGTAGCAATTGTTAAATGTAAAATTAGAAACTGTCACTCGTACCACGTTACAGCACACACAGTATAAATCATGTTCAAAATTAAAAAGAAAACATGAAGTGTTAAAAAATATGTGGTTTGAAATAACATTTAGTTGTCATTAATACTTCATGTTCAGGCCCTAATGTATGATAACTTATCACTAACCCGTCTTGGGTGTCCCTCTCGATCATTCTAAAGCGCGAAACACCGATAGTGGTCAAGATATAGCTGCCATCCTCGAAGAGCAGGCAGTCTCGTAGTTCTAAAATCTGAAATTAAAAACAATGAAAAGTTAATGAATAAAATTAACTAAAGTTATATAGTTAGATATAGTTATATCGGTTTATATATCGAGAATCAGACTACAGTAATCGTTTACTACGTGGGCCGCATATTTGTTGTACAAATATAGCAAGTCATAAATTTAAGTCCATTTTAAAACTATTGAAATTTGGTTTTTAACTTTTTGTTTATTGTAGAATGCTTAGCTTTGTTTCGAATACATAAATCTAAACATATTTCTAAATTTACGACGTTCTTCCTGGTATATTTGTCTCAATTAATGGTTTATTGATTTCTTCCATCTCTTAATGTACAATCATCTCTACTATAGAATAGAAATAGATATTTGAATAATCTTTATTCAAAACACTTTCATATAAACACATTTCAATAAACAATATTTTATTGATTTTACAGCTTATACGAAAAGTCGCCACAAGAACGAGCCAGAGACACCATTATATATTTTAGATTTCTTATGAATACAAACTGCCAAATGCAAGATTGACCAAAGTAAATAAATATAATAGCTATGTACTTGAGTAACAAAATAAATCAGTTAACAGTAATAATTAAGAGTAGACTCCACAAGCAGCACCCGATAGTGAGTTTCACATCGGAGTCTCTAAAATATGTTTAACATAATGATAATAATTTTAAAATTTAGTCTTTGTAGCAATCTATACATATAAATAAAATTGGGGGTGTCTGTTTGTAATATTGAAATAATCGTTTTTTACTACATGATTATGAATATATATACGGTAGATATACCAAAATAACATTTTGTATGTCTGTCGGTCTGTTTGTTCCGGCAAATCTCTGAAATGGCTGGACCGATTTTGATAGGACTTTTTTTGGCAGGTAGCTGATTAATACGGAGTAACTTAGGCTACTTTTACTTTAGAAAAATAAAGTTAAATTCCTCCCGGACGAAGACGCGGGAACAGCTAGTATTCAATAAAATGTATATATTAAAATCACCAAACACTATATTTTTATTGTTACTATTGAATACTCCTTTCATATATGTTGTATTACCTATTCAAAGACATTATAGTCACTATATACATACAAGTATTTTTCTAATTCTAAATTCAGAAAGATTAACGATATAAGTGTGTTTTTTTCTTTTATATTACTTTACAAACATCATACAAATATCATAGGGCGTCCCCTTATACTACTACTAACTTTCTATTAAAGCAGCTGACAATACTTTAGGGTTTTTTTTCTATACTACGATGGTGGCAACAAGTTTAAGCTGAACATCCTCTTATTCCCCTCACTTAAAGAAAGCATTGAGTATATAATGGTATGAATAATTAATGTAGTACTTACTGTGCCATATTCGCAATCATTGTCATTTGCCAGCATACCAAAAATATGCCTGTCAGACTTCAAAATATGACGGACCATGACCCATTGTCGTGGCTGGTAAATGTAAACTGAACAGGGTACTCTGTAATAGTTAAAAAAACAAGAATTAGAATGATTATAGGTACTACACATATATTTTTTGTTTTTATTTATTTATTTCGATACTAGGGGCCGATATTATAAATACCTTACAGATTAACATGCATATGAAAGATATTGAATAGGAAAAAATATATATAATTTGTCAAGGTGTGGCACGTCATTGATGATGGTAATCTGCCAAAGTAGCGCCGAAACACCAAACAAACGCCTTTTATACTACTATGATTGCAAACGCTTGTTTGCAATCATAGTAGTATAAAAGGCGTTTGTAAAAAAAAAAAATACGGCCCATCTGATAGTAATAAAGGTTACCGTGGCTAATGGACGCCTGAGACACCAGTTCTATTAGGTGCGCGATGCAGACCCTTAAGAATATAGGGTTAATATAGTTTTGGGGTAACAAATAATTATCTGGGGCGACGACAAAGGTCCCATTAGTACCTCGCGGCAGAAGTAACATATCTCTCACCACTCTCAATCAAATAGCGAAAATAACGGATTTGTTTGTGTCAATTCACAAAAACAACGTTATAATTGTTCGTTATACGTATGTTACATTACCGAACATGTATATCTAATACTATATGTATTATATGAAGTATTGCATTAGAGCTAGGCCTGTAGTAATAGTTGTGCAAATAAATATATTTTTTGTGACATTTGCAAGTGGTAAGCGTCTCTTATGTATGTCTAGTATATCAACTGTATTATGGACATTATGTGGTAGATAATACGGCATTCTTGAGATATTGTGCCTCCACTCACTCCCTTAATTCGACTGCTATATCTTCCATATCAAACCAAATGAGTATTCTTTTTTAAAAAGTGCTCATGCAATTATAAATATAATATTAAAACTTTAGAGTAATATATATGTATGCATAAATTATGCACCAGAATAATACATAAGCTATATTTTATTTTGAAATTTAAATATTAAAATGTAACGCGGGTGAAACCGCGGGCACTGCTAGTTATAAATATTACTGTGTAGTATATTCCAGCAAGCTTTCTGGAATAAACTGATAAAACTGAGTTATGAAATTGTAAAACCGAAAATACTCAAATAAATACAATACATTTGACACTTACCCCGGATAAGCTATAGTGCAAGAACAGATCGGGATTACGTTAGGATCTAGCCTCTCTACTGATACAGCGTCGATCGATTCCAATGCTAGATGCAGGATTGCGACTGGCGATTTCTGTAATGTACACATTATGAATGCTAAGATTATCTTTTTACGGGTCTAGACTAAAAGAATAGCAGCTATAATTAATTTATAAATGGCTGGGCGGAGCTACTAATGCATCAATTGAACGGTTCGTCCGGGTCTTATCGTAAATGTGTGGCCAGGGTTACTCGACACGATTATCGGAACGAACATTATCGAGGCAATATTAATATAACACAAAAGAGTTTTGTTGAGATTGAATCCCAACGTAAAAAATGTTCATACGCAAGTAGTAATGAAAACTGCAGATTTGAGAATGTAGCATTAGATACATACCCAGTTACTGGGTTATTATTTTCTTATCTCTAATATTAAAAGGTCAACAAAGTTTAATGACATTCGTATACCTAATATATCTAAAAATAATTATCTTTTTAAAGATAACCCATTACAACCAATAATATTCTTATATAAGATTTACCAAATGGTAAACAGTACCAGAACTTATATATTGTATAATATAACAATTATATATATACTTCTATTAAATTATGGTTCACTTTTGACCACTAGTACATTTTTATCGTTTGTCTGATTTACTAAACTAGTTTTGATAAAATGATATTGTAAAATTGCTTACTAAATATGAACTAAGAACAAAATGGTACATACAGAATCATTGATAGTTACAGTAAAATTATAGTATCATAACAGAAAAATACTTACAGAACTGAAATCGAAATCGGCCATGGATCTTTTGCACAAGGGACATGGCAGATTATAATCTATAGCTCGTTCTACACAAATCCTACAGTAGGTATGACCGCAAGATGTCGTCACAGGATTGCGCAGTGTCTCAAAACACAGAACACATTCGACATCTTTCAGCTTCAGCCACATTTTAGCGGACTGCATTTTAACCAAGTTGCGTAAGAATTTTTCAAGCCTCGGAGAGTAGTATTCTTTGGCGATATGTACCATCACCTGCAAAACGAAATTCAATTTTCGAAGTTAGCAATCTTTCTTAATTTAAGAGTTACGCTCTTGTCGGTGGAACTCGTGCCACTTTTCGCGATCTTCCACCATTCTCTTTAAATGTTGATACGATACTACTCCCATTTTGTTTTTAATTTTCTTGATGTAATTATGTCTCGGTCTTCCCCTCCCCCTTCCGTCTATTTTTCCCTTAATAATAATTTTCATAAAATCATTGCGCCTATCAAGTGTCCTAACACTTTATTTACCAAAGTTAGCATTGAAAACAAATTGTACACTCAAACAATCAAATTTATTTGTTTAAATAGTTGAAACGACAATGTAAATATTATAAATTGAACAAGTAATATAATAACGTTTGACTTAAATTTAATTAATATTTCTTTATTTTACTAACCTTCTGCATAAGTCTACGCGCTTTAATCGCGAGTTGATAGGTCCCAGTGACGATCACTCTAGCTAAATGACTGGCGGCTTCTAAGAACTGGGCTGATTCGATCAGATAAATTGCAAAGTTAAAGCGAGCCTGAAAACAATATTACAGAATTTAAACAATTTTAATTGTTTTTATCTGTCCTATACATCCATACGAATATTATAAATGTTAAAAAGATGTCGTAATTCCTCTGTATGTTGAAATTTTTTTTTGTAGGTATTTAGTATGGAGTCTCAGTGTCAATTAAGACTCTTGTTCTCACTTTATTGGTGCTTTATTCTGATAAATCAATTTGATGAATTTGTAATCGTGAGTAAAAATTTGTTACTTTAGCGAAACTGTATTTTAAACTTACTTGTGCAGTTATGGGCAGTCTGGATGCTTTGTCTAATAACTGGCATTCTCCCTCTGCATTGGCTGGCAATTGGCAAGAGGTGCTGCTGGCTGGTAATGCTGTTTATAAAGATTAAAAATAAGCCTTTATTACATAATGGCCAACATCATGATAACTAACAAGGGGATAATGTATTAATAAGAGATACTATATACATTTCCTAGAAATACTTTTTATTTAACCGTTCAAGTTAATGCATATAAATGGTAATTATAAGTTGGGCGAATTGTACAATAATGTTTTGGGTTCTAATACGTTGACCAACTCCCCTAAAAATTGTTTTTCTCATACATCATCCTCGGAGATAGCAATCAGATGCATTTTTATAATATAAATATATAATATAAGAATATATACTATATAATACTGATCAACACAAGTCTGGTTTCCTTAATTCTTTTTCTGTTTTTGGTTATTTTTATGTATCTGACTATGAAGAAAATACTGGGAGATTGCTAATAGCTTATTTCTTTTATATACACAGTTTTATCATTTTGACGAAAAAAATATAGTAAATTAATACCTTACATTACCAAAACTTCTTTTGAATACTATCAATGTCACCACAAATATAGCAAAAATGATCAGGATTAATTACACATCTTATTGATGAAGCCATATCCAAAAAAACAAAATATATTTCAGTGTCCAATAAAAAACGCAAATCTAAATTGAACATAGTAAATGAGGGATGTTGGCTGTAACTCAAAAACAAAAGCTGTGAGAGAAAAATTGTTGCAATATTCAAAGAATACGCGTTAAATTGAGGTACAGACGGAAGAAACTCGAAAGAAACAAATTTTTTTTTTAGATCAGTGTTAGTAATAAGTTATAAAAATTGCAAAACTTATTTTACAAAAATGCCTTTACAACGCCCCACGCGGCCTTTTCATAATGAAGCCCAATATGACTGTGACATTTGTATGGTCCGCTACATAACGCTCTGATGTAACAAAATGGAGTTATAGTTTGCATTTTATTACATAACTAAGTTTCAGTGATAAGCTTATACAGTTATTATTACCTCTATAATAGTACTAATTATACTAATTGCATCCGTAGTTCCAGAGAAATCTATACATTGTTTCGAATAGTTACTGAGCGAGATAAATATAGCTCATATATAGAACGACTGTTCCGGGATAATTGATACGTTCCTGGTAAAGATACTTCAACACATTATTTATTTAATATTATCTATCCTTGTTATATTACATCTATACCAGTGTTTTCCAACATACGGCCCATGCCACATGGGCGGGCAATTTGATTTTTAAGGTGGGCAATTTGAAAATTGACTCGATACGTGTTTAACCCTTTTACACCAGGCCATTTCATTTTGGTGCCTAATTTAATAAAAAATGCAAATTCATAAATTTATATTTTGGAGATTGGGAAATATTGACCTATATTAATATTATAAATAATTAATCATATAAACGGCAACCAACATACAGACATCCTTATCAGACTGACTAAACAGCTTAACAGATCTTAATGAAGTTTGCTGTGCACTTTATTTAAAGTCCTAGTCATACATACTAAGTAACCTACAACTTATCTATCGATCTATAGACCTATAAAATAATTGCCAACCATCTAAAAGAATAAAAAATAATAATACAATAACTCTGGCCAATTCTCAGCGTCGTCCCAAGATATGTAAATAATACAGTAATAAATGTTCATAATATAATACAATAAATAATAGAATACTTCCGATGGTTCTGGTTAGATTCCTCACACGGCACAAACATTTGTTTTCTTGAGTATGATTGTTTGTATCGGTCTGGGTGTTTTCTATGTATAATATGTATTTACGAAAAATAATATACATATATCTATATATTTGTATAAGTTATTTAGTACCCATGACACAAGCTTTAGCTAGCCTGACTTGGATCTAGATGCCGCTGTGTGAATTGTCCTGAAATTATTATTATTATTACTATCTATTTTCCATAATCCTAAGTGATAAAGGTTGTCTACCCTTGACATTTATTTTTTATTTTTTAGACAATTTTTATTTCTTATTGTAGCATTAATAAATACATACAACTCAATTTCCACCCGATTTAAGTAATTTTATAAAATAATATGGCAAAACAACGTTTACTTATGGCACTCTTCGTCATGTCATGCATACTCTAATGAGCCGTTAGACAAAACAGACGAATAGGGATGTAGTGGTGGTGATTTTTATTAGAATTTTTGATTATACCAAAACCAGCTAAAATTGACGTTTTTAATGTAATTAGAATGGCCAATAAGCTGTATCATCTGATGATAAGAGGTAACCGTCATCCATATAGATAAATATCACTACTATATTCGTATACATGTCCCGTGATAATGAGTTGCACTCCAGAAGACTAAGTGTTATGCCGCTTATCTTGTAAAATCACTACCTAAATCATAACCTAATAACCGGAACCCAGCTTACAAGCTGATTGCGGGTTGAAATAGCTGGGGTATAGGGGCTGACGAATTTTTACAGTCTACTTCTGTTGAAACACATACATAGTAACCGTGTGGAGGACCCGCAGGGCCGTCTTTCACGTATTAGAGGCCCTGGACACATTAGAATAATGGGGCCACTATGACCATAGTAATAATGCACTATTTTGTTAGAATAGACAATCATTTTATAACATGACTCTTAAAACAAACCAGGCAAAAATAATTTTAAAAAGTTATGTGATGAGTGTTTCAAGTTCTTGCTAGATTTATAAAAAAAACGAACGAATTGACCATAGTCGATAAGCATTTGTTAAGACTGATTTTCAGGCGAGAGTTACAGTAGTTATCGGTTATCGTTTGGTAATTCAGTAGGGACTAGGCCCCAATCCATCGCGGGGACCGGGCACGTGCCCAGTGAGCCCAGTGGGGAGGAGGGGCCTGTAAGGAGCCTGAGGACACGTAATATGAGTATAGTATTTCTGTTCCTATAGAAATTGTTACGAACTCCGACTTAGTGATTAAAGAATAATAGGTTTTATAAGTAGATATAACCAATTACACAATGCATAGTTGAACAGTTTATATAGACTACAGATAATGTAGGTACTGTAATGGGAATAAATGTGCATCGAGCAATGAACAGTCGTCAATCAATTTAAGTAAATATAAACAATAGTAATGATCACAATTTATTGCAATTGATTGGTGATGGTGGACACTGATACAAAGATATTTCAAAGTCATGACAACTTAATCACGGTATTACCTGTATAAGGCTTCACGTAAAGACGTGATCACGTAATGACTTGTCCATAGTGCATTTCACTTATATAGACGACAGTTGCTACTGAGATGAGCATCGGCTTACTTATCGTTCCAATTAAATGTAAAAAAAAAAATACGCAACAACGCTATAATCACTATAAATAAAAGTAATAATTATTGGCTCAATAGATGAAACTAAAACTCTCTACTTCAAACACTTGATTAGCCTCGTACACTCGTGCCACTTACCCGTACATCTCTATTATCGTACGCAATGATTACTTAATATTCCGATTTCTTGTGTGACATTTTCTGATCAATATTACTTTAGTAGCATCTTGTATATTTGTATTATCGCTTATCTTACATGCGTCATATACGTGAATAAGTTATTGGATTTATTATTCAAGTACCTACATAATTATATAACTCCATATATAGGTAATATAAGCATATTTTATAGTGCACTAACTCAACATTACCATGGTAGCAACTGATATAATAACATTGCTTATCTCGTACACGTGATGTACAACCTAGGACACATAACAGTATCAATGTATAAGTTATTAGGTTTAACATAATTACTTAAGTCACAGAGTAACCTATATTTAGTAGCGTAATATCTAAATATAATGTAACCTGCGACCCAGCGCCGCGTTCTCCGTAGTTGCACCGCCAACAATATGGTTACATAACGCCATGTAACAAACAAATAGCCGATTTACATAATAGCGTTGTTGGTTCGCGATTATAGTCTTGAATGTCCACGAGACGTCGTATTGCGCGCCCGTACCTCCGTACCTACTTTATATTAAGGTTCTTACGAAACAAACGCTTTTAAATTATTGATTAATATTTAGCTAACTTCTATATACATTGAGGGTGAGTTAAGGGATATATTTAGAGAATAATTGCCATTATAAAAATGAGTTAGATTACACAATTGTATATTGTATTTTTAAAGCTACTGTAATATTATGCATGCGTATAGTATAATAGCATTATGTAACTAACTATAACCCGCGACTTTGTCTGCACAACCTTTCATACCTTAATTTACGTCCTTTTTTGCATCTAACAAGTATTTTTTATGAATATAGACAGACTAATTCTAAGATATTGTGTTTTGATGTATATTGATACTAGTAAACTGTGGTTCGTTTTATTTATTAAGTATTGCTATTTCCCCGACTGTCTGCTTTTTTTGACACAAAATATAACCATCCGTCCGTCAGGCCGTCTTCGTGATACATATCTATCGTAACGTCAAAATTCTTTAAATTCAGTTTTCCCGCAAGGCTCTGTATTTGAGAACCCCATTGTCAAGTTTTATTATCTAGTATAATAGTATAATTACATTTACCGATTACAATATCTCCATTTTTAATTATCCTTATCTAGCTATCAGCCTTTTATTCAAATAAAGTACCACGTACACTACGTAGAGCTATTTATTATTTTATACAAGCAACAAAAATTAATACTTTAATATTTAGGGAACAAAATCGTAACTTAATATCGTTATTAAAACTGCCATGATAATTCCTATTTTCTCTAAAAGTACAGATTCGCAGGTGTTTACTGTACATATCATTACAACATTGTAAGAATTTTTCATAAGATTACAATAAGTTGTTAAATGTTATCAAAAGGCCAATGGCTGATAATATGTTTATAAATATACAACACCGATTTGTTCGAATGTTTTCTGATGAGAACTAAAATTAATAATATGTTATTATGGGTATGATAAATAGCATCATAATAATTATGAGAAAATAAACATCGCAATTTCTATCCTTCAAGAAGATATAGTGTTTAGAATAATGACCTAGGCGCTGAACGAACGATGAAACAGGTGGCGTGGGCAATCTGAAATGAGTAGACTTCAGACAAATTGTTACATGTCCGTCTTGTTATGGAGAATTTAGAAAATACGCCTACGCTTGTGTCGAGTAGGGTACGCGGCAATGTTTTAAAGTACGGCCAAATAACGGGCATTTCTATTCATCGCACAAAAATCCCATTATCTGCTCACCACTTTAAATAGGCACTACTGCATTTATTAAATAAAATGTCTTTCAAATTACAGATAATAATATAATAACACCATTATATGATACTTCATAGAAATGGGATGTTTCTGCAGAAATCCAGTACTATGACCCAGATACAGAATATTAATACTATAATTGTAAATGTTTTAAGTGCAACTGTTTCCGTTAGGTCTCTGGAACTCTAACTACCACCGACTTTAATTCTTTAATCCGTGAAAAATATAAAATCTCCGATTATATGACATGAGCAGTGTTTTTGTCTAAATAAGGAATCCTCAAGCAATTGATCGAAGCTTGGATATATTGTTTTACCTATAAAATTTCACTGAGGTGGACTTGGCATATAGTCGTCTGAATGGGCAGCTACGTCTCGCATATTTCGACAGCCAAACATTACTTTGTAAGTAATGTTATATAACTACATGAATTTACAGAAGTATGACGTCGTAGTCCTCGCAAATGGCAATAAATGAGGAGCACTCAGTTGTCATATGGCTCTACATGATGTTTATGGTATATGTGGTGGTTCCCGTGTATACGCAACGGTGACCACTTACTATCAGTTACGCATCAGCTTGATTGCAATTCCGTCGAATAAAAAAATAGCAAATGAAAATTATTATATAAAGTATTTTCATTTAATTAATATTTCAATTTCAGTAAACACGAAAACTGTTCTTAGTATGTAATATTAATAAGAATCCGTACTATTGTTATGAATTCGAAAGTGTGTCTGTCTGTCTGTTTGTTAATTTTAACGGCTAAATGGCTATTATTTATTCCCCAATCCTTTATACCTAAAATACCTAAAGAGAGCATAAAGTAATGGGGTCGTAATTATGTAATTTAAATCAAAGTCGCTGTAGCATTATAAACAGAAAGAGTTGCACTGTTTCGAGTGTTGCAAGCCCAGAGAACGCCGGTTTCGAAGAGCATTATGACATTTATTTTGTGACATAACTGGTTAAGAGCATAATTGTAACTCGATTTTTACGCGTTGTTTTAACGCAATTAATGAAATAAAAGAAAAGCAATGAATCAAAAAATCTTGTCTACACAAAAAATGACGGTAAGTAGCTAGGTAATTATAAAGCAAAAAATATTTTAAAAATATCGCAAAGCGTAATCCTAACGCGTCATTACAATAAAGGGAAAAATAAATAATAAACAAAAATAATAAAACAATATAGACAACAAATAAATAAACAATTTTATAAAAAGCAATAAATAACATTGTACTATCCCTGCCCACAACAAAGTGTCATATAATTAAAAGTCTGTAATTTAAAACCTATAATTAGCAAAGTTATCTGTGTATTACAGACGTTTGGCGGTCACTGCCACATTTTAATTAATGTGACACTAAGGAATGTGTTTATCTACATATACATTATCTTTTTGTAATAAAAAGTAAGCTAAATATGTCCGATGTTTTCGGCCCGAAGTTTTTTTTATTGCCCTCCATTTTTATGTAACTTTGCTCTAACGATAAAACATTTTTTGTTATTAATAGACACAAATTGATAAACATACACATACATACATAGGTAAGTGTGTAATGAGAGATTATCATTTCACTGTTTGAGATAACAAAAAATAGTATATATAGATAGTTACAATTTAATCATCACTGAAATATATAAAAATATCCTTGTTAAAATAAAATACGTAAAAATTACCGACAATATTAAAATACATAAGTTTGCAACAAAGTCCTTAATACATAAGTTTATGATAATGTCCAACGCTCAAGCAATAATTTATATTTTCACAGTGCAATGTAATTATTGGGTAATCAAGAAAACAACTCACATTTCATTTTCTTCTGGCGACTCGCCTTAAATAACCGCTTCATGTAGTTTCTGTTTAAGGGAAAACAAAGGTATTATCAAAGAATATTATCAAAGAAAATAATATAGGACTGCGCTAGTGTAAGCTATATTTGTTTAAAATTAAAATAAATAAAATTTTGTAAAATGTCAAAGATTAGAGAATTGTTAGTAATGTGGACTAATGGTTTCATTTCTAGCAATGTCAGATGGACCACCACGGTTTTCCCTGAAAACCATCGTGATAAACTGCTGTAGAATTTCTCACGATCCGCTGACGTGACCTCATCCTCATCTTATCATCCTTCACAGGTGCCTAGCTAGCAAGTATATGGGTGCAACATTCGTTTAAAAAATATTACCTTAGATTTTCTTCACTACATTTTAGTTTTTCAAGTATATCTCTGGCCATGACGCTTACATGCAGCGTCTCATAACCTGCTTCACCACAGGGACATCCCCTAAAGCTTTCATCCATTTGGAACTTGAGCCGATGGGCTACAATACAGCTGATGAAGAAAAATAAATAAAATAATATAATACCATAAAATTAATTTTTGCCCTTTGCCTTTGAAATGTGTCACCTAACATTTCATTACGATTTCAATTTCAGCAAACACGAAAACTGTTCTTTGAATGTAATATTAACAAGAATCCCTACTATTGTTATGAATTCGAAAGTGTCTGTTTAATTTTCACGACTAAATGGCTACATGGATCCTAATGAAATTGGATATGAATATTTTTGATATATCGTTTATTTATTTATTTTTATGTAAATAATTTTAATGCACTTTCTAAATGGGTAAATCAAAAAATGTAAAGGGGTAAAATAGAAATAGATGAAGAAATGATGTAAAGAGTTTTTTTTCGGACTACTCTAATAATGTTGGCCACAGCTAGCCTTTACAGCTTCACCGGACTATACTATAGAAGGCGAGTGCAGATGGCAATCCAAACCCGTAGAAGGACTTATGGAGCGGCTGAAGACCAGCTCCCATCTGACGGATACGACTTTAGTCTGAGGGCACCGCTAGGGGGTTCGAACCTTCGCTTCAGGCCATCCTAATTTCGATCCCCGTTTGAATTGGACGGGGGATCGATCTAGGGGTTGTATTAATATACATGACAATAAATATTTATGCACACGGCACATTCAATTATAGTAAAACTAAGACGAAATAAATGCATACCTCATACAACTGGTGTGTCCACATTTTCCCGTTACAGGTTCGGAAGGTAAAAGGTTGCAACAAACGCATTTCATACTGTGCTCATCTATAGCGGCGTTTCTCAACGCACACTGAATTAGCAGACGCATCATTCGATTCGCCCGCACGTGATGTATTGTTGTCTGCGGCGAGTAATCGAAATATCGGAACGGTCGATGTTTCGATTTCTCCGCATCCTTATAATTTGCGCGAATTGGTATACGCGAGGGCTTGGTACACGAAATTATGCATTCGTATATTTCAATCGGGATTTGAAACGGACCGTGCTCCTTTGATGTGGAAGCAGGCCAGTCTAGTACCTGAAAAAAATATCAACTGAATTTAAATTTCAAAAGATCTTCTAATATCTTGACTGAACGGCCTCGGTGGTCTAGCGGTATAGGACGCCGCCTTTCGTCCGATAGTCACGAGTTCGATTCCTCGCACGGTACAAACATTAGTATTCATGAGTATGATTGTTTGTATCGGTCTGGTTGTTTTCTATGCATATTGTGTATGTATTTACAGAAAAAAATATATATCTAAGTATTTATATCAGTTGTCTAGTGTTTATCGTGGGACTAGATGACGTGTTAATTGTCAAGGGTTATTATTATTATTATATATAACTCGATTTGTAGTTATGATTGACGGGACTCCAGCTCAAGAGTTAACATGGCAAGTAAAATTATAAGCGTCCGTAGTATCTGACTAATTATTAAAAAAAGTAAATATTCTGAAACAGCTGCGATAATTAATCTAATTACAGGTTTCGTCAAATTAACAACAATGACATCACGAAACATGTTCTTACCTACAAAAATGAAGGCGTTATATAAACATTGGATTTGTGTTATCTAAAACGTGACCTCACACACGAGCGCGATAACTTAACCATTCACGACAACAACGGACCAAATATAATTGTAATAAGTATGAAGTGTAACTGAATTAACACGACTGAATGTATTTTTTACACGCTTTATTTACCATAAAATTATTCATGTTATGACTCGATTAGATACATTAATTACATAAAAAGTTTGTTTGATATCAACTTGTAAATTCAATAGGTACTAACTACTAATGTATTTGTAACAAAAGAAAATATATTAACTAACATAATTTATATTCTACTTTTAAAGGGCTATTTAGCGTTTTAATCAACATACGATTTTATAGTCCGCACAAGTAAATATTAGTTAGGTGATATACCTAACTAATATTTACTTGATTACTACATATTATTTTTTAATTATTGATTAAGACTACTAATATTTGTACTGCAATTAAGACCAATAACAATAAATATACAATGAATTTAAATTAGTTACATAAGAATCAATTACACTTACTTATTCCTCTATTATTTACTAACTTCATAAAATTCACTAAAATCTTATCTTAAAAGGTGATTAATACACAATACAAAAAGGTGTTGTTCTAAAATGCTTCCGAGTAAACAATAATTTGACAATAAAATGGCACGCGGTCTTGTGTACAAGTAGGCAGCGACGTCGTCGCTCAAGTAACCAAGTATGACAATATGAACTTGGCCTAGTAAGTGGCTGAACGCGAGGGTGAGGCGTAGGCCGCAACGCGGCGCGCGGCGATTGCCTCTAACTCACCCATTGATGTATTCTGAAGCCGCCACGTAATAATAGAATACAATAGATATATCAAATACAAAGGACTAAATCCAAAAATAATTTATCCATTTAGGACATTTTAGCCGCTTATGAACCTACATTTTTTCCTTTGCCGTTCAGTTTAGTATATAGATTCAATTGAGAAGAACGATCAAGGAACTCAGTTGAATTACATATTTTTATTTTTTTAGTCAGGTTCTTTACACTGTTTATTTATATAGGTGCATGTCTAATATTAAATGAAAATCCCGTGCATGAATAACTATTGCCAAGCACGCTCGTCATTCAAGTTATAGTTTAGTGAGTAATAATAATAGTGAGGGTTTGCTACTACTAAACATTTGGTAATAAGTAATAACATTATGTTGCACCGGGATAGATAGGGAAATATTTCAGGTACATTATTGAAGGTCCATACTGAAACGGACATATTGTATTTGGAAATGATTGAATATATCGTAATAACATTATGTGTAACCGGAATAGACACGCAAATATTTCAGGTGCATTATTGATGGTCCGTACAAAATTGAATAGTGCAAAATCTAATCCTATTAGAAAATAATTTGCGATCCCCATCAAATAAACTAAACATTTGTAATACTAGAACGTAACTAATACAATGAATGAAAATAATGTAAGACAATACACATTTAAAATTATTACCGTTATGCTCGTTTGCTACCAGCATAAAAAAAAGTTGTATAGTGCTCTGTATATGTATATATTTGTAGATTGCTAAAATATTGCAATTAAAATAATATTTCCTACTTAAATGTCCAATAAATGTCGGTATGTATCACAGTTTATTTAACTTTAGTACACATAATGAGATTGATGTTCACATACTAGTGCAACATTATTTTTGATCTCGTTTCAGTTATTAAATTTACAGACTGCGTCAGTTCTCCATACTCCGGACATTTAATATCGCGTAGTTTTTTGTTAAAAATAAATAATAAACCAAATGGGATTACTGTACTTTCTACCCCTCATATGGTATATTATACTACTATACAGTCTTTTCTAATACGTTTTAATAAATAACATCTCAATGATTCCTAATAGAGTAGGTCGAGTTGTGATGAAAAAGCAGGTAATTCTCTGGAGGATTCTACGACTGGCGAGAGTACGGGAGTCAGACTACCGGTTTGACCAAACATTCAGTCGTCTCAATATCATAAAAGTACCTACTTATCTTGAGACTACACGATCGTAAGCACTAATGGTAATTTAATACATTTTATCCGATACAAATTGTTACGTTGGCAGGTGAGATAGAGATTTCCCATACGAAAGTGCTACTTTGCATTTGACGACATCCTGTCGATTAAAAGTACAATAGTAGGTAAACAACCAGTTAATAATCAGACATAATGATAGTTTTAATAATAAAAATACGGACAATGTTCTCATATTCCTATTTCAACCGCCAAACAGTGTTTTGTTGCTGTGTTTCGATTCAAGGGTAGGCAGTGAAATTACAGGATAAGAGGCATGGCATCTTAATACTCTGGAATGGCTCTGGAAAGTTGTAAGTATGGATATTTGTTACTCTTTCACGCAAAATTAATACAGTATAGCTTATGAATCAGAATAACACCTAGGCTATATATTTTTTTAATTATATATTGAAATGTAACGCGGGTGTAACCTTGGGCACAGTTAGTACAAAATAAATTCTACTGACGTTTACATCACGTTTAGAGGATGGTCCTGGTACAGGCGTTTGATTAATGAAAATCTGTAAGAGAATACAGTATCAGTAACTTCACTAGAATTCAGAAATTCAGATAAACACCGGATTGAAAAGTGCTGAAACGTTCTCAACAATGAATTATACCGGCGCAATACGAGTATAATAGAATTGTAACTAACAATAATATAGATAAATATCTATATTATTATTATTCTATTACACATTTTAGTGTGTAGGTATTAGTAGTTAGAATATCTTGTGATATATGTTTAGAAATATCTTGTTTATCTGTCATAAGAATCGGAATTTTCATAATTTTACCGCAATAATACATACAATAAAATACTACTTACATTTCTTATATCACGTGTAGTAGAGGCGCCAGCTTCAGGTGACTGATTAACTGAAATAGCCTGTTAGAGAGATACACTATTAACAACTTCACTCGGACTCAGTTCAAAATTTCAGTTTAACACCGGCTTGAAATGTTATTATCTATTATTATCACCAAGCGTAGGCAACAAACTGAAGTTATACGTACAAATACCGTTTAATGTTAATTTCATAGAATAAAATGGGAATTAAAAATGTACCCGTTATTTCATTAGTTGATTAAATATTTTAATAGGAAGTCTGGTGGCACTTTTGTAATATTTACATTATTATATACCTAATACTAAATTGATTGTTGTGAGTATCCGAAGCGATATCATTCGATTCGGAACTCAAATACCAAAATCAAAACAAAAATTGTACTGTATAACCTAATTTTTTGTACACATATTAAGTAGAAGCTAAGTATTTTAATTGTATACGACATACCGACGGTTATCTCTTAGCATACGATAGACTGTCAGAGTTTGTTCTAATTACATATATACCTAAATGTCAAATTACAACGGATGTTAATCCTAATCTATAGCCAACAGGTAACTTGTCAAGTAAACCATCAGCTTCTTGGTTATTCTAAAATACGAAGTAGACATCTTTTACAAAATGTCCCCGCATCCATAAGCCGAATAGGTGAAACTAGCCCTTTTATAAAAAAACTAGTTAATAACTTACTTTTGAACTGCTACCTGCTTCTTTCTCTTCTGAATTTGGTTGGCCCTGTAAAATTTGTAATAGGTATAAGTGTTACTTCATCTAGATAACTATTGATATGAGCATTTTGCCAATGTAATATTATTACATTGATCCTTTAGTATAATATGAAACCTATATGTTATTATTCGTCAAACATAACCAAATTTAAATTTTATAGTTATACCTCAATGCGCGAAGAGGTACACAATTACAAACAAACAAACTAGTTATAAAACTTTACGAAATGATAGTTTTAGTCCTGAAATAGTTGGTCTATCCTTAGTTAAATCACCCATTGATTGATAAAAAAAAGAAGCATGACGTCTTAAATAGCAACGTGTCAGTTACCCTGGAATAGCAATGTGTCAGTTACCGGTACAAAAGATAACTTGATGTACGAGGTGCTGTTAATGTATTACAGGCGACGGTTATCGCTTAACATGAGATAGACTATCAGACAATTACATAAATAAATGACAATTTACCACGAATGTCAATCGTGCTGTTTTAATCTATAGTCAACAGGTAACCTGTCAAGTGAACCATCAGCTTGTTTCCTATTCTAAAACGTCTAATAAAGCCGAATAGGTACTGAACACTATCCCGTTTAAAAACTGGTTTATAACTTACATTTGAACTGCTACCTTCATTCTGGTCTGCAGTTAGTTGACCCTGCAAAAATTTTGAACAGTCATAGATCACGAATGTAAAAAAAATTGGTAGATACCGAAATTGTCTTTCTGTTTCAATATTATATACCATTACCCATCTGTAGGCATAGATTCGTGCCATGGTATGGAACACTTTGGCAATGATATTATAGAGTAGGGGAGGACGAATAGTAAGTACTAGGGACCAATACCAATACTAGTAGACCAATTACCAGTTGAGTTTCTTACCGGTTCTTGTCTGAAGTAACTATGGTAGAGATTATAGTAGAAAATATCAAGTGCACTAGAGACCGAAAGGCAATGCAGAAATGATTATGACTTTGACAAGCAATGTATAGTACATTGCTTCACATGTCTTTACATTGCATCCACATGTCTTATCCATCGAGAAGCCGAGACGTTAATATTGTTTTCTTTTATCGTTCTCCAAAGAAATAGTCAATGTAAGAGATAATCAGCATGGTCTTTGTATTTTTATATGTCACAAATTATTTAAGAGTTACTATAATTCTGATATACCTATAATAATTACCACAGTATGCAAATTATGTTACTGCGTACTCATCTATGTAAATACTGAATGGAAATTAAAAAACAATATACAATACCAAGTCGTGTTATCACTAATCGGAGAAAAGGGGACTGTTAGTAATGTGGATTAATAACCTCATTTCTAGCAAACAACCTGACATAGCACATTTATAACAGGTTGACCTCCAGGCGTTTCTCCTGGAAACCATCGTGGTAAATTGCGATTTGCAAAAATGGGCTAACTGACCTGACTTCTTGCTTATTTTATCATCCTCCACTCGTGCCCCGCAAGCGTAAACCGATAGCGCAGCCGGGAGCAACATTCCATTATCATCCGTAAAGAAAATACACGAATAGCGACAATAAAAGGATTTTAAATGCGCTGGTGTTGCAATTTATTGGTTTTTAATCGCCCCTATTAAATGCACATAACTACCCAAATTTAAAAAAAAACTCGATTTACATAGCGGATCTTAATCATATTCCGCAAATTCAATATCAATCTCATAATCTACAAATTAGAAGGCTATATTCTGTACTGTAGGTAACAAAGGCGTAGTATAGTACGATGTAAGGTAAGGCAGACAATAGTAGACGTATTACGTATACATAATTATTTACAATAATGGTTGTATAAGTACAACAGAGTTCTCACTAGTTTAGTTGCATGATTATACAAGTGAGATAAATTTTTGGTTTTTAATAGACCAAAAAAGAAAAGGAGAAGTCTCGATTGACCGACCCATTTTTCTAACTGTATTTTATTACGTGTCTTGAGAACTTTTTTGTATCTACCGATTTTGAGGAGTATTTTTTTTATTTAACCTCTTTTGAAAATAAAAGAAAATATGTGTTATTGTGGGTGACAATTGATAATGCGATGCCCGATAGCCAATGGTTACCCCGAACCATCACGTTAAACCGTCAATTTTTTTCTTTATACTAAGTACTACTATGGTGGCAAACTAGGATACGGCTCATATGATGGCAAATGGTTAGCATACCGTATTTGGTACCTATTCCAATTACATAAATTAAACAATAATATTAGGTGGGTTGATTGTAAATTATTGTTATTACCGATGACATGACCTTAGATGACCTTGTGACGCGTTACTCCCATTAAAACTTTACGTTTGTATAAGCTCATACAAAATTTAAAAATCGGTGTCCTAATAACAATTAGGTTGATAAAATATTAATGGTAATATTTATTCAAATGACCTTGTAACGCGTTACGCCGATTAAAACATTACGTCTATAGAAATTCATACAAATTTGAAAATTGTGTTCAAATAATAATTAGGTTGATAAAATGTTAATGGTATATATTTATTTAAGTGACCTTGTAACGCGTTACTCCCATTAAAACTATACGTTTGTATAAACTCATACAAATTTGAAAATCAGTGTTTTAATAACAATTAGGTTGATAAAATGTCAATGGTATATATTTAATTTAAGTGACCTTGTAACGCGTTACTCCCATTAAAACTATACGTTTGTATAAACTCATACAAATTTGAAAATCAGTGTTTTAATAACAATTAGGTTGATAAAATGTCAATGGTATATATTTAATTTAAGTGACCTTGTAACGCGTTACTCCCATTAAAACTATACGTTTGTATAAACTCATACAAATTTGAAAATCAGTGTTTTAATAACAATTAGGTTGATAAAATGTCAATGGTATATATTTAATTTAAGTGACCTTGTAACGCGTTACTCCCATTAAAACTATACGTTTGTATAAACTCATACAAATTTGAAAATTGGTGTTCTAATAACAATTAGGTTGATAAAATATCAATGGCAATATTTATATCAAGTATACTAATAAATGGTATAAAACAAATAAATGAACGTGTTACCATAGTATTGCTTACGCGACGCTTACGCAAAGTCAAGTAAGTGGGGCTTATATAACGCGACCCAGTGGCACACTGACTGCGAATCGCTTGCACTCGATACCACCTACTTACATTTGTTCGTTTACCACAACGCAACCAAACTACGTAATAGTATCTGCCCGTTATCCAAGATGTTTTTGGTACCTTATTTAATACCAAAGAACATTACATTTTATGTTTTATGTCATAAATGTAAATTTATTTCTATATACTATTATGATTAAAAATAATCTTAACCTTAATCTTAATAATATTATTAAGTTTGTAAATGTTTATGTTACTCTTTCACAAAAAAACTACTGAATGGATTTTGACGAAACTTAACAGTAATATAACTTATGCATCAGAATAACAATTAGGCTACATTTCATATTGAAATTTAACGTGGGTGATACTGCGGGCACAGCTAGTAATATTATAAACCCGAAAGTTTATAATGTATTTTTTTTTTAAATATAATTCGAGTGAAACCGTGGGTACATCTATTTCTGTATATTAACTAACTACTCGCCCTGACTACGCACGGGTGTACATATATTATACGTATAAAACTTCCTCTTATATCTATATATATCTATTAAAAATACCGATTCAAACATTGGGACCGACAGCGACAGCGACTTTGTTTAATACTATTCTATACTATGTAATGCTTACCTCCGCAAGTAAGCAAACGCAATGTAATTATCATATCCGGTGGGATTGGGATTTTATACCAGTTGTTCGATATGTGCCGGCAGTAAATTAGGTATAATAATAGTAATAAAGATTGTCATGAGTCCTGGATGGACCATTCCATATATTCCATATGTTTTAGCTAACTAACTTCAGCTGGGGGTCTAGGAGACTGTTAGTAAGGTAGACTGATGATCCTATTGCTAGCAATATACCATGTCAGGTTGACCTCCACACGGTTCCCACTGGAAAACATCGTGATATTTTTTTGGCAAATTTGTCAAGATGGGCTAACTGACCTGAACTCATGCCCATCTTGTCATTCTCCACTGATACCCCGCCAGCGTAAACCGTTAGCACAGGCGGGTGCGCCATTCCATAGTCATCCATAAAAAAACTAACTTTAACTATTATGTACTGCTTCTTTTTTAATATAATCTATTGATTGTACAAATAAAGCGTTATTATTATTCATCAGACGGCGATCTGTTACGTTTTCGTAACCGCTGTATTCGAAATAACAATATATATATTTTTTTTAATTGTATCCTGATTGGAATAAAACGTACACGGATTTTTAAGTGAAACTTACAATTAGATTAGAAAAATCAACCGGCAATCGGCAATGCACAATTACCAAAAATAATAACAATCGTGATTTAATTATAATTTAAAAATCGAGGATTCTATTACGCTAACAAAGTTTCGGAATATTAGTTTTTTTAATATGACGGTTGGCTTTAGGTGCTATCTGGCTTCTCTTAAAGGGACTTGGCATTAAGGTAAATAAATCATTAACGGTAAGTAGGTATGCAGTGATTTTAACGACTGATTTGAGCGTTGTGAATTTGAAGAAGAATCATAGTTGGTTGTTATATTCGGTACTAGCTGACCCGTGCCATTGCGTCTGCATTGCATTTGTCATTATGTGTCGCCCAATTTACCTTTTTAAATTATAGCCTATGTGTTATTCTGATGTATAAGCTTTATTAATGTAAAGTTTCATAAAAGTCGGTTCAGTAGTTTTTTTTGTGAAACAGTAACAAACATCCATCCATACTCACAAACTTTCGCGTTTATAATATTATTATTAAGATTATCCATAAATGTACGTCGGTAAATACACGCAATAGCAAGTTGGGGGCACAGCTACTTATAAATTATAAATAAAGTATATAATACACGAATAACTATAAAAAATGTATATACATTTGTTGTCACAATTTATAGGTTTTTAATCGCCACTATAAATACAACCATATATAAAAAACGGTCATCATATATGATACGGTAATTTCAACATAAATTTGTATATTATACGCGAATAGATAGGGAAATACGATTGTTAATATTGTGGACTAATAACCTCATTGCTAGCAATGTACCACATCAGGTTGACCACCACGCGGTTCCCCTAAGAGACCATCGAGGTAAATAATAATTTGTTCTCATTCTCCACTAGTGCCGCGCCAGGGTATACCCGTTAGCTCAGGCGGTGCAAGATTCTATCGTCTTCCGAACAAAAAAGGCCGCATACCTAATTAAATTTCTACGTTAAATATTATCAGGAGGCAAAGATTGCTTGGTGATGATGTGGAGTACCACCTCGCTCGTAGCATGCGTTTGACGTCGCTTTATGCGATTTTACCGCGGCCACTAACTTGAACTAAAAGCGGCTTTTGAATAAATCTATAATTGCTTATTTTCATTTTTCTCATTTTATAATGTCGGGTACGTGGGTGTGGCCACGTGCCCAAGATTATAAAATTTTTGCGCATTATAATGCATAATATACTCTTACTTAATTTTCTTACGTAATAACCGCGTGGTGCTTACCTATATGAATATTTCAGTAATGAAACAGTTATAATATTATAAAATATTACATTATGTTTATAAAATTTTACAGCGCACTTGTTACTTAGAACTACCCCCGTAAGTCGATAATTATTAAAAAATTAAAATAAGTTTATTACCTTTTCAAAAACGAATGGAGAAGATGATGAGACATTCGCCAAAGAAGACTCCTCAGAATCCATTTTCTATTCTGCGGGCCACGATGGTTGGAAATAATAAAAGCGCGGTATATCTTAAAGAGAATCTAAACACGTATAATCACAAAGATGCTAGTTTATGAAATGACGGGCAGAAATGACTTCCGCACGATTTCACGAAGCCGGTTCGATGTTGCCAACTCAATGTCAAAATTTCAGACTAAATGATAAAATTATATCAAATAGACAATAAACAAAGATTATGCTCTGAAATGCTGTGCATTATGCTCTGAAAGATTATGCTATGATTTTCAAAGGTCACAGTTCCATACAAAAAATATTCAAAATGAAATACTTATGTAGATACTAGTGTCTATCTTGTTTATCTATATTATGTATTTTGTTCGTATTTACATATTATAAAATAGTAAAACGAGGCAAAATCTGTCTGCATTTTTGTGGATATTTCTCATTAACCTAATCTCGGAACCACACCTTTCTTTCACTAGACTTCTTGACATCACCTATCTTAAGTATTTTATAAGTTTTGCACAGAGAGGAAATTGCTCATCTTTAATAAATTGAACAACATAGATATGTTGATATTGGTACCTTAGTTAATATTTTTAAAATAAAAAGAATATATTGTACATTGGATTTTTTAATGTCAATCAAGCAACAATAATTCTACTTATCGTTAATATTTAGCCCCAGTTTACGTTTTGTTATAAATACATAATATATATAGTATTATCCCACATTATGCATATTATTATAATAGATACGATTAATAAATTGAGGTATTATAAAAATCACGAAATGAGAGTAAAAGAAAAAATATTTTTCGGGTTCCATATTTGTAAAATGAAGAGAGCATCTATTATTTATTGTATTATCGCATTTATGTTTGGGACTTTAAGCTATATAAGAAGTATAAAAGTAAACCTATAAAAAAGGCTACATTGACTTCCAAAGGTCTAATATGGTAACACTGTATGTATATTTTTTAAATTAGATTACGACTAAAGAATCATTGTTATACAGACATATTTGTGCTTATTCTGCTGTCATAATAAACAACGACATTTGAACGTTGTTGTCTTAAAATAATATTGTTCTTATGAACATAATATTGTTCTTATAATTAGGTTATCATGAACTTTTTTTTATAAAATATTATCTTTAAATTTTCAAATATGACAAGATTACCCACTTAATGTTTTGTAAATACAAAATATCAACTTAATAGTCAAACTACGTAATAACTTCTAACTATTTTTACAATTTTATTACTCTTTTCTCTCTATAGTACTATATAGATTAAATCCTTCATCTATTGAGACATTGTTAAAAATTAAAATTGAAATTAGTATTAATACAATGCTGTCTTCATAAAAAGAAATTTATTTACATTTCATTTTCTGGTTTATTTTTTTTTTTTTAATTTTATCGATATTTGTGTTGGCTACATTGGCGACGACATAGTATCCATATTTGTCCTATAGATTCTTGTACAAAAAATTGATTAGTAGCGTCTCTTGCATAGTTCTCTTTTTTGCTAGTTTGAACATTCGTAAATAAGATATACTAATAGTTCTTCGTGCCAGTGAGCTGAAAAACAATTGGTACCGTGCGGAGTCGTCATAGAATGGGGTTGGTTAGTTTGTTACTCTTGAGATTTTCGCTTTCCCATGAATTTGTTAACAGGGGTGGGAATTTTGTTCATAATTGATTAAGAATCGATTTGAGAATTACCGTGCTGTGTTTATTTTAGTAATCCCCGTCGCTACACACTATTGGAAAAATATTAAGATTTACTCTGTAATTTGGGTAATCGGTGATTGTTCGTAGTGAAGTATTTTGTTTCAAATATAAACGAAACTATCTTCGTCACCATGGACGAAGACAATGCTGGAGATGATAAAGATGACTCTAAAAGGTAGGCTGTCATGCCTAGTGTAGATACTTATTCACATGTAAATCTTACTTTGTATTTTTTTAGTTATGTTTTACATTAATGTACATGCACAATTCTATTAATAATTTGTAATTCTTAGATGATTGAGATTATATTTCACATTTTATTAGATATACATGAAAATTTTGTTAATTATATTCACAAATAAAATAAATTTATATTGGACATACAAATCAGCTCCATCTAGTCTCAAACTAACCTACCTACTAAGTTACTGGTAGGTACAGTCATCTTTGATGTATGTACCTATGTATTGTGCGGAGATAGGAGAGAAGACACAATAACCTGAAGGCGAGGCAAAACAATTTCACACACTGTCAAATATGCTTACAACAAGGTCATTGGACGGTATATTCTTGAATGAAATAAAAAAAATGAAACTATCTACAAATATTATCTTGATAAAAAAAATAAATATACACTTGAGTCCGTTTCTTACTTTTTTGTAACTAAACAGTTGAATGCATCATAAAAAGTATAACAGGATGATACATTTATATTAAAAAAGGTGATATGATGTCTTTTATGTAAACAAATAGATACACTTGTTAGTAACAGCTAATATAATAATAAAAATAAAACTTCCTTATAATCTTATCAGAAAAAAAAATAAGAATTGGAACATGAAACAATATTTATATTTGTTATTTTTATTATGTTCTCACAAAGAAATTGCTTAATAATTGTTAACAAAAAATTATAATATAGTAAGAACTAACACCAATTGAATAAACCCTTTATGTATTATAAAATGAATAGAGATTCATGGAATACAATGGGAAGGGACAAGGGAGTGTGTTTCCATTGTTACAAGTTACATAGAATGGATCTACATTCCATAGAGAAACTATGATATACAGAAAAAAACACATTGATAGCTCTGGATTAGGAATTAGTAGTTTACTCCAATTACAAATACATTAACAATCATCCATGAAAGTAACTTTCTCTGTAATGAACCTACCTTATTTTTTTCATTACCACATTCGTTTGAAAGAGTGTACAGAAAGAGTAACATTGTACATATCTATTTCCCTGACAAAAAGTTATTTTGTAAAACATATTTTGCAAGACTTTTTGCTTCCTTATATTACCTACTTTTTTTTATACAAATACCAACCTCTATTCTCCAATAAATAATATAACTAATACATGTTGTTAGAAAACACAGAAATACTGTGTGTTCCTGTAGTGACTCTTCATTGTAAACAAAATAACATTAATTATGGTACTAGTAAGTTTAAGAATAAGAATTTATTTTTAAGAAATTATTAGTTAAGACATATTATGTTTTCTACATTTTTAATGTATAAGATTATAATAATTAAAACAAAATTATTTTTAAAATATACTAGTAACAATTAATGCTTAAAATCTAATCAATATTTATTTGTTGAAAACTATTAATAGATTTTTGTACCAGTAACTGGCAATCTATATTTTGTTTTTTAATCTCAGAGACTTTATACTTAAATAGACATGAAAATGTCATAATTTCAATTAATGTTACCAGATGTAGTGGGGTAGTGCTGTAGTACTAATTTGTTGTATTATTTATTTTAGGTGCTTAGTTTAAATGTTTTATATGAAGTTTCCATAACATAAAATTTATCTACATTAACTAGTATTTCAAATTGCAATTTTTATGGTATTAGAATACAATGTATCTATTTTTTCTTTTAAATAGCTAGGTACTATTAAAAAAAGAATATTTCATTAAATATTATCCTATTATGAAGTTATTTTATATAATGTGTCTTCGATTTGTGATATTTAGAATATGGCTGGTCAATCAATCAATCCTAGTCATGCAGAAGTGGCAAATGGCTCTGAAACTACTGTACAAGAATTTAATGTGTTTTTTTAAAGTGGGTATGATGTTTATATTTTTTTATATTTCAGGAGAACACGAAATTTAAGTGAGAAAAAGAGAAGAGACCAGTTCAATATGTTGGTTAATGAATTGAGCACTATGGTCTCCACAAATAATAAGAAAATGGACAAATCGACAGTCTTAAAAGCTACAATATCTTTTCTGCGGAATCATAATGGTAATTTATTTAAATCTTAAAGAACAAAAAAAATATATATTGGTTGTTATTGAATCCTATTTTTTGTTACAGAAATAACAGTTAGGTCAAGAGCTCATGACGTACATGAAGATTGGAAACCAACTTTTCTGTCAAATGAAGAGTTCACATATCTGATATTAGAAGCACTTGAAGGATTTGTGATGGTTTTTTCTGCAAACGGTAGAATTTATTACGTGTCAGAAAGCATTTCATCACTTTTGGGCCATAATCCGGTGTGTATATTGTAAATATGTATATAAATATATGTAGAAGCAGGATTTAATAATTTTACTTCTTCATAAATAAAATAATGTTTTATTAAGTCATTTTTGTTGTCTTTATAGGCTATGCTGGTTAATCAAAGTATTTTTGATCTGGCTTTTGAACATGATCGTCCAAGCTTGTATAGTCTCCTACAAAATCCTGGCGTGTCAACAGTGGACTCAGTGCAGTCTACCTCTAAAGGTATGATTACAAAGTTCTAATATGTAAAAAAAACTATTCTTTATATTTTAAAGAAGAAGAATTCTATTTATTTATATATTTTTATCTCTACTATGAGGCAGAAATATTGTATTATATTCTATCATTTATATATTTATATATACATTATGGGATACAACATATATAGAGTGAATAAGATGTTTTTTAAAATAACCAGCATATAAGTTCTAATTAATATTCTTTAAACTGTAAATAACTGTATAGCAATTTTCTTATTCCAATGTTTTATGAAAGGTAATTTATTAATTTTGTTTGTGACTATGTATATTCTTATTCCTTATTTTTTTGCAAACCTTATTAATTTATGCTTGGTCGATTGTATGTAAGGCTACAGTTTGGCTGTGCGTTGATGTATCATTTGTATTCTTTTGTTTTATATCTTATTTATATTATATTTCATTTTATCTTCAAACTTTATAGAATATCTTCATACAATAATATATATATATATATGTATATATATTATTGTATGAAGATAAAATGAAGTAGAAAATCTTGCACGTATTGTTTCTTTTGCATCCTTTATTTATGTACAATGTAAACATTAGATAATTACAATTGGTATACAATGGTAATGTTTATATTGTACACTTCTACAATGTTGTCTGCTTGCGTAACTATTTAATTTATTGACCCTACCATTAAGCAATCTGCTTGTTTTCTGTGTTTTCGATTAATGTGAGATTGTTAATTATTTAAAGAATAAATATATTTTTTGATACTGTGAATAAAGACCTGTTTTCAGAGCGCGAGTGAAGTCACTATTATTGCAAGCGTTTATGGACTGCGCAGGCTGCTCACCATAATAGTACATACACCATTTGTTGTACAGAAACAATAATATTACACAATTATAAAGATGCCATGCTAATTGTTTAATATATATTCTAATTCGGCTAGCGTTTTGAAGATACTCGCCAGTTATTTCTATAATACAACAATTTACTAAGATTTGCGTAGATTTCTTTATTTGTGTAATTGTTAATTTAAAAAAATCTATTAAATAAATACATTATGTTTTGTAAAACGCAACATCCATATGAAAAAGTACATATATGATAGCATAAAGTATCGGATTTTAGTAATCTATATTTATCCATGATAATGTGCTGCGCGTTCTTCGATGAGTTGAATAAATGGGATGTCAATTATGTGGAGGAGGTATGGTGTTACTCTACATACCTACCATATGTCATATGTACTACGTCTACGTATACTTAACTGATTTTGATAGAACTATGTGATTTTACGGCATAGGTAGCATATATAGTCATGCGTAATTAAAGCTTGCGAAACTAATCACCATACTAAAGATGATATTAATCCTAATACGTTCTTATATTATACTATCAATCTTTTTAGCCTAAAAATCCTATTGGTTTAATAAATAATACGTGTTGTGGTGTCTTACAGAAAATGAAATAAGATTTCAATGTCATCTGAGAAGAGGCTCTTTAGATTTTCGAGATGAGACCACCTATGAACTTGTACAGTTCATTGGGCATTTTCGTAAGTATATATTTTGTCTTAACTAATAAAGTAAAATGGAGTGAAGAACACTCGAGGTTATTTGTTTTAATATTTTACAACCACAAAAATCCCATACTCAATCCCACAATAATACCATTGATAATCCTCTTTTGATGGTTCGGTTTAGAAAATAAGGGTGTCTCTATTACAAAGATTACCAATATTAGCACAGTTTAAAGATTAGATTTTAAAGTCTGATTATTATTCTCTCCTGACGCAAAAGTAGACCACATCATCACTTAACATCAGGTGAGATTGCGGTCAAACGCGCTCAAATTGTGATATAAAAAAAAAAAAGAAGTGATTTCGCCTCTGTTTAATGTTGAAGTAGCGTAGATTCTAGATAAAAACTTAAACATTTCTACATACATCGATTATGAAAGAAAGACGGATTGTGTGGAACTATATGTACCCATTCTATAACCACTGTGCTCATCACATTCCTCGCAAAATAAACAATTTTATTTACAACATGATGGACTGTTATTAAGTATGTATAAACTGTTTAAATAGATTTGACCTAATAATAACGTATCGTTGCGTATCCTTTCGGCTTTTCAAATCGGACTTGAACCAGCGACTTATGGAACTACAGCCTTCTAGTTCTTTCTCCTAACAATCATATTATTAACTAGCTATTCGGCCGCGGCTTCACCCGCGTGGACATAGAATATATAGATTATCGCGCGCCCGTTTAAATTAAATATCCGTGTTCAGTAGTGGGACGATATATATCCTGAACCTTCCTCCTGAGTCACTCTATCTATGCTATCTTTTAAAAAAAAACGAATCAAAATCTGCGTAGTTTTTTAAGATCAAAACATACATAGGTCTATTACTTAGAAGATATTTTAACCAGAAATTGAAACTGTTTAAATGGTATTGGCAGATCAGTTGGGATCATCGGTATTCTTGGTATATGAGCTAGTTGCCGTAGCCCTTATTTGCCCTTAAATTTCTTAGTAAGTAGCCTCGTCCCATTGCACAATGCACATGTTCAATGGGCTAAAATTTCTCAAAATCATGGTTGGATCATGCTTTTGAGAAATTCCGATTATTGACGTCAAATCGTATAGTAGCAGTCCAGAAGCGTTTAGTAATAATTCGTCATCGATAGTAGTCACGGTCTTGATTGATTTGGATTTTTTTATTTGTCCAGGAATTTTTTGAATAATCAGATTATTTCATTGACAGTATTATTCTTAGATAACTAAGTCTTAATGAAAGCCTTTTTTCGTGCAAATTCTCGATGTCAGGGTATGCAGCTACTATTAAAATTTCTAAATTATGAATGATTTGACCTAGGGACTCATCCAGAAAGATATCACAATTTCTTTTTAATTTGGAATGGGAAAAATTCCTTCCCCAAGTTTGAGCAGTTGTTGTGGAAAATCACTATCTGTGATTCCATGAAGATGAGCTCGCATATTCGTCCGTAATTTTAAACATTCAATTAAAGTCCATAAGGGAGACGATGTTAATGACAGGCAGAGTCTGTCAGAAATCTCCAGCAAATACAAAAGTAATCCCACCCATGAGAGCAGTACGGATTCTAAGATCTTTTAAGGTTCTATCCAAAGCCTCTATGGCTCATGGTGCATTCATCCCACATAATGAGGCGTCTTGTAATAATTTATCAAAGACCCTATTTTCTGGATATAAAATGTAGACTGTTGCTCAAGATTTACGGATAGCAGCGGTAGTTTAAAAGTAGAATGAGCAATTTTTCCATCGTTTAAGAGAGTTGCATGCAATTCCTGACGATGCGACTGCTATCGCTAAGATGGCGATAGCAGTGTTTGTATTATCTTGCTACTACTACTGCTACTCCCATACTCCAGTGACGCCTCTAGATCGTATTTGGTTTATAGCTAACTGAGTGGGTTTATTTCTAATACTTACATTGTTAAATACTTTATATCTTTTGAATGGAATGTCTGAATTTAATAATTCAAAAAGTTATATACAGCTATTGAAGCAGTCGTTAACATGAGGTAATTTATTTTGATAAGGATTTCCAAACTTTTCCTCTTTATAATATTAACAATTAATAATAATATGATTATAATACTGGCGTCAAATCAGGTTACTGTTATATACATCAGTGTTAGCGGTAGTCGATGTAGAGGTACCTTCCTAAGCAGACGCTTTTGTACAAGTTCTACTGCGGTCAAATTAGGACATAGTATATTAGAAAAACTAATCTGATTACGATTAATGATTTCCAATTTTAGGACTTAAACACGATAATAATTGTTTGTTTTTTTTTTTCCAGGTACAAATATGGAACAAGTAGACAGCGATGATAATATGTCGGCGTATCATCAAGATCACGAATCACGGTAGGTATATTTTATGAAAATATTTTTTATATGTCATATCTAAATAATAAATAATTGTACATTTGTAATCGTATAAAAATAGGTTAATACGCAATGAGCGTAGGAGTGCAAGTGGCGAGACTGTAGCCTTGTGTAATACTAGACCCTGAAAAATAGATAGTTTCAGATAAAACTAAATCTCTGGGGCCTAATCATGTAATGCTCGTAATAACAAAATTTTTAAAACACTCGCCAAACTACAATCTACAGTTAATAGAGATGGAAATGTTACAATTGCTCTACAATTTTAACAATTCCTACGATTGTCCTATCTTGGATTACAGTAGTGAGGACAATTATTGTTGTGTACCTACCGATGTGAAGCATATTACCATAAATGTATGTAAAACTAGTAATCAATGAAATAGTTTTGTATTATATCTTTTAGATACGACGTATTAGATACATAAGATGCTAGACCGGCCAGTTAGTATTTTTATGTTTATGTGTCGTGTACTTATACTAATAAATTTGTCGACCAGCAGCAATATTCTACCTTGGGGCCGGCGAATCCTAGCGGCAGTTATTTTGCTGCGTCCCGATTCTATTATGTTACAGGTTTTGATACCAACCAACAGTATATATTGTTGTCTTATCATTAATAATTATTTACCCTTAAAGGAGTTGTAATGTTACAATTGATCTTTTATTCCGTAGATTGCTCTTCATGTGTACTGGGCGCCTGTATACACCTCAATTGATACGTGACGTGTCTCTGGTTGATTCAAATCATAGCGAATTTACATCGCGGCATAGTCTGGAGTGGAAATTTCTTTTCCTAGATCATCGCGCGCCGCCTATTATAGGTTACTTGCCTTTTGAAGTATTGGGCACATCCGGTTACGATTATTATCATTTCGATGATCTAGAAAAAGTCGTTACTTGTCACGAAGCATGTAAGTATTTATTAATGTTCCTTTTGAAAGCAAAAAGGTATAGAACCTTTACTGTCTATGACTGATTGGTCTTAATCCTAGTTGCAGGGACCTTGTCGAATATTGTACTATGATATTATCGAATATTATATATTTATTTATTAAATATCTTCACGTTAATGTAAAAAACGTAATAAGTGTTGTATAATAAAATAATGTGCGAGATATAAGTATATTTTTTATAATTGTATCTGTTCTATAACAGGAGAAGACAAAAGATTCTCGACTAGTATTTATATATGGTAGAACAGAGTTTCCATATTTATGATACATTATAATGTAAAACAATCCACAATATAAATATTGACTTATTTAGTATTTTTTTATGTTTTTATATAGTGATGCAGAAAGGTGAACTGACGTCATGCTATTATCGGTTCTTGACAAAGGGACAGCAGTGGATCTGGTTACAGACACGATTCTACATCACATATCATCAGTGGAACTCCAAACCAGAGTTTGTGGTTTGCACTCACCGCGTCATTAGGTATTTATTTTTATTTTATTATTACAGGATAAGTGTAAAGTTTAACCTCGCTTCTGCCAGTAGAGGGTCTTCGATTAGAAATCATTTTGATTCATGATGAATTCGCTATATCGGCCGACTTCATCCTCATCCTATATTCCTATCATCATCCACCGGCCCAGCTAGCAAATATCGTTAACACCGTAAACGTCTGAAGTTAAACCTCGCTTCTGCCTGTAGAGGGCTTCCGTCTGATTCAATCAAGAAATCATTGTGATTAATTCCTGGTAAATTCCCTTAATGGACCGACTTCATTTTCATCCTATATCGCTATCATCATCCAGCAGGCGTATGTCATTAACACCGCACCCGTCTGCTTATCATTGCAAATTCAACCTAGGATAATCCTTCTGTCAATATTGTTTTATGAAAATTTACAATACACTTAATAGTCAATTACAAAATTTTGTTACAGTTATTCAGATATAGTTAAAAATGCAAAACAAGATGGAGTGGAAGCAGACGCATTGTGTGAAGTGGATACAAACCGCGGTGCCGTAAACGACACTCCATCGGAAGACACCATGGTGACCATGTCACCTTCATACATGTCGGAGGCCAGTGATGCCTTCAATAACTACCATGTGTCGCAGGTATGATATTATTTCACTATTTTGATGTAATTCACCTATACATTTATTCTTCATTAAAATTTCTTAATATGAATAGGGAGACCAGGGCCACAATTAACAAAAATTGCATTTTTCATTGTACCTCCGAAATTTTCCAACGTTTAGATCTGATCTTTAGGTCACATGTGCTGTAACTATTCAGGTATCATATTTTTAACTTAAATCAAACATAAAATAAATGATGCCTTAAATAGATTTTTTTTTTCTTAAACAAGTCGCATGTTAAATCTTACACCGTGTTTGGGGCTAGAATTAACAGCTCTGAGGTAAGTATTAACGTTTTGTCATATGAATTGACATTACAAATTACAGAATATTTAAACATGAACAAAAACTTATAATAATCAACAATATTTTGTCACTTTTATTAACTTTAATCAGCCTTAATCGCTTTTATGCTAAAAGTTAAACAATTAGGCAAATAACTTATTTAAGATATCACAGATGACATAGAAAATGGCACATTTTACCTTAAGTTATATATATATATATCTAACAGTCTTTGAGATAAGTATTATCTTTACACAAGACACAACATCGCAAAAATCAGTACGTTTATTAAATCAGCAAATACTTATAAAATATTAACGATTAAGAATATTGAGCATACAAATTATCTATTCATATTCATCATCGTCCGAAATACAATTCAGGCAAGTGAATGATGTGATATCACCTTTAATGCACTTAGTTTGGGCCCAGTCTTTACAAGAGATACATTGAATCCAATCACCACCTGAGAAATCTTTCCAATATGTTTCTGTATTTGTCAAAAAAGTTTTTCAAGTTGGTTCTATTGAATGAAGTAGCTCTACTTAAACTGGTGGCCTCAGGGCTTCGTATCGCTAACCTGGGATTTCTCTTCATAAAATTAGTAAACCAGTCATTACCCGCCATCTCATTAACTTTCCAGGAATCTGGTACCCTCTCAACATTATAAAACTTAGCACATTGATATGCTAATTTCTTTACATCTGCGGGCAGTAATCCGAAATAAATATTAGCACACTTTAACAAATACTCTGCTATATTTGCTTCTTGTTCAGCATTAAAGACAAGGCGGGTTTTCTTGTAACCCATTACTGCTAGTGCACCCGCTTTCTTTTTTTTTTGACAAAGTTGAAGACAGAAACGTGGTAGAGCTGGAATTCTTTGGCTACATCTCTATAATTTTTACCTTTTTCCATAACTTCTTTCGCAGCCAACTCATAGACCTCTAAGGATTTGGTTCCTCGAGTAGTTTTACGTTTGTATGTTCTCATTCTGTAATAAAATGTAAGAAAAAAGAAATTAAAACATAGGTACACAGTCGGATATATCGGTATATATTAATACGTTTATACTTACCCCGCCGATTTGTTAATTTTAGCCCCAAGGGTACATTTTTGGTTTTAAATAACATAATAAAAATATTTTATAAAAATCTTGTCAATTGAGCTATATGGCATTATTAAGTATGAAATATACTGCTAGGAAAACAAAAAAACATAATATTATGCCACATATTGTGAGCATAAATCAAAAAATTGTAAAGTTAAAAATGTTCGTTATTTGCGTAATAAAGTGGTCCAATACAGAGCTCAGTCGCACAACGCGCGATGCACAACTGACCAATCCCGAGTCACGTGGCGTGATCTAGGCGACGACTTGAAGCAGGCGTTGTATGTTTAGTATGTATAGTTTTAGAGAAATTAGCTTGTTAATACTTGCCTCTGTTAATTGTAGCCCCGGTCTCCCTAACCCTTGAAGGACAATGACATGTGTAGATATATGTGTTATATTTTCCTAATTAGTGTTGTATATAGATATATAATACTACATACTGTATTTATGATTTTGCCAAAACACTATCAAGAAACTTTTAAATATGTAGATACAAAAAGAGTGGAAATGGAATTCTTCCTTCAATTTAATAAATGGTATTATAGAAGGCTATTTATTGTGATATATCTGTATTTATCAGTATATCTTCTTTTTAGAAAACAAATTATCTATGTCCCTTCTCTGTAAACAATCGATTTCTTGTTTCTGGTTCAGTTTTTTGCCAGTTTATCTGAATTGAAGTAGTTTGCCAAAGTGTGCAGTATAAGCACGTAAAATATAAAAGAAATAGGTGGACCATAAACTATTTGCATATATTTAATTTTGGGTACAGCCGGCGTCGGTGAAATCAGCGTCTGCGGGCAGCACAACGGGCACCGTAGCAACCACCGGCACTGCGGCAACGGCGGGGACTTCGTGGGCACGCAACTCGCACACGCGCTACAACGCCGGCTCCGACACCGCGTCGCTTTCTGGAGAGTCCAGGTCCTCGCAAAGGAACAACAGCTCCCGCGAGGTTGGGATTTCATACCCAAAGGCACAGACATCATTCACAAAGAAAAAAAGCCTTTACATATTCATTCATCTGTGGCGTATGGTTTTGCTTTTGCAGATACCTGGCATAACCGAAACATGCTGAAGAATATCATTAAGCCTAGAAAATGTTAATCCTAAAAGCAAAATTTCTTTTCACATTGCTTATATGCGAGTGATAAGATAATTGAAAGCACCGAAAGGTATTCTGTGTCTGGTCAAATAATATTTTTGTATATATTGTTTCAAAAATATTTTAATTTTATATGAATTATTTATTATTATTTTAATTTGTATATATTTTTGGTATTGAACTTTTATTTAAAGTATTTAATAAGTGTTCTGTATAAATTCGTGATTAACATATGCGATGGGGTAGTCATAATTGTTAGGGAGCTAACGCGAACAGCGGTTCCATATCATCTCATTTACTAATAGGTATTTACACAATTTTCTAGTCCAACATTAAATATTGGTTATGTTTATGCAGATACATAAGACTTCCGAGCCCGCCTTGGTACCTCAACATGGAATTGGCGCACAGTATTTGGATCCAGCCCCATATGTGAGCAGCTTCAGCGTACCTGGAGTACTGCCCTTGTCTCTTCCACCCTTACCAGTCCTTGTATCACAAGATCAAGCACAGATGCAGGTAGGTTTTCTTGATAAATAAAAGTAATACATAATTGTTTTTTTTACCCTTTAATCTATACCCTATCTAGTCCTTAAATAAGCAGAACTTGTGTTATATTTGGTAACAAAGAAATACATACAGGTACATAAATATATAGAAAACACAAATAGACCAATACAAATAACCAAACATACTCATGAATATGTATAAAATATTTGTGCCCTGTGAGAAATTGAACCCGCGACCATCGCAACTAAAGTGGTCAAACCGCTAGACCACCGATCCCATCGTTGATTTGTAATTTATGTCTATTTGATTATGTGGAAAACACGTGAATCTATTATTAAAAAATAACGCAAACAAAGTAAATATGCCACAAATAGTGTTTCTGCCGAGTACTGTATATTCTAAGGACGAGAGAGAGCCTATCTCGACCGAAGCACTGAATATTGTTACGACAGGTATTGTTTATGATTACATGAGTAACATCAGTATTCCTGACATATTATATGTGGACATGTCAGCACAATAACCAAACTTTCTTAAGTTTTACTGCGCATTGGATATCTCCCGATTTTAATTTTAAACAAGGCTATTTACAGCAGAATCCGTTTTGCTGGTTCACATAATACTATTTCACTGTCATTATAATTAGGCGTTGGTTGGAATGGTATGCAACATTCGGCCGAATACCGAATATTTAATAAGTAGCCGAATAGGCCAAATACCAAATATTCTTGGCGTCTTTTATACAGACAGCCATTTTCATGAATAGTTTTAATTAATTAATTTAGTTGCAGCGGAAGCATGAGGAACTGCAGCAAATGATCGTGCAGCAACAGGAGGAATTGAGACAGGTTAAGGAACAGTTGCTGTTAGCAAGATTAGGAATGCTGCAACCTGTTATGAGCGTAAGTAAATTAAAAATGATTTATTCATGTAGGACATTTCAGCTGATATGAGCGTATTTTATTTGTATTATAATTGTTTTCCTTACCGTCCAGTTAAGTAGGTATACCTAAGTATACCTATAATCAAATAAGAATAACTGGCAAGAAACTTAATTGATTGTCCTTTTTTTTTTAAATTTATATTATTTACTTATATAGTATTGTATGTCTATGTGTAAAATTAATAGAAAATCCCGTGCATGAACAACTATTGTCATGCACGCTCGTCATTCAAGTAATCGTTTAGTGAGTAAAAGGCTTTGCTCAGTAAATCAGATTAAACAGATGTTTTGATTTCATTTAAGAGTAATTTCATTCCAGTTAAATTCATTACATTGCATATACATTAATTACCGTTCGCTACAATATACTCGTTTGCAGCTCGTCGCAGCTTGTCCTCCATTCCTTTTATAAATTTTGTATTATTTTGATACCTGTTTTTTATATTATTTTTGGCTACTTTGTGAGGCCTATTGGGAAATATACACATGTACATAGATTTTCTATAATAATCGTGGTTTCGCGTTCCAGTACACTCATAGAAGGAAAAAGTTAAAGGAAAAAGTTATTAGAATAATTGTTTTTTAATAGGTGTTACAATGCTATGTTGATTTTTTTTCTTTTTAAGTCGGAAATGCCATTAATTTGAATATTAAAGCTGCTCAGTTAAAAATAGCATATTAAAAAAAGACAATTTTCTACCCAATATAGAGAGCTTGGGTTATTATATTACGGTTTATTAACCTAATGACGCGTTGAGTGGTATTTTCAGAACAGAAAGAAGAACGCTTCCATTCTCTTTTCTAGAAAGAAAGCGTTCTTGTTTCACACATAGGGTATATATATACCTACAAATTAGTCAAATGATTGCTCTAAATTTATAAATTGAAGCTAACACTAGTATTTTAATTTCAGGGTCAAAATCCTTATGTGACTGCGGATGTGATGCAAAGTCAACCGGCGCAAATAGGATATGATATAGACCCTGCTCGGCCTTCAGCACCATATCCGCAGCAAAATCCGCTTCATCCACAGCATCCGCAGCATCCGCCGCATTCAAGCCACCATCAACATATGCCATAATAAGCCACTTCTAATAACTTGTAGTTGTATTAGGTGTGGCTAGGTTTATCTGTATGTGCATATCTATGGATAGATCGCCTCGCAAACTATTCCACTATGTATCATGCCGCCTTTATTATGTCTATTCTTAAATTTAAGTAATAAACTTATGTGTATATTGATTGCTCAATAAAATGTGCATTCTGTCGAAATTTTCTATACAGATGCGCATAAAATGTTTAAAAGACGTGTAATCAGATTGAGATAATGATATGAATTATTTTTTTAGTAATATATTATATATTGTTAAAATTCCCAGAACTATTACAGGCATACTTTATAAATTCAGGGAAAATAAGATTAAAAAATATGAGTAAAATTAATTTTATAAGTAACATTTCATTTTGGAACATTATGAATTTACTAACTTTTTTAAGGCAATTTTTTTTATGTTCATTTATATTTTTATAATTTTGTTTACAGTTTATTTAATCCCGAGATAGTAGGAAACATCAATGAATATGAGGGTAAACTATTATATTGCGTATCTGTGATAATTCTGATAATAAATTTAAATATTTTATTCTGTGACACGTAATCGTTTAATTTTGTATATTTTTAAATTAATATATTGCCAGATATGACTATAATTATTTTTACTTTCTATGTTTAATAACTATATAGAGAATTAGTATAAAAACCTTTTCTTTAAATGCCTTACATTAAATTGTAAGTCATTTTTAATTTTACATATGTAAGTAATTTACATGATGAAGTAAGATTGCAATTACAGATTGCATTTGTTTGCCAATTTTCCTGGAATAACCATTACTATGAAGTCTAGTAGTACTTTACTCTTACTGACTGAATATGGACATTCATAATAATAATTATTATTATTATTATTCTCAAATTCATCAAAGTGTAACTACTATTCCTTGTACTAAAAATAAAATGTCAATTAACTTTAACAGTTTCCAAGTAATTGGCTGTATTGTAAATAATTGTCAATCTTAATTTATTTGTAAATATCCCGATTTTATTATTTTTAATTTTTAAATACTGCGAGGTCAGAATCACGAATTGAGTTTGAAGTTACTAGTATACGAGAAATTTTGATGCAGTGAATCTGCAGGTAACACATAAAATATTGCGGTATTTTATGAAAATTTGTGATAATGAAAGTTTTCAAAATTAGACGTTAGAATGCGTTAGTTTTCTTATGATATGGTAATTAATAAATTGTGTAACTAGGCAACAAATTTTTATGTATATGTAACTGTAAACTGCAATGTTCAGACCAACAAACTACTAATATAATGTTTAAAGTATTTGTCTTTATTTGAATATAAATGAACTAGTAGGTAAATAGGCGGAATAATATCCATAATCTTTAAATGAAATGAAAAATTTTATGCACTTAAAGATAGTGTTTGTTAGAGTTAACGGATATGTGTAATAGATAAACATATCTTTCTATATATATGGCATGGTGTTTGTGGTATGGCTATATATGGCACATGCATACAATAAATAGACATAATATTTACACATTACAGTGTTGTTAAATTAAGATGGTATCCTCCAGGTCGCTGCACTCCTTTTAGTGTGTCATTATCTGATGTAGTTCTACATGCATCTTGTGTATAATAACATTTATTGCTGATCTCGTGATACGATGTAAATAAGTTGTGTCTAGATAATTAATAAACACAATATTTTCTTCACATGTTTATCTAGAATAGGATAATATATAAATAATGAAAATATATACTTATACGACAGTTCAAACTCTATGTTCACCTTATGACTTTAGTGTCTTGTTTAATTACTGCTTTAACAAATCTTTGTAAATATATTACATTTCCCTCACCGAAGTGTCAATTTCATAGCAATTCCCATACATTGGTTAACAGTGCATAAAACGGTTAACAATGTACGAACCATTGCTTTGCACTTATTTAGTGACAGGTTCAATTATTAAGTCTTTTTCTAAATTGACTTCGAGTGCTCTGATATTCGGCCTCTAAAATATATTATTATATTTTCCGTAATCCATTATTACAACATCCTCAGTTAAGTCACTTTTGACAAATGTTACATTTCGCTTACCAGTCATGAGTCGCCTCACTGAGAAATTTTAACTGTCTCTGTAATGATCCATGTTGGCAAGGCTTTATACTACCACCTACTCCGTTATCAAAAATCATAAATCATGATCATAAAGCAATTTGTCAGAGTATTAATGATTTGCGTTAATTGGATCCAATTCTCTCGAAAACTAAAGATCTAATTTTTGGCCTTCTTTTATTTTTAGTTTGAACTGCTCTGTGTGTATTCGAAAAATGTGTGGAATCAAATGTTCAATGTTTTTAACTTCTCTCTGTCGACCTACAAGGAATGTGTATCTAAATTTAATTAAAGGTTATATGTGTTCGTATTGATCGATATGACGTAATTTCAAATATCACTTGCCAAATATAGTAGAGTAAGTATTTTAAAAACATTACTAGATTTATGTATACTACTAGGTTTAAAAGTAGCGACGTTTGTTTTTTTTGTTATATATTATATTGCAGGTTGTTTATGTTTGTATAGTTCGGATTTTATTCAATATTATTTTATGATATTAAGTTTATATTATTAACAGAAATTAAAATATGTATAATATTTTTGTTGTAAATATCAGTTAAATTAATATTTTATTGTGACATGGCTATTGAGTAATTTCTCAAATTGTTTTACTTTAGACTGAAATGTATACAATTCGCTCCAAACAGTTTTATTTCTAGAAGTTTCTAATTGGACAGAAAGACTTTATTCCATCAAGGTAAAATCGATCCCTCTAGAAATATGGGTACTGACTATCCCATCCAGGATTACAATGGTGAAGGATATTTTTTATTATTACATTACAAGAATTTTTTAAAGTAGGTCTACTAGCTTAAAGGACGTCAAAGGTTCATTTGTACATTCCAAAATTACTATTTGTTTATACTGTTACATTTTGACTTTCGGCAGCATTCCAACTACAATTTTCGCAAGTATAATTAATAATAATGTAATTATTGCAAGAAAATATAACAATATTTCTAACAGTCATTACACATTTAATTAAAATCAATTTCTTTATAAACTAAGTAGAAAGGAATCTCATTAATTTGTAACATCTATTTCTTGTAGATATAATGAAATTTGTATCTGATTAATAATATTTGTTTCATATCACTTAATTGTGAAACCCACGGCATGCGAGATATATTCGCAATTTATGGGATTTTTTTATTCTTGCTTGTTTTAATTCTAAACGCTTAAAACTACTTTTGGCGTAGATTTTATTTTGTACCTGATAGTGGATATCCACCAAAATTATACTGTGAAAACGTGTCACTGAAATATAAGAACTAGGATTTTTTTGGGTGGTTGCTGAAAAAAATAGTTGGTAGAGTATTGTGATATTTTAGTGGCGTATGAAGTAAAAAGTAGGGTTGTTATGGTATGCTCTTGAGTAATCATCTTCCTACCCTAATCCCGTAATTAATTGGGTTTGGGGGTATGTTGGGTATATATTTTCATCCGTATATCGGGATTTAGTTGTAAATTTATAAAACAGACTATCTATCGTTGTATAATGTAAACCCTCCTTGGGAACGGTTTAGTTGGTTATTAGAACAACGGTTGATGACAATCAACGGTATGTATGGAAGAATAGGGATGAAAGGAACTAGTTAGTAAATATATGAAGTTGTTTGGTGAAAGGGTTAATGGGAACACTGCAGTCGTGGAGGGGGCTATTAGCATATTGTATGGCCTTATTTTAGAACCGGAGAGCTTACTAGAGTAGGATAGCCCTGATGTCCCATCTGCTCTTGAGTATATATTATACTTGAATTTGGTATACTTTATTATGGTGTTTGTAATATTTAAACATGTATTATCTCAAAAGACGAGCGGTGTCAATTGAGGTGCTTGTCAGAATTGATACATTTTTGGGTTTTTATTCATTAATATTTTGTTTTTATTAACATTTTAACAATCTATTATAATTTGCTCTCTGCAATGCAAAAGATATAGTGTAGTATAAAAATATATCAATTAACTGAACTTTTTATTTTGGTTTGTAAACAGCTAAAACAGATACATATGTTTTTCATATTGAGTTCTTGATAGAACAGTACAGTCTGATATAATTTAATGCTTTGTATAAGGTTTGTCTTTTATGTCAATTAGTCATTTTGTAACTACATACATAATATATAGGTAAATGTTCATTCTAATATCGTAACGTATATAGGTATTAATCGGAAGTTTGCAATCGTGTTCTTTCATTAATTTATTTTCTATTTGATAGATCTCTAGTGATAAAGACAAATTCGATCCTGTACTTGTTTTCAAAGTTTAATATACCTATAAAATATGATTAATGTTAATAAATTAATTAATTCTTGGACGTATGTACACAGAAAGTTATTTGTTTTCACATGAACAACTTTAACTATTGCCCATTCTATTATAAAAATAATTAACTTCGTACACATGATTAAATTAATATGGAACAGGACAAATAGAAAATAAATAAATGAACATAGCATTACTTAGAAATAGGTCTATAATTTGTAATTTATACTTATCAGTGAAAACAGAATTCATTTTTTAATCGCTTTAACCAAATATACATTTGTAAAAGTTTCTACACACGTTCCTACATTTGATGACGATATCGGAGCGGGGTTTTCGCCCTAGATTGCTTAGATGCCTTGTGTGCTTGCTTGTTTGAGTGCTTGTGTAGACTCTTTGATCAGATTTTACCATTTTTAATAGTATGTGAGTGTATAACACTTTTTTTGCCAAATATTTTAATATAAGTACCTGATGTCTGATTATAATTGATAAATATGGTATTTCTAGAGATCTAGTTGTTAAATTAAGCTATAAAACAGACGGTAATTGTTCAGAACTACGCGTACTTTATTAATATTAATTGTAACGCGCCAGTAATTTGTGACAAATATCGTGTGGGCTCTCGTGGCACAAATAGGTTGATATACTTGTTTTTCTCAGATATTGTGCTAATTAAGGCTTAAGGTAATCTATAAGGATGCTTTGGAATCGATACCAATACTTAAAGGTTGTAATGAATAACTCACGCAATTACGAGTGATGTAATTTAATAATAGTTTTTTTTTCCGATTTTGCTGCATGATGTAATAGTTTTATTGTCTAGTAAAATAGAGTAAATGTGTCACTTCAAACTTATTCGGAAATAATTCTGATGTATGCATAAATAAATGTTGATTAAAATTCCAAATGATATTTTATTAAACGAACAATTAAAATGTAATACGATACACGTATGTATATAAGATAAAATCGCAGAATATATATCAATGTAAAAGAACCGAAAACTTTCCATAGATTTCCAAGCCTATGTAGTGCTATATAGAAACTATATGGGCTATTTAATAGTGGTAGATACAATCTTATCTAAATGGTAACTTATGGTTACAATCTATTTCTTCTATTACTTCTATTAATCTTCTATTTTCATGTTTATTTCTTACTTAAACTTAAGGTGCCAAAGTTACTATTGCCCTATCCCGAATTAATTTACTTAAGCTAAACATAATCTTACCTATGTTAAATTTGTAATAAATAAAATAAAACTCAATCGGATAATTGGTGTAATTTATTCGAATAAAAAAGTAACATTGATACGAACATCTTATAAACTAATATTAATATATTTATATATGTAAGTGTACCTACCTAATAATGCTGATATAATGTTACTATTACTTAATGAAGTAAGACAATATCACAACTTATATTCTACTTAAATTGACATAATAATAATATCTACCTGAATAGTTGACTTTTACATTAATAGAGACAGGTGAATATTTGGTATTTCAGCTTTTTTATTATGGTTAAAAATATTCTATGCAACGTGTTGGCCTTTGCACATTTTCCAGTAGACTCCCTTCATGCCGACCAGCTCGGTATGTGTGCCGCGCTCCACGATTTTACCTGCACCAGATTATATATTACGTTATGTACCCACACTTAATTTATATAGGTACATGGGGTCAATTAGTGTAAAATAAAAATTGTGTTATAATTAAATTATTATAGGAATTTCACAATGTATTGGTACTCCTATAAAGCCTTATTTTTAGTAATTATTAAAGAGAGGTACAGATGTTTTTTGCCGATTTCATCCTTTTCTGCTTTTCTATTCCAAATCCAAATACAAACAAATTTCAAGGATTAATATAACCATAGGAATATTCATGACTAGTTGACTTAATTATCGCATTTAAATATTTAACTACAAGAATGATTAACTTTTAGAATTAATCATTCTTATAACTATAAGAACATATAATTATTATTAAATACATATTAATTTAGAATGAGTGACTTATTTATTGTTTCCACCTGTACCTTCGGAATATTATAAGTATTGCGTAGGTATAGGTGGAAACAATAAATGAAACCACTAAAAATATCATAAGGTGAATTATGATAAACAGTATGTGTCGGTGTACCTCTATATCAAATATGATTTAAAACGCCCAGCTGTTCAAGGATGTTTGAAAATGATTATAAAATTCACTTACCACTTTCAACAACACAGATCACATCTGAATCTTTGATGGTAGATAGACGGTGTGCAATTGTAATGCACGTGCGACCTTGAGCTGCTTTCTCCAAAGCCTCTGTCACGGCCTGGAATAGAAATTATAAATATATATACTAGATCACCCCGCAAACGTTTGCCATGTAAATTAAAATCTCTATTAAAAAATTAGGCATGATGATAGAAGGGCGAAAATTTGGCTAATTCATAATAATCTAAAAATATTAAGTAAATAAATTAAAAAAATATATTTAGGGGTGGACAACTCATATTGCTTAGGGGTATGAAATTCTAATGACAATAAAATTACTTATTCTTTTAATAAATTAAATAAATTTACTCAGACTAATAAAAATGCTTATATAAATTGCAGTAGGCATTCAAAGACAGATAAATAGATTATTTTCATTTAAATGCTCAAATACGAATATTATTAGACTTCAAATAATGTTATTATTTATATTTTTCCTATTCCTATTTACATTAAGGGGTTTCTGTAAATTAAGGTAGTCATAGTGTACAATATATACCTATATATTGTATTTAGGTTCTATAGTAATTAATTTTTTATTATTTATATTATTATGGTTCATTTTTGTACGTACCCTTTCACTGTTGGCATCCAACGCTGATGTGGCTTCATCCAGCAACAATAAACGAGGTGATCTTATTAGAGCTCTCGCGATACACACTCGTTGCTTCTGTCCTCCAGACAATTGAGCACCACTCGAGCCCAAATTTGTGTCGTAGCCCTAATAAAGAATTTATTTTACTTTAACAAATAAACTAGCGAACCAGACAGATGGCGTGCCAGAAAAGCAGCGCCATCTAATAGCCTATTGTTTTTTATTAGTTTGTGTTATATTCTCAAATCTATTGAATATACTCACAAAATTTTGTAAGAATCGGTCAAGCCGTTTCAGTAGTGTTTTGTTACAAACACTGTGATATGAGAATTTCGTGTATTAGATTAATTTTCTTTTCCCGTGTTCAAGAGAGAACGACTTGTACCATTTTCTTGTTCTCTAATATTTAAAAGAATATGCTTATGTAGCGATAATTTTGAATAAAAAAATCTCAGAACGATGAAGTTGTAAGCACCCAGACGACGCCTGCGCCACTGACTAGTGTTAAATATACCTGAATCCTAATTATGGCTTGACATTTTAATTCGGAATTACCTTTGGCAAGGAGACGATGAAGCTATGTATATTAGCGGCTTTGGCAGCAGCGATAATCTCGTGCATAGTGACTCTCCTGTTGTTGTCTCCATACGCGATGTTATCGGCGAGTGTTCGATCAAACAGCACCGGCTCCTGTTGTACTACGCCCAGTTGCCGCCGCAGACGAGGCAGGGTCAGTCCGGTGCGTGTATCGCGTTCGTCCAGTTCCTAGTATTCGTTAATTTATTAGTTACAGGAACCAGGACTAAGCAAACGCTACATTTTTGGGAACATAATCCTACATTAATGACCTATAGATTGAGGATAGGTACCTGCGAACTCCGATTGGGGTATAATTAGCACAGAATATCTCATTAAAAACAATATGACTGTATGACTGCCTAATAATGTAATGTCGGTTTTCAGTCAATAATAATGAGACCAGCAATTTAATGTTAAATATGTCTATAGTCAAATATTACGAGTTAAATGTTAGTATTTTAAATTAAAAATGCATCTATATTTATAATCTTAAGTTTCAGAATCTATACAGTAATTTCACTCGTCTTCACACTCGTTTAACCTAAGTTTTCTTTCTCGTAATCTCTTCTCTCTCTCAAATTCCTTCATTCTAAGAACGTAGTCTTGATGTTCGCAACTTATATATGCATGCTTTTCATGAGCACAACGATATATTAAAGGCATTTTCTTGTATCGACAAACATGATAATCCAGTAACAAATGGGCACAATAATCACGAAATTTTGGCGGTATACGGGCAGATATCAAGTCTTCTTCGCAGGCAACCATCTTTCTTTCCATCCTTTTATATCCAAAGCCTACGTTTGGATCGAATGTCGGGTCATCACCCATTTTGAGGTCAATATTTCTAATATTCCATCTGCCCCATTTTTGGGAATAAATTTAATATTGTGTCAGTTATTTAAATAAATCTTAATATAATGAATTATCTATATACATATATTTAACTATTGTATTACTACTCAATTCAAATTAAATGGCCCTATATTTTCGGACTGTATTTATATGCCGACGCTAATAAAGTTGTCAAATGTTTGAATAATTGTTTGTTTTATTATTTATTTATCATTTTTGGAAAGAGTGATTTTGTCCAAGAAGACTTTAGGCTAGGTAATTATACTTTTTGGCGGATAAATTTATTATCTCCTGTACAATGTGATGGTAAATCTGAATCATGTAATATGTATTTCTTTAATTATTATAAAAGGTATCTACTACCGCGTCTGTATGAATATCTGTAAAAGGACTGAACAGATTATTATATAGTTTCCATCTATCAACAAAGTGACTTAGGAAAGGTTTAAATGAATAATGTAGTGTCATAACACCCCTTAAAAGCCGCGGTGGTTTGCTGTTAAAATAAGTGTAATAATTAAAAAGTGTACATACTATACAACCCGTGTCAGGATCGTAGAATCTTTGCATAAGCTGTAGAACTGTAGATTTGCCGCACCCTGAAGCCCCGACCAGTGCGACGGTTTTTCCGGCTTCCACTTTCAGCTCGAGTCCTCGAAGAACGCGATGATGCGGAGCCGTCGGGTAACTAAATTCTACGTCCTTGAAGCTGAAGCTGCCACTCGCAATCTGCCAGATTATCTCAATATTAATATAAACAAAGACATCATTTTTTGTGTATATTCGTTTATTAGGTTTATTCAGAAGTGTACCAACTATTCTTTTATATTTCGCCTAAATTATTTAATACTCTCTGGGGATATTAGAATATAGATAATTAAAACGTTTGCCAATCCAAATTTTATTAATTATACAAGATAGGTATCATTGTATAATGCAATTTGATAAAACATACTCAATTATTTTGTTACGTAAATGGAAACACGTTCATATGTATTTGTAGTAGTTATTGTATAATTTACCAGGTGATTAAGTAAATTATTTTGTGTAATGTGATGATTGGGTATGAATTTGCCCTGTGGAATAAGTAAGATTTAACAGCAGGTAGATATAGGGTATTACAGAATATTATATTATATTCTGTGAAACCCGCCTATTGTATACACTATCAATAACTTCAAATAATGTGGTAGTAAATGTGAACTTAATGGAAAGTATCAAGGTCACTCGCCCCTTGAAAATTTATAGAAAATTTAAATTAACTAACCCAGTCTTTCTTGTCCCTGACTCCGTTTTCAGTCCTGACCTTAGGCTGTCTGTTGATAACCGAAAGGATTCTGGCACCACACGCTTTAGCTGAATTAAAGCTTGGTGCATATACTAACGACTGGCCCAACATATATGCTCCATACATTATAGCTTCATTAACCCTGACAAACAAAATTATTATTAATTAATAAATGTATATGCATATCAATAATTGAAACTCAATAAACAGGTTTTAACACAAATAATTTTATGGTAAATAAAATTATTTACCACTCTCGACATTTCAATGGGATATACTATTTCATTTGCATTTTGTTAAAATAATGTAATCAGTGTCCGTAACCCAAACAGGCCATTCACAAGTAGCACCCGTTCACAAGTATGACGGATGAGCCAGCCATCATTGCACGAATCACTTTCGTATTTATAATATTAGTTATACATCAGGTGTTCTTGCATAAGTCAGCAAATTATTATGGGTTTTATATTATATGGATATGGCAAATAAAACGTATACAAAAATTATACAAGTTTTAACTCCACGAGAGCGAAATAACAATAAATAGAATAATACTTACAGTAGTACAGTCTTGTACTCGACACCTTCCCTCGCAACAAGCACTGCACCATAGACTGTGGCACTGCAAAATGACAGGAATGGCACATAAGTTCCTAAGCCCAATACTAGACCTCGCCAACGGGTTTTCCTGCTGACGGCTACGCACGAGTCGTCCAATGCCTCTTTGAACTTTTCCAGGAAAACATGCTCTACACCTGTGGAGAACACAATTAGTCTTAAAACTTAAATCTTCATGTTGTGATAATGTTCAAGTACTAATAATGTATCAATTAATACCTAGACTTTGCACTGTTCTAATGCTTATAACAGCTTCGGTGGCAACAGTAGTAGCTGTTTCCATGGCTTCGCGTTCGTTAGATTGAGACTTTTGGGATACTATTCCTTCTAACCATATACTGCCTACCATCTGTAAGAAAGATACATTTGTGACTGCACATTCTGACTTTCAGATTAATGTAAAAAACGATTTAATATTTTAATATATCGGTTATAGGTTAATATCCTCATCTAATTTACAGGTAACCCTTTAAAATGGAAGGTGAAATCAACTTGAAAGTTATAGCCAATACAATAATATACGTCAGATATATCTACTTAAAAAAAATATATTTGTGTGCATCGTCAAGACTTAATTTCGTTAAAGACAAAATGAAACTTACAAGAGGCAAGAAAGCCGTCCCAACCAACGTAAGTTTCCAGTTGAAGCTGATAGCCATAATGAATCCAACAACAACGGAGCTCAAGCCCTGAAGAATCAGTCCTATGCGCAGTCCTGTGGCGCCTTGTACTTCAGCAGCATCACCGCTAAGACGGGAGCATAACGCTCCAACGGCATTGGTCGTTTTGTCGAAGAACCCGATCTCCTAATTATATAGACCAAAATATTTACATATTGCGTATTATTACATTGCTGTCAAAGGAAAGTGTAAAAATAAAAGGGCTTACTTGGGTTTTAATTAATGGAAATGAGTAAAAAGGCATAAAAATGACGAGAAAGGTCTTATAGACCATGATCGAAAATCTGAACCAACTATATAAGAAAATTGTAATCAAGATGTTCAATGCCAAAATGGATTCGAAATTGGATAGGTATGCTGTACTGCGGCTACATATTATACAATACCTGACTCAAAAGTGCAGCGAAGTATTGATACCGAAGGCGCGTGGTCATCTTTAGGCCTGCGTAAGTGAACGTTGTACCTTGTAGGCACATGGCGATGCCGGCCACTGCCGCTATTACAACAAACAATCCCGAATACAGATCCGCTTGGTAGATTATTTCAGCACTATCACTCTGCGCGAATATCTGCAAGAAAAAGAAAAGTTTTTTATTTCAGTACCCAGCCGCTATACTTACGACAGATATGCAATATGAAGTAGTAGTAGAAGTAGAGATATTTCCGTCATTCTTGTGAATGACCGGTTTGGTATATTTAAATCCAAAGTGGCATTGAATGTGCATTTATGTTTCATTTCCATAATAGAAATTGACACGCAAAGTTTTTCTTTGTCGTACAATTGCGCTCTTATCACGCAGACTCCTGAGTATATTAATCAGTACGTATTATCTAATATAAACAAAATAAATGTATAATAGTTGTACAAAAATAACTTACACCACTGGTATAACCAAAGAGAAGTGCAAATACTGGAAAACAAGCGCCTTGCAGGAAGGCGGCTATCGAGCCCACCGTTAGCAACAGCCATTCTGGCCCGTTCAGTTTCAAAAGCTGCCAATCGCTTATAGATTTCACTTCCTAGAAAGAATCACATTAAAATACTTTCCAAAGAAATACAGTATATGTATTTTTATGATCGCTTTCTTTCTATAGATAAGTAAGCTTTAAATTTTTGAATTAGTAGACTGACAATGACAAATATATGTATTTACAAATTATAAATTCAATTACATTTACCTTATGAACATAACAAATAGAAAGTTGTGTAAATATAATACAATATATTTTAATTAATAATTGGTAATACATATAGTATTATATATTTTTAAATTTAGAGATCAATTATACTATAATACTGCGATAAGCATTAATAGAGCAAAATTATATATGTACTCATCACTCAATGACCCGTGATCACTTGTATTAACCTATTGTAATGAATAACTCACATCGTCTTCGTCTTTTTCCGGTTCTTCTTCAAAATCAGCGTTGTACACGAAGTTCTGTAAGCCGGTGGACATGACGGAGCTGATTGAACCGCGTGGTGTCATCCAATCGTGCGATTCTGATAAGAACACATAAATTTATAATGAATAAATAATATCCACAAATACATGGCTAAATAGGCCAGTGTGGAAAAAACTTTTTGTGCCCATATATATCTCTGTATGATGATGGAAGAGATGACAAGCTAAAACCACAGATAACATAATATTATATACTAAAACTAATCCGAGAGAGGGTGACGGGTTCGTTTCTTGTTACTCTGGGTTTAACTAACGAATTTGAATGTGGTTCTTACTAATATATTTTAGCACGTTTTTCATAACTTTAGATATTTGTTTTAATAATAATATATCAGGACAATCAAACAACGCCATAAAGTCACAGGCTAAGCAAAGCTTGTGTTGTGGGTACTAGACAATTGATATAAATACTTATTTTTTGTCTTGTAAATATATACATAACATATATAAAAAACAATCAGATCGATACAAACAATCATACTTATGATGTTTGCAACGTTCGAGGAATAAAACCCGCTACTATCGGAAGTAAGATGGTGTGCTATAATATAGACTACCGAGGCCGAGGTGTTTTATTCGAATCAATTCATAAAAGTATAAAGTACTATAGATATTCCGAATACCACGAATGTGAAGTCACAGAATCTGCTAGGTTTAAATAAACCTACCCCTTTTCAGTGAGTGGTGTCTGTGCACTCTTCTATTGGATCGTCGCTTAACATCGTGACGAGGTGCAATAGGCACTTCCGCTACTTCTTCTCCAGCGGTCTCTTCAGGCAAGGTCTCTATGACATCTGGCTCTTGGTTATCATTGCCAGTAGTTACAAGCTTGAAGTAAAATCCTGTAATAAAACATATATTTAATTAAATTTATAAATACAAGTGATAATGTAAGTGTAACTTCAAACTTCTTTTAGAGGCGACAAAGCGCACGTGGCACCCCTAATGGTTCATAAGCTACAGTAACCGTTTACCATTATACGAGCCGTATGTGTGTTAGGTGGCAAGTCAATATAAAAAGAATGCAGAAATACCACATTTCATTTTATATTATTTTTTACAAATCTATATCCAAAGATCTAATTAATTTCGAAGATTATGTGGAATATATAATAGGACATTATATTTTTTTCATACACTACTCAAATTAATTCAAACAGATATACTTTTGAATACAAATATTTGTTTTGTATTGCGGGTATTGAAATAGCAACCATAGAATTTATTACTCGTACTAGTTTTTTGGTTGGTAAACCACTGTCTACTAGACAGGGTTTAATTATGTCATACCTTTTGCTTTCATGAGTTCATCGTGTGTGCCACTTTCGACTATGCATCCTTGATCCATGCAAATGATTCGGTCGGCGTTGACAATTGTAGATAGTCTAGGAATAAAGTAAAAGTCGATTACTATTTTCCTACTAAATATACCTATCACATTTAGTAGGTATATTTGTATTTTCTATGTACTGACTAAAAACAAATTATTTCACCCCATAAACGAAATACATAACAATAACATACTGTTGAACCTAATGAAGTTAACATTTACCTGTGAGAGACAATAATAGTTGTTCTTCCTACACTAGCCCTGTCCAAAGCTGCTTGTACTTGTCTCTCTGAATGAGGATCTAAAGCGGATGTGGCTTCATCTAACAGCAATACAGCCGGTTCGCGTATCAAAGATCTGGCAATGGCAATACGTTGTTTCTGCCCACCAGAAAGAGAAGCACCACGTTCTCCGATCACTGTGTCATATCCCTGTCAACAATTATATTTATTTATTATATAAAAATACTGTCGCGAATTTTGTAGCGTACGAGGATAATTCTACATCGATAAAAAAAAATGTTAGTTACATATTTGAAAAAATAATAAAATATTTTTCCAGTATTTTATGCAGTAATATGTGCAATATTATGTAGTGACACATAATTTAAACATTTTTTATAGGTAACATAATAAGATGAATATTTTTAAAATATGAAAAATAAGTTATTTAAGACTTTTTGGCGTGACTATGCAACAGTAAATCTATGTATAGGTAAACATGACATTATGTCATTGTGTAGATAATTATTTGTAATTATACTAACGTTAGTCAAATGAGTAATGAAGTCATGAGCATATGCCATTTCAGCTACCCTTTGAACCTCTTCTCGGGTGGCTTCAGGACAACCTATAGCAATGTTTTCGTGAATTGTTCCCCTGAATAATACTGGTTCTTGACCTACCACACCTGAAAAATTGTTTTGTAATTCGTTATTATACCTGCCATTAATAATTCTAAAAATTTTAAATATTAACTTATATACTTTTTAATAGTTATTTTCTTTTATCTAATTGTAACGATTGCTAATGAGACATACCTAAATACGCATACCTCATATATGTGTGAATGCTTTGATGATCTAGCGGTTCAACACAACACAAATATTTTAATAACGTACCTAGTGAAGATCTCAGCCAACTTAAGTTTAGATTTTTTACATCTTTTCCATCAAGTTTAACGGCGCCTGAGTGTGGATCGTATAATCTCTGGAGTAGCTGTAATATAGTTGATTTTCCGCAGCCAGATGAACCAACTAAAGCAACACATTCTCCTGCCTTGATGTGAAGCGAAAATCCTTTCAGAATCTGGAATAATTATATTTTCTTTTGTTCTATTCATATAACAAAATCAATACACAATATATACAAATTATCAATTTTTATTTTGCTTAAAGTTACATCGTCGCTTATACGTAAGTAGTAACATAAAAATCTCATGTTCATGTGACGACTGTGGTAACTTCCTGTGACTTCATTAACTTATTATGTACAAATCCATCAATTTCCCTGTTATATCTTCCTTTATTATATTATATATACTCAATAGAGTATAGAGGGATAATAATCCCTTTCAATACAAAACGATGTTCGTAAAGCCTGCTTGTTCAAAATAAACGTGGGAGAGGAGAACTCCGTGAAATATTTCAGATTCATACTTACTTTAACATCAGGTCGTGATGGATAATTAAAGTAGACATCGTCTAATGATATTTCCCCTATAACACGACGAGGGGCAGATCCTTTTTTGGAAAGACTGTCTATTTTGGGTATCCTGTCCAGAATATGAAAAATACTGGCAGCCGCTCCACGGGCTGAAGCAAATACCTCGGCATGCGGAACGCAAAATGTAATTGATTGTGTCGCCATGTATACGCTGTACATGATCTGTGAACAATAAATATAATTATAATAATAAAAACATTTATTCAGCATTACATCAGTATTATTAACCACAATAACATTACTATACAACTTAAAAGCAAAAACATACTCGTGACGCTGAATGCTAACACTGCTCCCACTCAGCATTTATACTGTAGTATACATTATACCATAGCGCTGTTTTCAGTGATGCCACCAGATACGAGATACAAGTAGGTACAAAAAAATTACGATTAAGATCACTTTATAAAAATATAATAATTTATATATTATTATGAAAAAGCGTGGCGTATACTATTTGGATAAACTATGAGCATTCTAATAACTATATTAATATTATAAATATGAAAGTCTTCCTGTCAGTTTGTGACCTTTTAAACCACAGAACTAATTTAATCTATTTTATAGACATACAATATACATGCCACTTTCATGTAAATAATATCTTCATGTAAGAAATAGCGATGAAAATTTGTAAAGAAAATAATAATAACTCAAGTGGGATATAGTACTGATCTGATTAATGCTTTAGTATTATTAATTCAACACAAATGAATTAGGGAACACCAGCCTGTAGTTAATAAATAAAGTACTTATCGAGTGGGTAAATGAGCTTATAACTTACACTGAAAATTACTCCAACCACATATATCCTGTCATCTATATCTTTATCCTTGTCTTGTATGACCAGCCTGGTTCCATAGGTAAGTCCTATAGCATTCAGTGAGTAAGTAAGAACCCAGTTGAAACCTGTTCCGAGACCAGTGTAAAGGCCTCGTTTACGTCCATAACGCTCTGCAGGCTCCAACAACCTTCTGTATCTGTTGATAAGTTTTATTATGAAAATGCAACGTAGTAAATAAGTTAACATGATATTATAAAACTACTAGCTGACCCCGCAAACGTTGTTTTGCCATATAACTTAAAATCGCTATTAAAAAATAGGAGTTGGTGATAGAATGGTGAAATTTTAGGGTTGTATGTATTTTTAATGCCATATTATAATAAATTGGCCAAAATATTAGGGGTGGATAACCCTTATAACTTAGGGAAATTAAAAATGGTAAGCGATTCTCAGACCTACTGAACATATATTTAAAAATCGGTTAAGCCGTTTTGGAGGAGTACGGTAATATTGTGACACGAGAATTTTATCTATAAGATATATTAAGAACGATTCTTGTTCCTATATAATAATAATACCAATAAAATAAAAATACCTTTCAATTTCTTTGCTCTCCCCACCAAAAGCAACAATGGTCCTAACAGACTTAAGCACCTGTTCAGCTTGTTTACCAGCCTGACTGTACGATTCCATTTCTCTGATGGAAGAATTTATTTGATACTGAAAAAGAATAGTATATTATTTTTATTACATTAATTAAGTTGAGCTATAATATATTTCAATATATTTACTTACAACACAAATTATAATCTATGTGCTGGAGATAATTTATTTGTTGGTAATAAATTATTTGTGTCTATCAGCAATCTTAAATGGCAGATGTATTCAGAATTTCCGCGACGTATTTATTTCAAACTAGCTGTGCCCGTGGTTTCGAGGAAATTTATAGCTTAGGTATATATTATACTGATAATATAAGCTACATTCGGTAAAGTTTTATCAAAATTCAGTAGTTTTAGCAAAAGAGTAACAAACATCCATCCATACTTACAATGTTTCGCGGTTATAATATTAATACGATGGTAGAAAAATAAATGGTACAACATATATACTATACCTACTTATTGTTTTATACTTTACAAGTATTGTACACTGTAGTAGGGAAAGTTAAGCCAGTTGTTGTCTGATGGTCGATAGTAAGGGTTTATTAAAAAAATATAATAAGAAAGAACTTTAACAGCAATAATCATTACATGTTTTTATTATACCTACATGAGATAATTCTTATTGTAGGAAAATGTTGGAAATACTGATAAGCAGTCCAATCAACTACAACTGTGTAAAAGGTTTTAATCTCTATTTACCAAAACAATAAACACAAAGTTTTATCAAGAGCAATAATCTGTTTAATTGACAATGTACATAAAGATATTGTATTCGCAATTCTCAGAGTTGGAACGTTTTAGAATTTCTAATAGAGCCATTATCTGATTATTATATCACAATGTTATTTATAATTAAATACACAGTATACTACTTACTAGAGGTACTCTGTTTTGATATAAAAAGCTATAAATGATATATTTATATACGAACTTATGTAGTGGCCAGTTTTTCTATTAAATTTAGAACACAATACAGTTTCAAATATTTCTTAATGAAAATTTAGAATCGAATGCACTATAATATAATAATAAACACTTGCCTTCTATATAGAAGAAAGTACATTAAAAAAATACTAATAAAAATACAATAAAAAGTCTCAAAGATTTCATCAATATATATTTAATCAGTCGAAAGTTGAGAGTGACTCGCCGTGGCTTAATAGTTTACTACTCTGAATTACAACCAAGGGGACGTCAGTTCAAATCTGGCCGATACCAATAAAATATCTTTGGATGTCAATTCACATTTCTAAATAACTCTCCATTTAGGTGCCACATTGCGGTGCCAATAAACACAGTGATTAGTAGGCATGCCGAAGTGTTGTTCACCGCATCATCGACATTTGTTTCTGGGATAAAAATCGTGACAATATGTTAATCTATGTAGATGTCACTATTTGTACGTTTTGGTTCGTATTCAATAGCTCCCAACGTGGATGTACTTACTTTAGACAGGATTACAGAAGCTCCTATAGAGAACGGTACAACGGTGATACAAGCGAGAGTCAGTTCCCAGCCAAGAGGAAAAGCGGCACAGATGCAAATGATGGCGGTGCCCACTAAATTTCCAACAACTGACAATTTTTCACCCATGCCTTCCTTCAACTTCATCATGTTACTAAAGAAAATTAGGGGTATTGTTATATTAAAAAACAAATGTGTCTTAAATGTATTAAATTTATCTTACACTAACATAACGTGATAAAACTTTATAAGTAGACACTTATTTACTTTTAGTCTGAGTGTTAATAGAGTGAGTTATGACATACATGAAGAAATTTCATATAAATTTATTTCAGTAACTATAAGAATATAGATATTATATTAGAATACAAAAAAATAGTTTTAATGAATATTCTGTATTGAAGTTTAACAATTTTGCATATGTATATAAAAAAATATATTTTATAACGTTGTAGGTACCAACAAATTTAGGCGAGAATAAACTCGTAGCATTCTTTTTCATAATTTTAATGTTCATAAGGTTCTGGAGATTCTGTTAGATACATGTGTCGTGTATCCAATACTTACTCAGACATTGTAGAAGCCAAGTTAAATTCAGAGTCTGTATCGTACCATGCCATATCTTGGCGAAAAACAGCAGTAAGGAACTGCATTCGTATTCTAGTTATCTAAAAAATATACAAACATGGATAAATCACACTCCGTTTATTTAAAAATAAATTAAAAAAGTAAGTGTAGAAGAGTATATTTTAAGCGTATTTATATTTTGTGGTAGATAGTTATATATTATTACTCAGTAATACTTTTGTATTTTACAGCTGTTGCTTAGTCAAACATGAATTAATAAATATCAGATATTTTTGTATATAGCGTGATACTTCTCGACTCAATCAGTACCAAGGTCTTTAACAATTAAGGCAATTGACTTTATTTACTGTTACGCGTAACCATTGTACTTTGGGACAAAAACTATATAAAGAGACTCACTTATATGTATATACATACCACTTAAAGCAGTAGTCTTTAATTATGATTTCGATTTCTATTAAAGTAAATAATGAAATTCTAAGGTATACTATTATAATTTTTCGTAGGTACTAAAATGATCATGTTACCATGCATTTAGTATGTAGCTTTTTTATTTTTAATTCTCTATTCTTCTGGAGAAATTATGATTAATTTCATGAATACTATTACTGACATATAGCTTGAAGTACCCTTTTTAGATTAATTGCTCAATCCTACTCATATATGCGTAAGTATAAAATTATTTTTTTTTGTACTACTCTAATGTTGGCCGTTACAGCTACACCGGACGTTAGGGGCGAGTGCAGATGGCACTCCAAACCTGCGGAATGACTTGCTGGAGCGGAGCGGCTGAAGGCCAACTCCTGCCTGACGATACGACTTTAGTCTGAGGGCAACACTAGGGGTTCGAACCTCGGCTCAGGTCATCGTAATTTGGCATAAAATTATATTAGTGACAAAATTTTTAAATGATCTTAGTATAGGTTACCTGTCGTAATGCACTCCAGCTCACCAACGCTGTGGACAGCATGCAAAATATGAGCGAGATGGCAATACTTGCGAACATCCCTGCGCACATCGCTTTACCATCATCTACTAATGCCTCTAAATGCTGTTTATAGGTTGCATTCACTCTGAAATATTAAGAACTGGTTGAAATTTACTGGGCTAGAATTTAAACCTTATCGTTACACCACAATAATTACCTTGTATGCTTTAAAATATCGCAGACCTACGATAAAATACCAAATGTTATGTTTCTTTTTAATTAACTAGCCCAATGGTGTACTACTAAGACTTATCCCAAAAAGCCATGAGCTCGAATACTGCAGATACGAAAATGTGCGCAATTTAAATTTCTGGTTGACTCTCTGGTAATCGTAACACCGATAATTAACTAAACTAAAATACGAGACAGCTGTGGGCTTTGACCCTGCCACATTGAATTCAAATATACTCAGCGAATTGGTGACAACCCTCTTACTACCCTATAATATATATATATATATATATATATATATATATATATATATATAACAGGTGTTATGATATATTATTTTTATATATACCACGGTCACATCTAAAATTTATACAGAACATATTGTATTTCGCACATAAAATCTAAACTGAAAAATATTCAATTGTTATATTTTGCCGTGGTCTACTATATATCTACTGGTAAATTGTATACGTCGTATGTACGTCATCAGTACAGAATCTACTCTATTAGTGTACATACTGGTATTTTATCAGTATCGATCAATCGAAACAAGATATAGGTTTGACCCATTTACCTATTGTATGAGATTGCGTAGCACATGGATCTCATTATTAATTAATTATTAAAATATAGCTCTTTATATAAGCTAATCTAATTACTAAGTATTTTGTCTAAAAAATATGTGCATCTTGATGAATAGCCGTAATAAAGTTTAAAAATCATATTTCACTAGGAAAAAAAGAAGATACCTATAAGATTACATGAGAGCAAATCCGAGTATATATCAAGTGTTACTAGTAAAACATTTCTGAATAGTCTACACTTGCGTTCACTACGTTGCGTTCGTTCGTTTTCAGTTATGTCTTCAATATCGGGATTTGATAACTGTTTTTCTTAAAATAAATTTAAATGGACTACACATTTAAAATATTAATAAAAATTAAATTTCACTTACAGTATCTGACCGCCTCCGAACAACCGCGTCAACGGCAAGTAACTCTTGAGACCCTGTTCGTATGTCGTTCTTTCTACAAAAGCAGTGCTCAGCTCTCCGAACTGTACCAAGTTGTACCCCACACCGCCTCCACTGAGGAGTCCGAAAATTACCCCCAGGAAAGTGGCCAGCCGTTCTGTCCATGTCGCGTATCGGAACTGAACAGGAAAATGGTAAAACCCTGAAGAGAGTTATTTAAAATGCCTCGAGACGACACTGTGTACTTCAGGGATATTGAATTCATAGGAGTCATGAGGCATTTAGATATAGAGTTAAATGACAATTTTCTATAAAACTAAACGGCGTATAAGCCGTTTAGTTTTATTATTATATTGCATATTCTTCTGTTACTGTTAAAGCCGAAATGAAATCCAGAAAACGGTACTAGGATAATACATATATTATGCTGTTAGTGGTGGAGGTTTAGATACCCATAAGACTCCATTCAGTTTGCGATAAGATAGTGTTATGTGATATGCCAATGTATTAATTTATAATTAATATTATTTCTTATTTATTCATTGGGGAGACAAAATATTAGATTTAACATTACTTAATTAAAAGTAAATTTATAGACCAAAATGATTGTGTTGTGTTCTATGTAGAACATGAGTCACGTGTGTATAAAAAATAATCAATTCGACCCACCTAATAGAGTAGGTATTACTGCAAATGGCAACTACTTTTATCAAGTTTGACGAATAGATACAGCAACATTATTCATTACATCACACAAGTAAATTATTTGTAATCTTAACTTTAATTTAAATATATTAATGAAGTAATCTGGACTGAATATGGTCATTATATGTCAGTATGATAAACAATAATTTTATTTTATGACATTAAATGATGAATCATTTTGATAAATTTCAATGAATGCCTGTATTCGTATTAATAATATGTATATTGAGTATTATGTACCTATTGAAATAAATAGTACCTACACTGATCATAATATATTTTGAAAAAGCAATACTTACTATTTGAAAAAAAGATATAGGAGGTTCGGTATTTTCAACTGGTTTTCTGTAAATAATAATAGCTTAATTATTGAAAGAATGAAAATAATGTGAAATTGAAAGAAAGTGTATATGGTAGGAGGAATCCCTGTCGGGTAATTTGGTGGTTTAGATTGAAACAGAATTAATTATCATCACGCTTACTAGAATTTACCTAGAACCACAATTTATTCCTAATTTATATGATACTAGCTACTCGCCCCGGCTTCGCACGGGTGTACAAGTATTATATATATATACCTTCCTCTTCAATCACTCCATCTATTAAAAAAACCGCTTCAAAATCCGTAGCGTAGTTTTAAAGATTTAAGCATACATAGGGACGGACAGACAGCAACAGCGACTTTGTTTTATAATATGTAATGATGATTATACGTAGTTATGAGTATGTATACAATATTTATATCAATATTTGATTGTCTAGTCTATCCAGTTCTTGAAAATGTCGTATTGTATATATATTTTTTTATAAATAGTACATTCAAATTAAAATCCAATATATATTTAAATGCTTCCCCTAAATAATTCATAGAAATAACAACAAAATAAAATTATGAATTATTCAATATTTTAGGTTTATGGATAATTATAATGATTCAGAAACACACAATATTATGTGTTTTTTAACGTTGACAGATAATCTAAGTTTACGGGATATATACACTTTTACTGGAAATAAAATGATTATGTATATGTAGATATCATATGTTCTCTAGTTTTAACACTACACAACTTTAATATGTAGAGTATTCAAATGATGTAGTGTCAAAGCCGTAACTTATTTCAATATTTCACCAGGTCACAATATTATTATGTATCATTAATAGATACATTTGTATTCCCATTAGGGAACAGTAATAATGATGTTTAATAAACGAATTGGTATCCAAGTTACATAAATGATGTAGTTTAAAATAATAATTTGGTTTTTTAATGTATATTTGCAGTTTATGTAGTATTTTGGACTAGTTTTAGTCCTTCCTGTCGTTGGTTGGTATAAGTTCTTGTCGCATACTATAAATAATATAATCGACCACGGTAAGTAAATATTTTAAACATAATTGATGACAATAAATAGGTCATGCAATACCTAAATGGTTACCACTATTTCTTACGCCAAATGAAACTGTTATTTTATCCCACACGTAGAATTAAAATGGGAGCAAGTTCTCTCACTTCCAGAATATAAGAATATATTTAGCACTTTGACGCACTTTATAATTTCTCACGCAACCACAACTCAAACTTTCTAGTTAAATATACTTTGTTCAAAAACTTAGTAGTAAATTCTAATTGTTTACTATTTATACCTATGTAAAAAGAAACATTTTAGTTAAAATTAATATTAAAAAAGTATTCAGAAATTTTTGTATTGACTGTAGATCGAGTACATTGCCCAAAATGTACCTGTTTAGTATGACAACAAGATTAACACCATTAACTAAATAAAAAAAAAATATAATTTATACACTTTCATTCAAATTAATTTATTGCTTCAAATACATACACACAAAGACAAAAACATTTAATATAGTAGACAACTAAACTATTTTAAATCCTGTATTATTTTGTTTATTATTATGTACGTATGTGGCATAAAAATATATGAAATTACAATTATGTGTGAACGCACTGAGATTCGCAAATTGCACAATTAAAAAAATAAGCATATAATTTTTAAAATGTTTTTTATAATAAGGCACGAAAGTTAAATAATATGACATCATCAAATAATAAAACAACAACTAAATTATTACTATATTGTAACAAATTGTCGCAATATTTAATAACCTAAATTGTATATTAATGATTACGAGTATGTCGCCTAAGCATTGAAATTAGAAAAATATCGCAGGGCACATTAATAATGTACTTACTTTTTTTCATTTTTTTTTTCAGCCGTCATATTGATGTTAAATTATTTTAATAAAAATAATATTTTTTATTCTCCCGCACACCAGTGAAAACGTGTGCCTCCAATGGAGATCTAAGACGAATTCAGCGACGTGCTGAATCTTTCACGTACTGACTTGAATGCCAGCGTCTTTATCAAATGAATGAGTTATATCATCTTAAATATGTTAGCAGTTACTTGCAGTCTTTAATAACTTTAGTACTTCGTATCAGTATATTACCGTATGTATACAACGACTGCGTATGTTAACTGTGACGCAATTTTACATTTTTTTTTTAAATCGTCTAAAGGAATGTTATTATGAATCGAAAATATTGAGGATTTATTGAGTTCACATATGTATGTATAGACAAACTAAATTGGAGTTTGAACAATACTCTTATAAAAAAAAGACTTAAGCATCACTTAATAATGCTTGTGAAGCGAGCGAGGCACTTTAAATGTTTATTGATCGACGCTTGGTAACGAGACAGTGTAATTTAATTTCAGTACATGTCTGATACCTATGTACAATGTAACATGAATCATATTAGTATAGCCAAATTTGACTTTGACCACATGTTTTACTAAAAACATATGTTAGTAGTCAGTTCATTATTTAACTCGGTGCAGAACAATGAAGAAATATTATGTCATACTATAAGAGAGCATAGTGAGTTAAAAATGTACCATAATTAAGGTGATTTATCAATATATTATTGGGAGTCAATAGAAAGTACCTTCTAAAAGCAAAAATGAGGATTTTAGTGTATATTTCATACCAAATGAGAGCAACGCTCTCTCTTTTGTTACATATTATTTTATAACAAAAGTGAGTTTTTACAATGTTGTTTTTTCTCTATTAATCTGTTTTGTAGCACACAGTTAAACCGTAAATTGCTTAATATTATGTAGAGGATAGACTTTTAATATTTAATACATGTGATCAATGTCTCATAATTTTATTATAATCGTAACTGTACAGCACAACTGTACAGTTACGATTATAATAAGATTATAAAATTCTGTGTGTGTGTTAGTGTCAAAATACTATATTAAATCTGTGTGGTTACAATACTACATTGTGTATGCGTTTATGGGATCTAAACTTGAGCTATGTGATAGATACATTGACGGCCCCGGTGGTCCAGAGATTTAGCACACCGCTTTACTTCCGATGGTCGTGAGTTGGATTATTTGCACGGTAGATACAAACATTTGTATTCATGAGTATGGGTGTTTGTATCGGTCTGGGTGTTTTCTATGTATACAGTAGTAGGGGTACTAGGCCGTCAAATGATAACTTGACGGCTGTGGCTTTTTTCATGTATATAGCCATGGTTGCCACTTATTACTAAGTAGACAATCACCACAGTTACATAAAAAAATGCATACAAATTCTATAAAAGGTAAAGATACAAAAATTATAGTATAAGAAGTCACAGTACTCTAGAGTGACAACTCATCAGAGGTTTCACAAGATGACGTACCTAATGTCCGTAGTGCTTTTCATGGATTTCGGCGGCGTTTATCGCTTACTTCCTGCTCGGCAGTTATCATGCTTCCCATTCTAATTCCCTAAAAGAAACTGCCCATGACGGTGTCATTATTATATAGTACTATAATAGCTCTATAAATGATATAAAGTGTATAAAAATACGACGGGACTAAAAAGTAGAAGGTAAATACGTTTACAAAGGTAGTAATTTCATGTAAAATTTATTGTTAAAAATTTATTATACCTATAATAAAACTGATCATTGTATGAAATAAATATGGGTAAAACTATAGTTACTTTATACCCACCCAAACTAAATATTTTTAGATGTTCTTCATTATGTCTGAGCATATTTGCGCGCTAATCATAGAAACAGTTTAAACAATTTGGGTGTAATTTACACTAATAGGTATTTAGTGTTAAACTAAATTTTAAATTTTATTAATTTAATTTAATTTGTTTAGAATCAATACTGTACTGCGGTCACGAAGTTGCAGACCAACCTTGTAGGTAAAGAGAATAGCTGAAAGTAAAATAAGAGTAATAAGTAATTAATTAGGGGTACAGAGTTTTGGATTAATGTTGTACGACTGATATTTCATGCATTGCTTATCATGGAGGTGACATAAACTAATAACCATATTTAATACATTTTTACAACACCTATTAAGCTATAGACATTTTCTTAAAAAATGCAAATCACTAAGATACAATCCGCAATATTATAGATGTACAGAATTAAATAACAGAAGGCCCTGTTTAATTTACGAATACAGCCAATTGAGTGGCGACAGACTAACGCCTGTCTCAATTGGTACATCGTCAATACGGAAATGAATATTTCAATCATTATTTATACACTAAATAGTATATTAGGCACAATTTATCTCAAGGCCGCAGACTGATTCGTAACTGCCTTCGAATTCTTTACTTGTATACTCAATATAATTTTACCCAGGTAGACTTTGTGAAATGTTGTCTCGATTATTTCGAACACCAAGCAATTTAATGTGTAAGTTAAGCATTTCAGATGAATAGGGAAGTAAGACAGTGAAATTATAGGAGAATAGCCTTTTTTTCGGACTACTCTCATGCTGTTGCCCGCAGTTGGCCTTTACAGCGTCACCGGATGACAGGGGACTAGTGCAGATGTCACTCCAAACCAGCGGAAGAACTATGAAGTGGCTGAAGGCCAATTACCGCCTGACGGATGCGACTTTAGTCTGAGGGCACCGTTAGGGGTTCGAACCTTGGCTCAGGTCGTCGTAATTTCGGGGACAGACCGGGGATCGACCGAAGGAGAGGATAAGAGCTGTAATATTTAAGCCTCCGGAATGACAATGCAGGAATGGTATCACGCTAATTACCATACGGTAAATGGTAATGGTCATTATTACTATTAAAAACTAAATATTACCATCAAAACAATAAGTACAAAAAGGTACAGGTAGGTAAGAAAATACGAAGGAAAGGAGAACGTCCACTCATTGAAGTCTTGTAAAGATATTAGGGTTGTTCATAGAATTTATCAGCTTGAACAGTATATAAATATATTATTTAAATGTATTAATTTTCTACTATTTTGTATGGCATATTAAAGTCAATTTAAACACTGTAAACTTAAATTTAGACACATGTATATGGTATACTTTTTGTTTATTTATGAATTATGAAAATACTAACAAACTGTAACAAATGTCTAACAAATGTATTCGATTTAGGAGAAAATTTAAATTGAGAGGAGTTTATTTGAATGTCTGGATAACATTCTGATTCATTGTGTCTTGTAACATTGTCTACTAGCATTAATACATACCTACTACATATGTGTTTAATTATTTAATGTATTATTTGTGTATGCTTTATATTAGTGATTGTGTTCCTGCCACATAAGACAATGCAATACAGATCGCATTGTGTTATTATCAATTTGACGAATGGAAATATATATAAATAACCCTGTACAATTACCACACCGCCATTAGTCCCATGGTAAGCAGAGCTTGTGTAATTGATACTAGACTACGTATATAAATACTTAAATATTTTTTTGTAAATGCATATATAATATACATACATACAAAACGAAGGGGAAGGGGATTATTAGTAATCTGAATTAATAACCTCATTGCTAGCAATGTACCATGTTAGATGGTTTCCCCTGGAAACCATCGTGTTAAATTCCTCGTGAATTTGTCACGATTGCCTAACTAACCTAACCTCATGCTCATCTTATCATCCTCCACTGATGCCCGGTCGGCATAAACCGTTAGCGCAGACGAGTGTACCATTCCATTATCATCGTTAAAAAAATATATATATACCTAAAAAACATCTAGACCCATACGAATAATCATAATCATGAAAAAAAATTGTTGGTCCGTGCGAGGAATCGAACTCGCGACCATCGGAAGTATAGCGTTGTACTAAACTACTAGATCATCGAGGTCATCAATCGGTGTCGGTGTAGATACATTAAGCAATAAATATTATACAAAATAAAATTCTTTATTTAAACGATCGTCAACTACAAACATTATAACGAGCGATGGTTGGTAATTTCCACAAATCTTAAATACTCAGCATTTGTAGTAATACTCACGAGACCAGCACGTGAACAGTATGTAAAATATGTAAATATGTAGTACAATATCTAAAATTACAAATCATCATAGTCTCTTTTCACGTGATTAATTTAAACAAATATTGTGTATCTTATAATCTTACTTCCAACACAATATGTCTGTCTAGCAGCTCTATATTTTTAAATTTACTAAACCTATTCAGATAAAAGCGCAATGTGGCAATAGACCACAAGATATGTTTACGACGGCATAATAGTGAACTGTTAATACTTTTTCGTAGGAAATTATAATATTCAGTATTAAAATTTATTGAAAATCAGATGCGGGACCCAAACATGTTATCTGTGATATTTTTGTAAGATTCAATATAATGTCTTGATAAGTGAAGTCTAAGTAAATCTTATTATGTAGAATTTACTGAAATTCGTGGACACAGGCTACTAACTTTTCTTTTACTACTTCAAAATTCTCATTATATACACGTTATATGATAAAATATTTTATTTAAATAAATTTAATTTGGAGCGTCTACGTGTTCAAAGTGATATGTATTTTGCTAAAATAAATTTCAGCATCTTATCATATATCGTGCGTGTTCAATATTGCCATTGTTTTTTATTGCTTTATTATCTAACAACGCGATTATTCAAGCAATGTATTTCATAGGCATAGAAATAATTAAGGCAATGGAGACTGTTTATAATCTAGGTCACTGTACATGAAAAAAAATATTCAAGAAAATATGATTTGTCTCACTTAAAGTCGGAATAGATTCTACTGCAGCTCTGACTTTTAGGTATGTATGTATTTTTAAGAGGTATGTAAAATATACATCAAATACTTATGGATACCAAGATCGTACCCATGTAAAAATCTAACGCTGGTTTAGCAATATTTAAGCGTACAGTATAAATTATATCTTAATAGTAACAAATTTAGCTGTGAGATTTATAACTTTCTTATGATCACTATTAATATTACACAAAGTATATGCTTAGTGCCATTTAACATGTATCTGTTCCCA